CTGGGTAAGCTTTCAAAAGTTTGTAAACACTAGATTGTAAAATGCCATAGGTCTCTTAATTTGTTTAGTGTAAAGATGAGTTCCACATTGTACTTTTCTGTTATCAGGAATGAACTTTAAGTATGACTCCACGTATTTAGTACCAAATTGTAATTTTCAGAGAAACCTGTCAACCCTGCCCATCGTCACAACGGGTTTGGAGGGGTAGTTAATATATTTTTTTTTTAATTTGATCTTATTATAACATCGCATAGTGCGATGATAGTTACATAATTAAAAATACATTATATAAATCTTATGGAGAGTAGTTATTTTTTATGTATTACTTAAATATTGCGTGATGATTCGAATTACACAATGCAAAATTACAAGTGTAACACTACTCTATAAAAGTTACACAATTACAAGTATTTTATAAAAAGCTCTCAATTTCATCATAACTATTTTATCGTTAGATCACATAGTACTAAATATTTGCGTAGCATTTACAACTGTTATTAATTGCAATATATTATTGTATAAAGCTTAAGCTTCCAAATTCAGACTTATTTCTTTATTATTTGCATTACACTAAGGCTTTTTTTTTTTTTGTGGAGGCTTTTTAAGGCAAGTTGTTTTTCACATAACAATTTAATCAAATTTGATATTTTTGTTTACTTGATTTCATCATTGGACCGTACAATAAAAAGATTCGTGTACCACTATTCTATAAAATCATGTAATTACAAATGTATTATATAAAGCTTTCAAATTTATGATAACTTCTTTATCATTTGCATTAGACATATGTTTTGTATGGTCAATGACTTAAACAAACATATGGTCTATGTAGTCCTCCAAAAGAGACTAAATTCAGTGCAAAATAATGGAAGCATCAAAAAGATCCACGAATGATTAATTTGACCAGCTATCTTTTTTTTAAGAACCAAGAAAACGGCCTTTCGCATTGGGGCCGTTGCTATATGGTTGATTAGTGCGTAAGATGCATTTCAGAGACAATTTTTTTATTTACAAATAGTAATTTTGTTAAAATGATTAGAGTTGCTAGCTCGGTTAGTAGCTGCGCATAGACGGACAGGAAAAAGTGGGTGACGGAAATAAATATTATACATCAGGGTACATAGGACAAAAATAAAATAAAAAAACATCAACTAATCCATCGATCCGCTATATATTCGAACGATCATCTCGAGTATAGATCCATCAAACAAAAAGCCCCACCAAACTTGAACCAAAGCAAAGAAAACACAATGAGAGAAATGGATTTTTTCATCAATCCAACGAGTACTGTAACTCTTACAGTAATCCTGATCGTGGGCACTACCCTTTTCACGATAGTTATAAAAAAGATGACAACTTCAAGCAAGCACTCATCTTCACCACCACCAGCACAAGTGTCAGCCGCCGGAAGGCCGCCTCCAGGGCCATGGACGCTGCCGATAATCGGCAACCTCCACCAGCTAGCAGTTGGGCTTTCCCTCCCTCACCGCCGGCTGAGGGACCTGGCCCAACAACACGGCCCACTGATGCAGCTCCAGCTCGGCGAGATCCCGGCGGTTATCGTGTCGTCGGGGGAATGGGCCAAAGAGTTCACCCAAACCCACGACCTCAACTTCGCCAGCAGGCCCTTCATCCCGGCCGCCGACATCATCTTCTACGGCGGCCGCGACATCGGGTTCTCCCCCCACGGGCCGTATTGGGCCAAGATGAGGAAGATTGTGGCCGTCGAGCTGCTGGGCCCCAGGCGGGTCAAGACTCTGCGGCCCATCATGGACCAGGAGATGGCTAAGCTCGTGGGCTTGATCAACACAAAGCCCACCATCAACCTCACCGAAATGCTCGTCTCCCTGGGGAACTCCATCATCAGCCGCGCCGCCTTTGGCAAGATCCAGAAGCAGGAGGAAGTCTTCCTGCCGTTCATCAAGGAGTTCATGAAGATGCTTGGAGGGTTCAGCCTCGGGGATCTCTTCCCTTCCAGCAGCTCGTTGCGTCTGCTCATCACTACTAGAGCCGAGAAGAAGCTCAAGAAGGTTCACTCGGGGGCCGATGCCATCTTGGATGCTATAATCAATGACCGTTTAGCGAAAAGAGGAGCAGCACCACCAGCTTGTAACGTTGAAGGTGGTGATCAAGACCTTCTTGATGTTCTTTTGGATCTCAAGGACAACAACGACCTTGGAACCACTGAGATCAAAGCCGTCATCCTCGTAAGTTACCTTTACCTACCTAGATAGCTACATGATCTATTGTAACAAAAACATTACTCTTATGATGATTATGTATATATATATGTTACAGGACATGTTCTTCTCATCCTCGTAAGTTACCTTTACCTACCTAGATAGCTACATGATCTATTAGCCTAACCATTTGTTTGCTTCAAAATGAACGACAAATAAGCTAAACTGTTCAATCCTTTGCATGCCTCACCTATCTTTTAGTCTATTGATGAGGACAATGTACTTTTTAATGTGTGTGTTCATGATGTGGTTGTGATGTTTCATTTCATTGTGCTTTATACATGTTCTAAGTTTAGTGGCATAATGCAATCAGTCTTGGATATAGGAATCTAGAGATTTCACTTCATTTAGAAACATAAGTGTAGCGACAATAAAGAATGTAACAATCAATGAGATATAATGAGAATTTAGTGTGTTTGAATACCGTGTTGTTTGATTCAACTTTCTAAGTATGAAATGCCTCAGAGAAACCTAAACTATTCAGTGTCGATTCCTTAAATTTGACGGATTGTTTTTTTCAAACCAGATCGACTTAGTTGAGGACATATCTGTTAAGCAACCTAGACACCTAGTTAGCGAGTGTTGAGACCAAAAAAGTACTATTATATAACCCTTTTTATCAACTCTCGAGATCCATATATAGTTTCTAGGTAATAAAAAAAATTTAGTAACTCTCATCACAGAAGTAAGCAGACTCAAATTTCATCTAATATGCCTACTAAATCCATTCCTAATTTTCACTTACATTTATGTGTAAAAATCTATCGCATTTAACCATTCAGTTGACACATATATCGGATCATAGTTCTTAATTTAAGTTTATTTGTATGAAATAATGTGGCAACTACTAATAACAAAATAACCACCCCATGTTTAATTACTTGGTATGAGAACTAACCAAATGTGTACAACCAATTCCGTGTTCCAAATTAAAAAGCACTTTGCTTGATGAAAATATCACCTTTTCTTGAACGGCAAACCTTTTCACGATGAAAATTGATGATATGGTGATTATTTTAACTATAGTGAAGAAATTACATTGTGTAAAAAATAACTATTCCTCCATGAACAAAACGAGTTGTTGTACGAGATCAAAGGATTGATCTGATCTTATTTCATTCACATAGAAATCTTTCGGGGGAATTGCAGAAGTGACCATTATTTATTACTAGTTAGTGAAGAATTAGAGGAGGATTCGGGGAAGCAAATTCCAAGAATTGAGGGTCAGACTCAAGACCAGCCATCACATCTTCATCCAGCCTCATCGACGCCTCCACCATCCCAGAGTGAACCGGGCCGGCCAATTCCTTCAAGATCATCAAATTCTCCACACAAGGTTCATCCCCTCTCGCCTCTCCAAGCATACCTACCCAAGCCGGTTTACCCAAGCGCCCCAACTCAAACCCATCGAGATCAAACGAAAGCAAGCTCGAGCTTGTCATAAACTGCCGCCCACTGCTAATTTTCCCCACCCACCACTTCTGCCCTTCAACCCTGGTCCTGAACCCTTGTTCACCGGAGATGGAGTTGAGGAAACTTTCGTCAACTCCGGCTGTTGCTTGCCTTATAACCGCCGCCAGCTCGTCCATTGTCTCCCTGCAGATATCACACCAAATACACGTACATATGATCACCAAAGAGACGTACGTACGTACGCACATGTAAATATTACGACACATTTCCTTATGATCTGAACTTGTAGCTTTAACGTTAAGATACAACTTCAAAGTGCTAGCATATTCGAATTTTATATACGCGAGCGAACAAGATGGAAGTCGAAAATACGAGAAAGTAAAAGAAGAACGTAACACACCTCTGTCCGCGGAATGCAAAGGGCAAGGTGAGGACGTTGCCAATACAGTGTGGGGACAAGCGGTCGCCCATGCGGTTCCTTAGGTTGATTGGCTGGCCGAAGCACTGCAGCAACTGATCTCGGTCGTGATCATCGGGTGCAGCCCTGAGCGCGGATTCCCAGACGAAAGCCGACAAGGCCTCGGTGCGGCTCGGGCTCTCCACGTGGCTGCTCCTGGCTCGGTGTTTGAGCGCGGCGACGGCTTCCTTTTGGAATACGAATCTCCGGGTGGCCGTCCTTCGGTGGTTCTGGAAGAACAATTCGTCCGTGGGGCTCACCATCGACGGCGGGATCGATGGTTGAGGAGGGAACACGGAGGCCGCGCTGGTCAAATCCGGTGGCATGATGATTGCCGGTCGTTGTTTGTTGGTGTCGCGCGCGGAAGAAAAACTTGAAGAAGAATCCGATTTTGCTATTGCAGCCCAGGCGTCGAGGAATGCAACTATGGTGCCCACATCGGCGATCTTGTGGTAAAAGTTGAGCCCGATCGCAACCCCTCCACACTCGAACGTATTCATCTGCAACCCCATCCATCGTGTATATTTATATTTCAATGAAGAAATGCCGTCAAGATCGAAATTCTACTTCCGGAATTACGTACGTACAGCCAGGAATATTATAAAAATTCCAAGAGAAAGTATTAGAGTTGTGTGCTTTTAAGTTTTAAAGCGCCTGCGTTTTTTACTGAATTGACCAAGAGAGTTCGACCTAGCTAATATTGTTAATTTTAGGTACCTTTGTGTAATTTACCAGCCTTAGTCATTAGGGTTTTGCATGGCCTCTATATATAGTGTTGTTTTGTACAGCCGCTTAATTTCTGTAATAAAGATTGACTTTGGAGGGTTTAGGCTCTCCCGTGGACTAGTCCTGACACTCAGGGAAATCACGTTAAATCCGGTGTTATTGTTCTCGCTTTACTCTGACATGGTATCAGAGCCACGTCGATTCAAGGCTTGATTTTTTTTTGTTGATTAGTGATCTTGGCGCAGCAGACGGATCGAAGCAGCAGTCACGTTCGGAAGAAGGTTGCAGCTGAGGGTCCTAAGATTTGTTCTTGAGGTGTGTTCTTGCGCAGTTGGTGATCACAAATCCAGTTGGTGTTTGCGAGAATGGATTCGAACAAGGCGGATACGATCGCAACTAAGTTTGATGGGAAAAACTTTCCCTTGTGGGAGTTTCAATTTCGGAACTACATAGCAGGTAGGAAATTAACGTCGGTCTTGATGGGGGAATCGAAGGCACCTGGTGCGGACTCTACCCAACAACAGAAGGATGACTGGGCTGCTCTCAACGCCCAGGTTGTGACCGCTCTCCTGGGATCGCTGGATGTGCAGACAGCACTAAGCCTCCGTCGATTCGAGACAGCTCACGAGATGTGGAAGCATATTTGCGGTACGTACTCTCAGGCGAATACCTCTCGTTTGTATGAATTGGAAATGGAAATGGCTAGCCTTGCTCAAGGTGATAGGGATGTACGAGGGTATTATAAAGATTGCTTGCACGTCTGGACCGAGTATGACCTGGTTACAGCCTCGCTGTTGCCTGGGGATGAGTTAGTTGGGATTCAGAAGGAAAGGACAAGGACTCGTGTTATGAATTTCTTGATGAAATTGAGGCCTGAGTTTGAGCCTATTCGAGCCTCACTAATTCATAGAGGGGTTACCAATCTTGAGGAAGTTGTGGCTGAACTGATTCGAGAAGAAACTAGGCTCAAAAGTCAAGCACAAATTGATCACGGATCATCGGAATCAGCCTTTGCTGTTGGACGTTCAAGTAACTCTACTAGACCCAAATTTGGCCAACAAGGCTCGGGTGAAGTTGTTTGCCATTATTGCCAAGAATCAGGCCACGTCCAAATTCATTGCAGGAAAAGGAACTATTGCAACTACTGCAAAAAGGCAGGACACATCGTGTTAGAGTGTCCAACCTTGCGCAAACAAGGCAAACCCATTCGCTTCCCCAACCAAGGAGCAGCTGGCGCGGGAAACGTGGCTCCTCATCCTGTTCCTTCGCGTGCTGCAAAGGCAGCCTATGCTGTGACCACTTCTCAGCCTGCTGATGGGAATTCATCACAATACAATGGCGGGTCCTCTTTAACTCCTGATCAGATCCGGAAAATGGTGCAAGAGGCCTTGAATGAGGCGTTGAACTCTGCCTTTGCTACGGGTGTCACGTCGGGTAAGTATCCTCGTTGGTTGATTGATTCGGCAGCCTTTAATCATATGACCTCTGTTCGCTCTATGTTTGATAAGCTACAGCCTGCTGCTAGTATGAACCTTCGAGTAGCGAATGGTGATCAGGTGGCGGTTAATGGTCGTGGCACCATCTCTTCTCCTGCCATTACCCTTCCGGATACTCTATACGTTCCTGGTCTTCTCCCTAGTTTGGTTTCTGTTGGGCAGCTGACTGAGGAAGGTTGCAATGTGACTTTTAACTCAAATGGTTGTGTGGTACAGGACAAGAGGACGGGGACGGTGATAGGGACAGGAAGTAAACGGGGACGTCTCTTTGTGCTGGACGATCTGAAGGAAGCTGCAATTGCAAAGGGGTCTGAAAGTCCAGGGGGTGAGAGGGAACGTATGCATGGGCTGCATGCACACGTGGAAGATTCGGCAGCGGCAGTTACGGCAGTGAAGTCCAGCGCAGAGAAGCTGTTCGGGGTTTCGACGGATTCTGTTGATGATTTAGCTATTAATTCAGTTGGTTTGCTTTCGAATAAGAATATTTCAGTTTGGGATTTGTGGCATTGCCGGTTGGGTCATCCCAATTCGGCTAGATTGTTGACGATGTTTAGGCAGAACTTATTACCGGGGAAATTTGAGCATTCTGTGGGCTCTCAGTCGGATTGTGTGAGCTGTATTGAAGCGAAAGCTTCCCAGAACTCGTTTGAGTCCAGTGAGACAGTTTATGCAGAATCATTTGATTTAATTCATACAGATTTATGGGGTCCGTCGCCAGTGACATCTCGTATGGGATATCGCTACTTTGCTTTGTTTGTAGATCACAAGACGAGGTATACCTGGATTTACTTTCTACGACGGAAATTGGAATTGTGTTCGTTGGTTAAAGAGTTTGTTCAGCTGATCAAAACACAATTTGGGAAAACCATTAAGACTATTCGTTCCGATACAGGTGGAGAGTTCATCAAGCAAGAATTACTTGATTTCTATAAGTCTGAAGGCATTTTGACTCAACTGTCGTGTCCCGGTGTTTCGCAGCAAAACGGGCTCGTCGAAAGGAAGCACAGACATGTATTGGACCTCACGAGGGCTTTGCTTTTTCACTCGCATGTGCCGAGCGGCTACTGGGTTGAGGCAGTTCATACTTTTATATATCTCATCAACAGACAGATCACTCCGACATTGGGGCAAATTTCACCGTATCAGATGCTCTTTGATCGTCCGCCCGATTATTCTCGTTTGAGGGTTTTCGGCTGCACATGTTTTGTTCTCTTGCCAAGGGCAGAACGTCATAAGCTCTCTCCAAAGACTGTTCGGTGTGTTTTCGTTGGGTACAGCGAAAAACATAAAGGGTATTGTTGTTACGATCCGATCGGCAAGCGCATGCGTATTGCGTATCATGTGTTGTTCCTTGAGCATGTTATGTACTACTCACTGTCTTCCCAGGACAAGCAATCCCATGCGGCATCTTTGGAATTTTTGAAGTTTGTGCCTGACCTTGTGGAGTTGTCGTTGTCGAGTGAGCATGGGAGTCAGGGAGGGAATTTGACACCTGATGATAATGTGACACTTCATGATACCTCTCATACTCCCTCGACGCCAGCTGGTACTTCGGTGTCTACGTCCAGTTCCTCTAGTTCCTCCCATGAAGGGGAATCTTCTTCTCCTGCGAATAGTGGAACGGGCACTAGCTTGATGGGCAGCAACTCGAGCTCGTCGGGTTCCTCCTCGTCTAGGCTTTCGACAAATGAGGAGGATGGGGCAGCAGATGAAATTGAAATATCAAGTGGAGAAGGAGACGACCAGAATCATGGGGTTGTTGTTCCTAGGCGCTCTAGTCGTAGTACCTTGGGACAACCTCCCTTGAGATTACATGACTACGTGGGTTATGCTACCACCCCAATCTTTATCCCAACAACTTATGCACAAGCAGTGGGTCACCCAGAATGGGAAAAGGCAATGCAGGAGGAGAGCAATGCGCTTGATGCCAATCATACGTGGGAGTTGGTACCGAGAACACCAGAGATGTCAGTCATCAGCAGTAAGTGGGTATATAATATTAAAATGAACCCAGATGATACGATCGAAAGGTTTAAGGCCAGGGTTGTAGCAAGAGGATTCTTACAGGAGTATGGAATTGATTATAATGAGACGTTTGCCCCAGTGGTTAAGATGCAAACTGTTCGTTGTGTCTTTGCAGTTGCAGCAATGCGGAATTGGCCACTGTTTCAACTGGACGTGAAGAATGCTTTTTTGCACGGTGATTTAAAGGAAGTCATATATATGGAGAGGCCACCAGGATATACCAAGGGTTCGGCGGACATGGTTTGTAAACTGGTTCGTTCGCTTTACGGTCTCAAACAGGCACCTCGTGCTTGGTTTGAGAAATTTCATGGAGTTATAGTGCAACTTGGTTTTGAGCAGAGCCAGAATGACCCATCATTATTTGTTCGGAATACTGTTGATGGGATAGTGGTTCTGCTTATTTATGTCGATGATATGATAATTACTGGGAGTGATTCAGAGGGTATTCAGGAATTGAAAAGGTCGCTTCATGGGGCATTTAAACTGAAAGATCTTGGCAATGTGTCATATTTTTTGGGTTTGGAGGTTCAACGATCTTCACAGGGAGTCTTTGTGTCACAGAAGAAGTATATGGCAGATTTACTTGAGACGGCACACTACACAGACTGCAAGCCGTGTACAACCCCAATGGAACAGAATCTCAAGCTAACTAGGGACAGTGGAGATTTAATGGAAGATCAGTCCCTATACCGCAGCTTAGTAGGAAGCTTGATTTATCTAACTCATACTAGACCCGACATTTCTTATGCTGTGCAGGTGGTGAGTCAATTTCTGGGAGTTGCACGGAGCCAACACTTGGACGCAGTTCACAGAATCCTGCGATATCTCAAGCATACACAAGAAGTTGGCCTATTTTTCCCTTCAACAGGTGAAGAAGTCCTAGAGGCCTTTGCAGACGCCGACTATGCAGGATGCCCTGACACACGGAAATCGACCTCAGGTTGGTGTGTTAGAGTAGGAAGGTCACTTGTATCATGGCGCTGTAAAAAGCAGGATCGGGTTTCTAAGTCATCCACAGAAGCAGAGTATCGTTCGATGTCAGACGTTAGTTCTGAATTGGTTTGGCTGCAGAGATTGCTGAAGGAGTTGGGTGTTAACTGCAAAGTTCCTATGCAGTTGTATGGCGATAATACAAGTGCGATTCAGATTGCTCTCAACCCAGTTTTACATGATCGCACAAAGCATATAGAGGTCCATGTTCACTACATTAGACAGTTGGTGACAGAAGGAAGAATATAGTTGAGTTATCTGTCAACCGAAGATCAACCCGCAGACATTTTGACTAAGGCATTAGCTTCTAGTAGACATTGGTACCTATCAGCCAAATTGATGTTGCGCACCCGACATCAATTTGAGGGAGGGTGTTAATTTTAGGTACCTTTGTGTAATTTACCAGCCTTAGTCATTAGGGTTTTGCATGGCCTCTATATATAGTGTTGTTTTGTACAGCCGCTTAATTTCTGTAATAAAGATTGACTTTGGAGGGTTTAGGCTCTCCCGTGGACTAGTCCTGACACTCAGGGAAACCACGTTAAATCCGGTGTTATTGTTCTCGCTTTACTCTGACAAATATATACCGGCCACCGTGATAGGATAGATAGCGGTTAATCGATCGACATAAACAAAATTCGGTCAACTATGAACGTACGCGCGTACCTTAACAGCAAGCTGCGGCACGTCATCACCACCGTTGACTTGATCTGTTGTTAGGAGGCGAAATGGCTCCAATGCAACCAAGTCGCTGAGCAAGTCTAACTTGGGCGGACTGAGGAACTCGGAAAGGGTTAGCCCTCTGGCTCGAGCTTCGAAGAAGGGTACGCCGGCGTGGAAGTCGTCGATGACGAGGTTGTCCCTCACGCGCCCGGCCAGCGGGTAGAATGGGTTCAGGGCCTTGGACAACGAGGCTTTCAGCTCATCGGCCGCCGCTGAAACATAATGATGATCAGTAGTTTTATTATGCCCATGCTTCGCGGCCGCCGGGTAGAAGAAGACCATGGAAGTGTAGTGCGGGCTCATCAACTGGTCGAGAAGGGACAGCTTAAATGGCTGCTGCATGGTACGGAACTGATCAACTACCGCTCGGGGTTTCACGCTCTCCACGGACGTCACCACAACTTCCATCAGCCTACCGGCGGCAGCTCGTCCTCGACCAACCAGGCTACCCATTAATTAAATTGCTTGCTTGCTTGCTTTGCTAGCTAGCTTGTTGCCTGCTGAATTTGAGAAAGGCCACAAAGAAGCAATATAATCAGAGGAGCTCCCTTTTATCTATCTACAAATCGCAACGTGTTACGCTACAAAATTAAATTGTACGTCTCCAGAAAATATATATATATATATATTTTTAGATACAAGATCCCTATAGAAGTGCCAATCAATGTTTAGTTCATTTACAATTCTGCTAGTTGTCTTAAAAGGACTATTTTTCGAAAGGGGAGAAGATTGCGGTTGATTTTCTTGTTATAAATATATAAATGAGAGGATTTGTTTTGTGAATTTTAATAATGGTTCTTTCTTCCCACGTTGAGTACTATTATTTTACCTTTCTTTGTTCCATAGCAATTTTAGGGTCGCGTTTAGGGCCGGTTCGTCTTTTGATCCTGTAAAGATCGGGTACGGTCGGGTTCCCCCCCCCCCCCCCCCGCCCCCCCCCAGCCCCCCCCCCCCCCCCCCCCCCCCCCCCCCCCCCCCCCCCCCCCCCCCCCCCCCCCCCCCCCCCCCAGCCTATAACAACAACTAATGATATGAAAATCCCCAGACCAACGTATTGGACCCGTTTTAGAAGATAATGTACTAAGGGTTCGTTTGGAAGTTGCGATAGTTTTGTTGAGATTGTCATTATGCATGTATTGTTTACAATGCATTGTTTTTTTAGCAGAAACAATACATGGATTGTTTTTTTAGTTGTGATTGTTGAGATAGTTGAGTTGAGATTGTTTTGTCTCAACTTTTAGCTAATGCGACATACACAATCACACATACCAAACGTTATATTCTACAATGCATCAAATTCGACAATTATACATGCATTCTCAACAATAATTCTATTTAACAATCGCAACTTCCAAACGACCCCTAAAATACAAGGTAAAAACATAAAGGTACTAAAACATAATCTCACTATCAAAATCTGTGAACCTATTTGCAAAAAATAAAGTTTAGGTCCTAAATTGTAAGATAAAATAAATTTTGGTGCCAAAATATAATCTCAAAAATCAATGTCTTGATTAATTTGAGCCTGACCTGCTAGCTCGGTTAGATGCCTAGGCCCGACCCTGAAGAGCCAAACAAGATCATCTAGAAGGAAACAAGGAAGCAATTTCATAAATTGATCGTACAGGAGCGGGTCTGACAGGATTTGGCCCAATTTCGGCCCTAAGTAACCGTGAGTTAGTAAGGATTAGAGAAATGAAGATTAATTAAATAATTAAAAGAGAAGATTTTTATTTTTATTTTAATTTTAATCAATAGTAAAATTTGAATAATCAGTCCAATAATGTAAACCAAAATTATGCTAGTCAAATTTGGGTTGCCGATCGAGAATCAGATCTTTATATGATTTTCTTGGGTGTTCGCTCATATGAAAGTTGACTTTACAAATTTGAAAATTATATGTGTCCATTAGCATCACGAACATCCTGGTCTCTGATCTTGGAAATAACGGCTTGCGCATCCCCCAAAAAAACGACCTCTGTCATACCCTTCAAAGAGCAACAACGAGTCGCATCCCAGAATGCCATTAATTCAGTCAGATACGGGTCCGTCAAACTTGCATAGACAAATCCTTGCACAAAAAGGATAGAACCCTCCTGATCCTGAACAACCAGACCACCCGAGGAATGCGACCCCAAACAAACCGCCCCATCAACAAAACAAGAGAATGGCGCAGTGACCGGAACCTCCGCCACTTGCACACCTCCAGCCCGCACTCTCCCTATCCCCTGATTCGGCAATTCCAACCATTCTCTTACCTGAAATTGAAACTGATGAACTAGCGAATTAGTAGTATACTGCAAATGATCAAAAACTACCCAATTCCTAGATTTCCAAATCTTCCATAGCAAGGTACTACGCGCATAATCCTTCGTGGTTGGCCTCATCAACTCAGTCCTTGGTCTAAGTTGTTCTGCGTTTTCCGTGTGGTTCTTCTGCAAGCCTTGGGGCATTTCTAGGAGGTGCTTTGTTCGTATTGTGGTGCCTTTGGGGTTCTTCTCTCTTGCTTCTCTGCCAGCAGTTGTACAGTTTGTTTTTTCTAATAATATTATTCGCCTGTATCTATAAAAAATACGTCTAAACACCAAAGCCATATTCAATCCCTCCAATCCCTGCCTTTCCTCCATCAAACCGCAACTCACCCATAAATCCGCTACCACTCAAGAAATTTCAGTTCAATTTATTAACTGAAATTATAGGAGAGATTCCATAATTTATTTATATTCTTTCTGTGAACTAATAAGTCTAAGATTTTATGGTCTTATTTTGATATTTTTTTTGGAGACGACAAACGCGACCTCGCAAATTGCGTCAACCGTCCTTTGATTCTTTTGCGATAAAACATGAAAGTCATCCCCAATACAAGTGACACATAATCGTCCCCAAAATTCAAAATCCAAATAATTTTATTGGCTTTGGTCTGTGAATTCAAGACAACATATCGCCCACTATGATGTGTTTTCCAGACAACAAGTCTTGCTTAGTGCCGGCTCTGAAATTATGGAGGTCGTGTCCTATTACAGCCCAATTTTTTAATGAAAAACTAATAAATCATAAACAAAACAACTATTCAATAAGTAAAAATTATTACAATATCATTTAAAATAATTCAAACATTAAGTACATTGACTTGAATCATCTAAATAGATGATGAGAACTTAATTGAGTCGGGGAGGATAATATAGGAGAATGTGATAAATTTTTAGTCTAAAGTTAAGTATTTTAAAAATTATTTATAATTGGTTTACTTTTTTTCTTTTTACTCTTGTTGGTTTGCAACTTATTGTAGTTAACGTTACTAAAAGAGGCATAAGCAATCTCAACTCATATTCTCTGAATCTCTCTAAAAAATACATGACAAAAAATGTGTTCTCTTATATGGTTTGGAAAAATGTCTAATAATAAAGCAAATCTTCCTTTTAATCGATTGCTTCAATCCGTTCAGTATGTGTTTGAAAATCAACACGTACAATTGAGTTGTCATTCTGAGAACTAATGGCTTACTGGAATTTTACATTCACCGGCCAAGCCGATAGTAAAATGTTGAAAAGCTGTAAATCAAACTAGTAAAACTCGAAATGAACATCAGGATTAAGAGCGAGCGGTCGGGTTTCTTAATTATACATGCTTTCTAGCTACGAGGCGCAGAGCATTCTTCTTGTACATCGTAATGCCCGGCATCACATCCATGTCCAAGTCTTCAGTCTTCATTCCGGCCGGCATCTCCCAGTCAAAAGCATAAAGCAAATTAGCAAGTGAAAGCTCTACAGTGACCAGCCCCATGTGGATTCCAGGACACAACCTCCTCCCAGCTCCAAATGGTAGCAGTTGAAAGTCAGTGCCTTTCACATCGATGGACGTTCCAATGAACCTCTCTGGTTTGAACTCCTCTGGATTCTCTCCCCAAGCTTCCGGATCTCTTCCGACGGCCCATGTGTTCACATAGACCACAGTCTTGGCAGGTATTTCATACCCGTTCAAGCTACATTTCTTGGTTGTTTCCCTTGGAACCAACAATGGAAGTGCAGGTTGCAATCTCATCGCCTCTTTAACCACAGCTTTCAAGTAAGTTAGCTGTTGAATGTCTTCTTCTTTCACGAAACCTTTCTTCCCGATGGCGAGTCTGATTTCCTTTTGAGCTTTCTCCATGGCTCTTGGATTCTTCATAAGATATGTCATTGTCCAGACCACCGTAGTCGCGCTTGTGTCCGTTCCACCAATGAATATGTCCTGCAAGGAATGAAATTGTAAGAAACCAAGAAATGAATGAGACGAAGACCAGAAGTTACGTTCTTAATTAGTTAGTAATTAAGGTTATTGTTATAAATTACCAACTGATCTCGCTATCGATCTCAAAGTAAAATCAGCTATCATATCACGACGTCATAATAAACCAACCAACCGATCTCTCTCAATAACTGAAGTTGTACGTTGAAAAAAGTTGATTCTAATGCTTAAGTGGTGATCGATGGTGAATTACGTACGTACCATAAGAATTGCTTTGATGCTGTCGAATGTGAGCTGGACTTTGAAGGAGCGGTCCTTCCAAATCTGAAGCATGATATCTAGAATGTCCTCTTGCTCCGGTTTGGGTCTGTTGGGATCGAGATGTTGGTCAATTATCTCCTGGTAAAAGGCGTCGGATTCCTCGAAATTCTTGTCCAGACGGCTAATCAAACCGCTGAGCCGATCCACGAAACTCAAGAGAGGGAAATGGTCGGAGAAAAAGAAACTGGTGAACAAGGCCTGCGACTCATTGATCAAAGGCTTGAATCTGCTCCTCTCGGCTCCCTCCTCCTCGTACCTCTTGCCGAAAGCCACCCGACAAATGATGGAACTCGTTAGAGATATCATGGCATCGGACAGATCGAAAGGCTTGGATGCCAAGGAAGATTTAGAAATCTTCTCCATGAGTTTGGAGACCTCGTACTCTCTGATGGGACCGAAGCCTTGGACCCTGTTGGAGTTGAAGAGATGGACCACGCACACTTTCTTCATCTCCCTCCAGTACGGACCGTAGGGCGCCGCCGCCAGGTCTAGGCACTCGTAAGTCAACTTTTTCCGCCCAACCGCCGGCGGCCTGCTGCAGAAAGTGAGGTCTTGAGTTTTCATGACTTCCTCGGCCATTTTGGCGGTCGAAACGACGACGACCCGGATGCCGCCAAGCTTCAGTGACGTCACGGGTCCGTATTTTTGAGAAAGTTGCCACATGTAGCGGTGAGGTGCAGTGGGATCCAGCTGGAGCAAGTTCCCGATGAAGGGAAGGCCAGGAGGGCCAGGTGGCAGAGAGAGATTGGAGCTTTTCTTTTGTCGTCGGGAAAGAAAGAGCACGAGGATGAGAGGGAGAGCTAGGAGAAGGTAGATAACAACGGCCGGCGACATTTTTCTTAGCAAAAAGGTGGTCGGTGATTTGCTTTCGGAGGTTGATGGTTTCTGATAGCTAATTCAGTGCCTGTGGTATATATATATATATATATGTATAATACATGTATTATACTTTTGGTTTTCTTTTCAGGGGTGGTTTGGAGGTTGGAATTGTAAAATATGTATTTAGCAAAATATGTCATGGGAAGAATTGGTTGTTTCTTGTTTTGTTTTGATACATAACACATGTATTAGGAATTTGATGTGATAGGTTTAATATTTTAGTAAGAATGATTTTAAACCTTAGCTAAAATTTGACATTAATCTTTTCTTTCTTAAAGTATATTGTTTTTCTACTGTATATAAATGTAGATTATCAACATCAAAACAATGTATTTTTTAAAATGATATATATATATATTCAGTTAGCACACATAATGAGAATACATTAACTAAATCAATGTATTTATTTCGAGAATCTCGCCATCCAAACATGACTTTAGTTCCCTGAGGATTTCATCGTTTAGTTATTGAATATAAGCAACAAAGGTTCAGCACCCATGTGATGAATTTTTTTTATGAAGGCAGCATGTGATGATCGAATTGATCGAGACATTCATTGACTTGATTTCCCACTAGCCTTATTTTGTTAATTAATTATTGTCATTAGTTAACTAAATTGAGCTGTCCAATGGGGTTTCATTTTTTTTATTTAATGAATGATTCCAAACTGGAAAAGTTAAAAAAACAACTTGTGGATGGCCGAAGCTATTTCGCATGAATGCATCTTTGAGAGTTATGAGAAGTTATATATATATATATATATATATATATATATATATATATATATATATATATATGTGGTGGCGTATTCGGTCAACTCAATTTTTTAGGTGCATTCAGTGCATTCATTTCATAATCGTCATTTTAAACATGCGATTTATGTCAAAATGATGTCAATCATCACTTATGATGTGATAAACAATAACGCACATGAATTTGCACAAAACCATTAAAATTGTACTTTAATTTGAAGGATTTAGGGTTTAGAGATTTAGGGTTAGGGTTTACGATTTGGGGTTTAGGGATAGAACTCAAAATTGGAGGTCTAGCGCTTAGGGTAATCCGCTAATTAGTTGTTATCATATGTTATATCATCATATTAAACTAATTCTACAAATTAAATTTCAAAATTCGACACCTTAATACTAGTTTTTGAGTTGGGTGCACTGAACGCACTCATTTTTGTGACTACAGTCGAATAAGAAGATAAATATTGAGATAAGTTGTATTCCCGGAGAAACCCCATCAAGCCCAAGCCGTCATCGCAGTGGGTTTGGGCCAAACTCATTACGCTCAATAAACCTGAACCAAAACTCTATTGCGGTGACTTCAGGTACGAGTTAAGTTGGGCTGGACCTGGACTGATGGTCAAGGCCTTTATTCATCACTCTATAATTGGCAACTGTTATCATTGGTCGCCCTAAGGACTCTACGGTCAGCAGTCCACTAAATTAGGAATGAAAAAATAAGGATCATAGGTATAATATGCCCTTATACTATGTAGTTTTATCAAACATGTCCCTCTACTATTTTTTACATCAAACATGCTCCTCTACTTTGGAAAAATTATCAAACATGCCCTTATGTAAAATTTTCATTAAAAAATGGTCAATCACATTTGAACCAAGGTATTTGGCTATACAAAAGAAATAGAACAATTCTAAAGTAAAATTATTAAGACTATTTTAGATATAGGTGTCGCCCAAACCAAGTTTCGACCATGATTGATGGTTTTTAGATGCAAATTTTAACAAAAGAGCATGTTTGATCATTTTTACAAAGTATAAGGGCATGTTTTATGTAAAAAATAGTAGAGGGGCATGTTTGATAAAACTACATAGTAGAGGGGCATATTATACCTATAACCCCAAAAATAAAACTTGCAATCTTACGCATAGAGAAGAAACAAACGTTTAATTTGGCCCAATATACCAACGCAAAATGTACCGAAAGAGATTTTTTTTATAAATGGATTCATCGCATCTCATCTTTCATTCACAATGAAACGTGGCACAAAAGGCCTTGACAGTCATACAAAAGAAGGTTACAAATGGTAGAGTCCGAAACATCAATCTTATGAAAACCCAAAGGTAAAGAATGACCTCTACTAGCGAGGGCGTCAAAACACTGGTTTCCCTCTCGGTAAATGTGGGAAATAGACACACTTGCCAGTTACGGGCAAGCAACTCCTGGAACCGGTCAATCAAGCAACATGATGGTGGTTGGGACTCTCTCTACTCTGCAGGAACTGGACCGCACACCTGGAGTCGAGTTCGACGCGAACTCGACGATGACCTTCATTCCAAGCCAATTGAAACCCTTCCACATCGCCTCTCAATTCTGCTCGGGTTACAGAACAAATACCCAAGTTCAAAGCAAAAGCTGCAATGCAATTTTCTGTGTGATCTCTAATCAAGGCAGCAGCTGCAGCATGGCCTGATTCATGGAGGACAGAGCCGAATCGTTACACCTCAATTATCGATTAATTATTTCAGTGCATCATTTGCTCTCACCAAGTCTGAAGTCTGAACAGTTCACTTCCTAGTTCCCCCTCGCCACCTTCTCTTCTTCACCAAAACCAACACACAAAGCAAACCATTCCATTCTTTGTGAAGCCTGAAGGGGTCGTTAATGGAATAACGCGCCAAAAAGGAGTTGGACAGATAGTGAGAGCAAAGCAGAAAGACGAAAATGCAGTCTTTTCTTGCCTATTCGTCCTCCAAAAACATCGGATTTCGACCACACGCGAGAACTACATATGATAGGTGTTAGGAAGGAGAGATTTTTGGAGATAAGTATCTTGATGCATTCAAACGTGATTTGCTCCTCTGTTTTCAGTTTGTTTTATAAATCATTTATAATCATATTATACAAAAATTGAATCGTTACATTTCAATTATCGAATTAATTATTTCGGCTCATCCTATGCTCTCACCAAGTCTGAAATATGAACAGTTTCACTTCCTAGTTCCCTTGGCCACCTTCTCTTCTCCACCAAAACCAACACACAAAGCAAACCCTTCCATCCTTTGTGAAGCCTGAAGGGGTCGTTAATGGAATAACGCGCCAAAAAGGAGTAGGACAGATAGTGAGAGCAAAGCAGAACGGTGAAAATGCAGTCTTTTCTCGCCTATACGTCCTCCAAAAACATCGGATTTCAACCACGCGCGACAACTAGATATGATAGGTGCATTCCACCACCTACAGCAACAATCTCATGTCGAACCTTCACAAATTCGCCTACTACCGCTCTGTCCTTCTCGCTCGAATCCGATCCGCCGCCGAAGTTGCTAGGCCCAGCAAGCAATAAGCTCAAGCTTCATCCGTCGTCGAAGAATTCAACTGTTGCCCACTGCGGCATTTCATCGAACAGTTCGGGAGCACACGAGGGAAGCAGTATCAGAGGATGGGTTGAGGCTGCTTCCGAAGCGATTTCCACCGCATTTCCGATATGGGTATCGCTGGGTTGCTTGATGGGACTTCTAAAGCCAGCTTCTTTCGGTTGGGTCACGCCCAAATGGACCATCTTTGGGCTTACCCTCACTATGCTTGGTATGGGTATGACGCTTACCCTAGATGATCTCAGCAATGCACTGGCCATGCCAAAACAGTTGTTTGCTGGGTTCCTGCTCCAGTATTCGGTTTGTCTTGCTCCCTTTCACCCTTTTTTTTTGGATTTTGTTAAGTTCATTTCTGAAAAGAAAGGACATTGTCACCCTGTCTGCATAATTTAGAAGTCATTGTTGAGAAATGAATTATTGTAAAGGAATTGATGCCGTTTTGGATAGCAACAGTAAGTTTGTGCTGGCATCTGAGGTTTTGAAGAATTTGATTGGTCAGATAGAAGAGTCTAGAGCCTGAACATCTGGACATCCATAGCAATTTCATGTCTTTTTCTTTCACTTCTCTTGTCAGCTTGGAATTTTTTTAGTACCGGAAATAGTTCCAACCAGTTAATGAAACATGCTTCCATGAAGCTTAGCTGTGCAGAACGTCACTATGATATGGAACTTATGGTTTCTGCAGTCAATGAAATTGGGAAACATGAGTGGAGACAGAAGGATGAATCTAGACTTAAATCAATGTGAAATCGTTATGTTCGATAACAGACATTTGATTTCCCCAAATGAATAAATGTTACTTACTGATGAAATTTTCATCCTATGAAGTGTCAGCATTCAGCAATGCAACGTTTTGCAGCTTTTAAGTTCTGTAATTATATGCTGAAAGAGCAAGAGATATACTGGTTGCAGGTGATGCCAATATCAGCATTTCTTGTGAGCAAGATCTTAAATCTGCCATCGCATTATGCTGCTGGACTAATATTGGTTGGTTGCTGTCCTGGTGGTGCGTATGACTTTAAGTCTTTGAGAAAACAAGTCAGATTTCCTGTTTCTTCATTCTCTACAGGGTGTGATATTTCTTGAATTCTTCAATGTTTACAGGGACAGCAAGTAATATTGTTACGTACATGGCACGGTACGATCTTCTGCTGATCACTGTATCTTTTGTTTTCTCACAGTTTTTATTGTTTATAATCCATAAATTGTGATAATGCTGTTATCATCCAGCGGGAATGTGGCACTTTCAGTATTGATGACAGCGGCAAGCACTTTGACAGCTGTGGTTGGTGCTCGATTCCATCTATCTCACTGCAATTTGTGTTTGATTCCCTTTTCTCTTGTCAGCTCAAGGATCAGAATTTTCCTTTTCATTTCCTTGAATCATGTATCATGAGTTCTAGCTAGGAATTGCTTTCCAACTTCTTAATATCTGTAGACTTATAGGAGATTTGAATCGTCACATCAAAGAAATTTTATAGTTACAAACTTCATCAAAGTTCTACATATTAAGTTTTTAACTAACATGCTACAAACCTTTGAGGTCAAATCCAGCAATGGATCTAGATTGATGTTTCTACTGTGTTGAACAGAGAAGCATTTGCCTTTGGTTGGTTTTATTTGAAAATAGTCAAAATACTATCTCGCTTTCCTCAAATTGCAGGTAATGACACCTTTTTTAACAGCAAAACTAGCTGGGCAATATGTTGCAGTGGACGCAGCAGGATTGCTAACATCAACCATGCAGGTGAGCATTATTTGTCCCGATTCAGTTAAAATGCAGGAACCATTTATTGGCAAGTAATTTAATTTCTTTTTCCTGATTGTAGTAACTCTGTAATTTGTGCCATAAAATGCAGGTTGTCCTTCTTCCTGTGCTGGCTGGTGCCTTTCTAAATCAATATTTCCAAAGCCTGGTGAAGTTTGTCTCCCCTTTGATGCCACCTATTGCTGTGGGAACTGTTGCCCTTCTATGTGGAAATGCAATTGCCCAGAGCTCTTCTGCAATAATGATGTCAGGCAAACAAGTGGTGCTAGCATCATCTCTTCTTCACGCATCTGGTTTTTTCTTTGGTTTTGTACTATCAAGGATCCTTGGAATCGACACGGCATCATCAAGAACCATTTCAATTGAAGTTGGCATGCAGGTAAAAAGCTATTATTCCCCTGCTCATATCCTAAAATATGTCTCAACGTCCTTCAAAGACAGATAGCTGGAGTAGTATTTTCTTTGCTGGAAGCAGTACTGGTTTCTAGTAGTAAGTACTTCATTTGATCCTTGCGAGGGCTGTTAGCATCAACACTGTTGAACGTTTTGGCTTGTTCACCATGTCTAACCAACAATGGGTGCCAGGATAGAATGGACTTCATTCATATTCTTGCCTCCTTTACCATCACCTAGTCTGCTTGGTCAAAGCTTGTTTTATGTTTCTCTGCTAGTTGAGTTATGCTGTTCTATTTCAACTTCATCCCATCTGAATTTTCATCCAACTTTGGCGGATCGGATCTATAAGAAAAGGATGACATAGTAACAACCATGCTGGAAAGCAGCAAATGATGCAGATCTGAAGCTGAAGCACAACCTGTGAATGTTAACACAAAGCAGTGTTACTGAAAGGGTTGGATTGAAATTCAGATGGAATTTAAAGCCGGGCTGTTCTCATCCCTATAGCTTGAATTCTGGCTCGTAATCATCATCAGTTTGGAAAAGGCTGGGCCATTGCTCATCCTAATGGTTAAATGTTGGCCTGTATGAGTTGTTATTCCGCCTAGCTGGCATTTGGAACTGTAGAACAACTGGCCTTCACTTCGAATTCACTATAGTTAGAGATCTTAGGCAATTTATACACTGTGCTATCATGCGACATTGTTAGCAGGGTTTCAATTAAGCTGGCCTGTCACTGTTTCTAACTCCTATTTGGTATCCATTCTTAAAGAGGTGAGTACTTAATCTATGTTTTGAATCTTTTGGTGTGTATGCAGAACTCAGTGCTTGGAGTGGTTCTTGCAACTCAGCATTTTGGCAATCCACTCACTGCAGTACCATGTGCAGTCTCCAGTGTGTGCCATTCCATCCTTGGCAGTGTCCTTGCAGGATTCTGGAGACGAGATGTGCCATCACAGGACCAAGATTGATGTGAAAAGCTTCCATCTTCCCCAGACAAGCTTGTTCCAAACTGCTCAGCGATTTTTGGTTCTTCAAAGTCCCTATCTTGTAGGTTTTGCTTCAGTGATCTGCTAGTGCTTCTTGTTTGGTAGTTTATCAGGCATTTCAACTCTTGGATTCCATTCCAGACAGCAGCAAAAATCTAATAAATTCACTCAAATGATTTTGACTGCCCTCCATTATGTCGCGATCTATTGCCGTTTCCCAGACATTTTATTGTTCTACAATTGAGGGGAAAAAACAAATTCTGACAACTTCAATGATCTTGATGTGATGTAAAGGAAGTAGAGGACTGAATTGTAAGTAGACACAAAATTGGTATTCCCTGCACAATTTCGCCCCACACCACATGGCCAGATTTTTCCCGCCAGCCTTTAAAAATAAGTAAATCTGGCGCGAAAAGATGAAAACTGCAAAAACCAATTTCATGATTCCCACCAGATGTGTTTCAGATTACTGCCCTCCATAATCTCTCGCGCCCCCGAATACCATTTTCAGTTTGAGATTTCAGAGCCCTTTTCGAATTTGTTCCCTCTACCGCCAATTTCGAAATCCCCCCACTCCTAAAACCAAAATAACTTGTAATCCTACATCTAATTCAGAGCTGAAATCGAACCCTTATCAAATCAGCTACCCTCTGTTTCTTCCCCTCTCAATCCCACCAGAGACAGAGCAACTGAGGGAGAATAGAAATGGCTACCCAGTTTCAAACTTTGCCTCCTCTCAAAAGGTTCAGGCTCTTGCAGCAGCAGCAGCAGGAAGAAGAAGAAGAAGAAAACAAAGAAAATATTCCCCCGCCTTTTATACCTTCTTCCTCTTCACAGCAGCTTCTTCCGGCCAAGAAGCGAATCGAGTCTCGGAAGCCGCCACTTCTACCTCTTTCTCCTCCTCGTTCCGCAGCTGCTGCGGCAGTCACTTATTCTCTGCCTACCAAGAAAAGGGTTTGGGCGTTTCAGCCTCCAGATCTCGACGACCACGAGTGCTCAGTTAAGCCGTCGCCGCAGTCACCACTTTTGCCTCTGGATTTGAATGTTCAGTATGACCCTCTGTGTGATTACGAAGAAGGTCATAATCATCACAGGACTGAGAAGAAGAGACATGTGGATAACCAAAAGATCCCACTCTTAAGGTCTGTTGAACCTCAAAAAATCAAGCTCTTAAAGTTGCTCTTGTTGTTGTTTAATTTAAGCTAAATCTCTATGCTGATTTATATTTCCCACTTCCAATTACTAGCTCACAATCGAATGAATCCGCCCAAGCCGATTGCAAACATGAAATTGGTCAAATTGACGGTGAAGAAGAAGAAGATGATGATGAAGATGGGATCCTCTGTGCTGTCTGCGGCAGCACGGACGGAGACCCATTGGATCCCATCGTGTTCTGCGACGGATGCGATCTAATGGTCCACACGACATGCTATGGTGCACCATTGATCAATGGCGTGCCGGAAGGTGATTGGTTCTGTGCAGAGTGCTCTGTTTCTGATGGGACGAAAAAGAAGGCCCCGTTGTCTTGTTGCCTCTGCCCCAAGCAGGGCGGCGGGTTGAAGCCGACGAAAAAGGATGGCGTGTGGGCACACATATTGTGCGCGCTTCTGATCCCGGAGGTGTTCTTCGAGGACCCAGATGGCCGAGAAGGGATCGATTGCTCTAAAGTTCCCAAGAGAAGATGGAGGGAGAAGTGTTCTGTTTGTAAAAGCAGGCAAGGGTGTGCTATGGAGTGCTCTGAAATGAATTGTCCCCTGGCTTTTCATGTCACTTGTGGGCTGAAGGAGGAGCTGTGTATTGAGTATAGAGATGGAGGTAGCAAGAGTAAGGAAGCCATTGTTGCTGGGTTCTGCAGAACTCATACTAAGCTTTGGGAAAAGGTAAATCTTTTTTGTAAAGAGATAAAGTGGGTTGTGATTAATACAGTTTGTTTCCAGTTGCCATTGTTGGAGCTTTGATTTCTCTCTGTTTGTTTTGTTTACGCAGCAACAGGGGACAGGGAAGTACAAGATTGTGGCCAGAGGAGAGCAGAGGAGGTAGCAACTAGCAAGCAAGTGAGCGCCATGGATGGTTTGAGTTTCTAGGTTGAGCTAAAGGTTCGAACTCAGAACATGCTTTTTATTTGCTTGTCATCTTCGTATTACTATCTGCACAACGTTTTGCATCAAAGGTACAAGTTTTACATCTCAATGTAGCATGGCAAGAATAGTCTATTGTACTTTGTATCTTAATTCTTCCTTTAACAGTAGAATCTAGAGTTAATACTGTGGGGTTAGTTTCTGAAATGTCAGCACAGTTGAATTTTCTTAATTTCCTTCTAGGGGGTGGTTTACTTTTGTTGTTGGTCCAGAAGAGTTGACATTTGTGTTCATCGGTGGGTATGAATCATTTTCCAGAATGAAATCGACTTTTGTTGACTAATGAAAATTCCAATAGGCGCCTTTATGTAGCAGCACATTGACTTTCATGAGTTGTGTTATTTACTGTCAATCTCATGCTGTGTTAGATGGAGGTTCTGTGCTTGAATTTTTGTTCCCCATTACAATGTTCTAGACTCTAAGACCATTTGATTCTTGATTCATGAGGTGAGGATAATCTCCACGCCATTAGTCTTTTAAAACCCTAATATCCTTTAATCAAATCTTGAACAAGATTTGTTTTATCGAATTAACCTTTGCATCCTTAAGAATCCAGAACACAAGGCAAGAAAAAGCTAAGGGGTCGTTTGGATGGAGTATTTGTATGAGTTATCGTTTGACATCGTTTTGCTGAAATGAATTATTTTTATAGTCAGTTATTTACATATAACTCAAAACGAGTTATTTGAAATTACTCATCCCATGTGTTATTTCAAAATAACTCGTTTTACAACTTTACTTTTACCAAATATCACATGTCAAATACCACATTTGCATGGTTTATCCAAAAGAAATACTTTTTTTTCAATTACCATTGAAATACCACATAAATAAATGAGTTATTTGACTATACAAATACCACATTGACAATTAATCCATCCAAACTACCCAATATTTTTTACATTATGGTACACCATAGCTTTTATTGATCTTGATCATTTGCCTCATTGGAACATATACAATCATTAACCGTCTATTAATTGTGCTAAGCTTGTAATTGAGCTTCCTCTAACAATCATTCGACTTTCGACTTTTATTTTTATCCTTGTTGCGTGTTTCATTGTTCATTCTCAAATAAAATGACTTGATAAGTTTAATTTGACATTAGAGTCAGTTTGGAAGTTGCGATTGTTTTGTTGAGATTGTCATTATGCATGTATTGTTTACAATGCATCGATTTTTTTTTAGCAGAAACAATACATGAATTGTTTCTGTGATGTGACAGAAACTATCACTCATTTTGAGTGATTGTTATATCTCAATTTTTAGTTGTGATTGTTGAGATAGTTGAGTTGAAATTGTTTTGTCTCAACTTTTAGCTGATGCGACATACACAATCACACATACCAAACGTTGTATTCTACAATACATCAAATCCGATAATACATGTATAATATTATACATGCATTCTCAACAATGCATCTATTTAACAATTGCAACTTCCAAACAACCCCTAAATATATATCTAACAATCCATATACTCCAGTTGTTTTGGGTTAGGCTGTATTTCACTCCTATAACATTACTTTTACTCATCAACTTGAGTTCATGATATGTGAAATGACCAAAATAAAGCATTCAGACGAAAGAATGTTGAGATTTAGTAAATCTTTGAATGAGTGAAATTTAAACTGATGAAATTATGACTGTTGAGTAATCAAATTCTGCTGTTTGGGTTGATAAATTTAGAAAATAATTTGTATTTAACTTGTACAATTTCTTCCATCAACACTAGACCAAAATAAACCAAATTCAAGGCACTTGGTAACAAATGGGAAAGGATAAGACATGTTCATCACCCTGACATCATGGGAATGTCATCTGCTGCACCGTTTTCCCTTTTGAAAATATTTTATTTTTCGTAGAAAAAAAATTATCATATTCATATCCATTTGCAAAGCCATTTTGTTTTTATCTTTTTCCATATTTTATATATATGAAAGTCAAAGTATGACTTCATTTACGAATCACCCATGACATGCACAATACCTAAATTTCTGCCACCTTTTGTGGTGCAAAAAATTCATGCATTAATTTATAAGAAATAATAATCTTTGGAATTTCCTACGATAACTTGGGTATAATTTCAAGTTAGATAACTTGTATAAATTTGAACTGTTAAAATAAATTGAAATTATTTTAAGTCATTATTAAAAAAATAAAAACAAAAAAGAAAGACGGGCACCCAGCACCGCTGGACGCCGGTCACCACTTTCCCCTTTTAACTTCTTTTTGTTTTATTTCCTTTTTCGCATCCACATCCACTTTTACTTTTATTTTTTCTTTTTCATATTTTTTTAAAAAATTCTTACCCTTTTAATTACAACGGTCACCTAAACTACACATTTATTATGTAAATATTACGAAACGATAATGGTTTCTTACGTAACAGTTAAATCTAAAGCTTTACGTAAGACTTACGTAATGATTTAACACTTTACGTAACACTAAGTTAATTTTCATTACGTAAAAGGACCGTTCATTACGTAAGTCTTCCGCAATGAAATTTTACAACTATTACGTAAAATACACATATATTCCGTAAAAGTTACGTAATGATAGTTATTTCTTGCGTAACATTTAAATCAGAAGCATTACGTAAGGTTTCTGTAATGACTTATCACTTTACGTAACGCAAATGTATTCATTACGTAAAATGATCGTTTATTACGTAAGGCTTCCGTAATGACACTATTATAACTGTTACGTAAAATACACACTCATTACGTAAAGTTCACGAACAACAGTTATTTCTTACGTAATAGTTATATTTGAAGCGTTACGTAAGGATTACGTAATGACTTAACACTTTACGTAATGCATAGTGAATATTCATTACGTAAGAAGATCGTCCATTACGTAAGGCTTCCGTAATGACCTTTTACAACTGTTACGTAAGATAAGAATATATTACGTAACCATCACGTAACACCTGTAGTGTTTTACGTAATGCGACCTGTGAAACCTGTTATAGCAGGTAAAAATATTCAAGTCACGTTACTTCAAGTCACCATAGAAAATCCCAATAATCTTTATACGGTCATATTTTACATTCATCATTTGGCTTGATTATACATAGTTAGGGTCTAGTTTATATAATACTCAATTCGTGGTTAATTATCTATTACATCCATCAATCATGACCTAGTTCATACAAATTCATTCATTTGTATGATTTATATACACATTTATGGCCAAGTTTATTCATACATAACATTCTTTACGCACATTATCCGTTGGAGAAATTTTACAATGCTATATAGTATTGGTGCTATAGGATTTTGCCTTTATGGTACAACTTAAAATTGTACATTTACGTTATGGTACAACTTCAGATTGTACCTATACTTTTTGTACAAATTCTTTTATGGTACAACTTGAACTTGTACTTTTATGTGATGGTACAACTTTAAGTTGTAAAGTTGTACCATAACATAATGGTACAAATTGTTTTATGGTACAACCTAAACTTATACATTTAATGTTATGGTACAACTTTAAGTTGTACATTAAAGCACCAATACTATATAGCATAGTAGAAGTGCTCTATCCGTTGCTAGCATACAATTAATCTAATCTCTTACACATTCATACGGATATATATATGGAGTTCTACGATATCTAAGATGAAATCCGGAGTACCGCATACCTTGAATATGAAAACGCTATATATACCTTGAATTGATTGAACTTCCCGGGCATGATATTATACTCTAACCCTTATAGTTCACAATCTATGCCTTAATTCTCTAAATCTTATACCCCCAAGATCAATTTAATTGGAAACAATAATAATCGACGGTTATGATTCGCCCAAATATAGACAAAAAAATGAATGCGCCATCTTAGGGTTTATAGTTTATGATTTAGATAACTAAGACCTAGGGTTCATCCATTAAAAGTTAGGGTATAGTATCAGGTCCTTAAATTCTATTAATTCGAAATCTAGATAGAGTTTTAATGCTGAAGTTACACTCAACTTATACCAAATTCATACACATAATCTGCCCCTCCGTATATACGTGTTCGTCTCATTATTTATGTATATTCAACCTCGTATATAATCTATTAGAGAGAATCCAATAACATGTTTAGATGAATAATGAATTGCCATAACTTACAATATATTTTGGTGGGGTTGTATTCAACCCTATATATGTATATTTTACGAAATAGTAATCATCTTCAAATGTGGGGGAGATCGACTGATTGATCCATAAATAACAAGATAGATAGATACATGGTACTTTTCGTTAGCAAGGACTATTTGCATTGATGAAAACAGCCGCCGAACCACCATGGACAGATCTCTAGCTAGCTAATTGGCACCAAACCTACCTGAAGGATGGAGGAACAGATTTGTCAACGCAGCCCAAGTTCCATTATTCAACTGCTGGGTTGCTACGTTTCTAGAAATCGTCACTATCGATCGATCTCTTCGTATTAATATATTAGGTCAAACGTACGTGATTAAGGTTAGGTTTTTGGTCTTAATCGTTTCCTATAAATAGAATCATATACAACGCACGCAGTTTGGTATCCAACTTTCATCCCAATAGCTAGATATATACCACCATCTTACTGCTGCTAGCTATTACACATTACGTACCACAAACACGTAGAGAGAGAGAGAGAGAGAGAGAGAGCTAGATGGGTTCTTCCAAGCTCGGGAGCTCACTTCTGGTCCCTAGTGTTCAGGAGTTGGCCAAATCCAACAACGCTCGAGCCGCTGTTCCTCCAAGATACATAAGGGAAAGGGAGGAGCTCGTGACGAGATCTGTGGTTGATGAAAATGGCGGATCGGTTGTTATTGGTGACGATGAGGTGCCTGTGATTGATATGGAGAAGCTGCTTTCGCCTGATTCCATGGCTTCTGAGCTCTCCAAGCTCCATTTCGCTTCCACCCACTGGGGTTTCTTCCAGGTTACGTTCGTCGTCCTCAATCGTCATACTCATATCTTCGGATTATTATTTTGTACAATAAATTGCATGTTACATGGTCAAATCCCTAGGCCATGTGCCTCAAAACAAGTGACCGATACATGGACTTTGGCGATTGCCATTTATTGTACAATAAATTGCATGTTATTGTCATATATATGAATTAAGTAAAATCCGATAAACTAGCATATATAAGTGATGTGGTCAAATTCATAATTCTATTATATTTTAGAAATTTTATTCATGTATGCTTAATTCACTTAGTTTAATCAATTTTTATCTTAATACTTTTGTTTAATATACTTAGAAATATGAAAAAATGTAGTCACAAAAATAATTTGAGCTAGCTATGATTTATTCAGAATGGAGAATAAAAAAGTCTAACTGGGTTGACATGTCGATATACACATAACAATTGCGTTATTTTTATGATAAATTTTGGATACTTCGAATAAAAAAAAATACATCACTGTAATTACGTGGTATTCTCGAAATATTCAATATTTTATTTTTTTAGATAATGACGAGTAATTATTATTATTAAAAACCGGAAAAGAACTGTCAATATTTCATTCAGTTGCATATATGGCTTTGACTGTAGACTCTAAAGAGGTACAGCTAAGCAAGTGGAGGGGGCAATAGCGATTAACGTCCACGTCATCATAAGCTCATGCTGATTAGCGTTGACCATTTTTTTTGGAACAGCTCCTAGTTGACCATTTCAAACGAACATGATGTGCAAATTTACTAATCTCTTATTTCTTCTATATGACCTTAATTTTACCATTCTCGTGTAACTCAGTTCAGCTTTCATCGTAGATGCTTCAATGATACCTTCAGTAAGGTCAACGAGTGAAATTTACCCGATTTTACATAATTAAATACTTAAAATTAAATCATTCACGCATATCCAAATCTTTTTCAGATTCCTTTATATTATTCAAACCTATTAAAAAATTATTAATTAACCAAATCTTTCATAATGCATCAAAATATTAGTCTTTTTACGTTGTCGTTAATAACTTTGTAATATTTCGATAGGTTTGGATAATATAAAAGAATCTGAAAAATATGTGGATAAAAAATAGACATTACTCTAAAATAAAAAGTAAGATAGGAAGAGATTAAACTATTAATATTTTATCCATCCTTTTGGAAGTGAAGAGTCCGAAGAAACTCATATGCAACATACATGGCTCGAGTTATTGCAAGACAATTATTCGACAATAAACATGTCATATGTCGTTCTCTTACACACTTTCGTTAACGAAGTTCGACTCATGTACATAAAGTTTAAACATGTTCACAAAAGAGCTCTTGTCTAAATACTTTCATATCGTGTCTAAAATCTATTGACCCAAATAATTCGAGTTCGAGTTATCGAAAGAAATCCACATTCCGTTACCATCACTTAACTAGAGTGCATGCAAGCATCGAGAATGACTAAACCGATGCAACCATGAATGGTGTTTTTGCAGTTGATCAACCATGGAGTCAGCAGTGCCCTTCTGGAGAAAGTGAAGGCAGAGGTGGAGCAGTTCTTCAACCTCACCATGGAAGAGAAGCAAAAGTTCTGGCAGAGAGAAGGAGAAGTAGAAGGGTTCGGCCAAGCATTCGTGGTGTCCGATGAACAGAAGCTGGATTGGGCTGACCTCTTCTTCCTCGTCACTCAGCCGCCAAGTGAGAGGAAACCCCACTTGTTCCCAAACCTTCCCCTGCCTCTAAGGTCAATTTCCCTATATATCGAACAATATTCAAAGCGCCTTCAAAAATTTGGTGACCATATTAGTAATTATGCTGACATATATATATATATATATATATATATATATATATAATATATAATATATATTTGTAATTACAGGGACACGTTGGAGGCTTATTCAGTGGGGCTGAAGAAAACAGCAACGGAGATCTTGGTCCATATGGCCAGCGCACTAAAAATGGAAGAGAAGGAAATGAGGGAGCTTTTCGAAGATGGACACCAATCCATGAGAATGAACTATTATCCACCATGCCCTCAGCCCAATCAAGTCATTGGGCTCACTCCACACTCCGACGCCACGGGCCTGACCATCCTTCTCCAGCTCAACCAAGTTGAAGGCCTCCAAATCAGGAAAAATGGCAATTGGGTTTCCGTCAAGCCCCTCCCCGACGCCTTTGTCATCAACATTGGAGACATTGTTGAGGTAATTAGAACAAATCATGAAAAGTTATTTTTATGTTGAAATTGTAGTTAATTTGTGGCTAATCGTTTGATACCACAAAAATCACCTATTAATTTAAATTCTGATAGAACGATTGGACCGTTAGAATGCTTTTACAGTCATATAATTGATATAACAGGGATCTACGAACACGAGTTTTTACTCGATTACATATCTTAAACACCGAACCTTGTTCATATCCTAACACAATAGGACTTTGTTGTGTGGATGCAGATTGTAACGAACGGGGCTTATAGAAGCATTGAGCATCGAGCAACTGTGAATTCAGAGAAAGAAAGGCTCTCCATCGCCACATTTTATGGGCCAAGCTATGAGAAAGAGATAGGCCCTGCCAAAAGCTTGGTGACTGATGAGAATCCACCACAATTCAAGAAAATACTAGTGGAAGATTTCTTCAAAGGCGTCTTTGCCAGGGAGCTCAATGGGAAATCCTACATTCATTCTTTGAGGATTTAGACATATACAACATTGTATGTATGTGAACGATATGATCATGGGGAGTTGAGTTGGAGGGCTAAATGAACAAGTATATACGTTATTTGTTATGGATATACATATCGAGTTGTCACTCATATCAATAAATTAAACTGCTTTGTACGATCATTCATATTCTCTCTTTCGTTTAGAGGTACAAAGTTGGTCTTTCATCATTGTCCAGCAGCATATCACTGATTCGAGTGTAAGAGCGTGTGACCATTTCATCATGGATTTTGCAGCATAACCCGTTGATTTGTCAAGCTTCATCACCCAGAAATGGCGATGAAAGAAGCCAATCACAAAACAAGGATCATAGCAAGGTAGAAGTCACAAAAGTTGACATAAACGTACACAAAGTTAAAACTGATTAATCAGAAAGCTTCTACCCATCTAGTGAGTGAGACAGTTAACATTTGATTCCTAAAATCATAGTCCAAGTTGGGAGTAGGAGGTGCCACGAACATTGGACGGGTGATTATCAGCCGCCATAGTTGGTCATCACGACAACAATCAACTCCCTGTCCTTCAGCCCAAGCTGCGTATAGATAGATACAAACACACAGCATCAACATTCCACAGACCTTAGAACATACATCAAACAAAACAAAGTACTGGTTAGATCAGAGTAGCAAATTCAGTTTAGTTTAGTTTCGTGTAGAGTAATAGTAGTTAAATGACTGATAATCACTTCGGCAGGGGTCTTGCGGTGGTCGAAGTCCCTCTGGTTAATGAGGAACGTCAAGAGTTTGAGATCCAGTAACTTCTTCTGGCAGTAACTGACGAGGAGCTTCTTGATCGGCTTGTGAATATTCACCTTGAAATGCAGCACTTCACCATCCTGCAATTTTGTTTTGGTACATCATAGAGCTGGCTAGCGTTAGTTTGTCTGGTCGCTAAAACATTTTGAGAAGCACACAGACAAAGTTATGATCTAGAAATCTGCACCTGGCCCTTGATGGCGAGAGCGATCATCGGTTGGGACGGCCCGGCACCGCCACTGTCTCCGCTGCTGATCTCCACATCCTCCGGCTGCGCCATCTTCTTCCTTAGCAGGGGAGAATACAGAGAGATAGAGAGAGAGAGGGAGGGAGAGTGTGTGTTGAAAGTGAATGGAATGAGGTTTCGTTCCTGATATGTGTTTGTAGGAAATGGTTTAAAAATTTGGTTGACAGCAACTGATGTAACAGCGCATGAGAGGCTGACAAAGATGGTGTGTACCGGTGGCCATATTTATGTTCTTCTGATAGCGTGTGAGAGAGGGTCGCAGAGTACTGTAGGGCCAATCTCCTTCTGCTTCTGATTTCCTGCTTTTACAGCAGATTCCCTTTCTTTCGTCTCTTTCAGGTTTATGATGACGACAAGTTTAGGAGAGAGTACACACAACCGATTCTTTCTCAGGCATCAACAATCATGGAGCGGAGAGGAGAAGAGGGACAGTAACTATATTAAGAGGGTTAATCCTGGAATCTACAGCAGGCCAATCAATGTCATTATTTTTCCATTGACAAATGAGAACTTGGCAGTAAGAATGGTTTACTTACATCAGGATGAAACAATACATACAACAGGGGGGGCAGCAAATCACACCGCTAAACTCGAACCCACCTCCCTTTCATCTCCCTCCATCATTTCTTTCGCCGTCTAAGACAACCCATAATGAACCGTCCCCACATTCCGATGAGCCGCCACAGCTATGGCAGCCGCGCCAGCAGGGCCATAGTGAGACTGGGCCTGGATCAGCTTCGCATCGATGGCAATTTGCTCGTTCATCTGCTGATGCTGATGCTCCACCACCACCCTGGCTGCTTGTTGCTGGTGGTGGTGGTGGTAGTACGGGTTACTGTTGTTAATCTCCGTTGCTATTACTCCTGACGAAACTAGTGGCTTCCTCATTGCCATCATGTTGTGCTGCTGAGGAAGAGGTTGCTGCGGCCTGGCTTGCGATGTTGTGTGGTGGTGCTCGGCGTCTATCAAGGACGACTTGTTTTTCGTCGTTGGGGCGGAGTTCGTTGTGGTCCTGAAGAAGCATGGGGGAGATACTGTGGTGGTGTTTCTGTACACATTCCTTGCATCGTAGACACCATCTTTGACAAGGTTTCTGGTATTGTCACATGGTACAACTGATCCTACAACTCTACCGGGCTTTGCTGCATTCACTGAATAAAGGGAAGTATGTTAAACACATAGTGGAGAAAGGAAAAGAACTGCAAAGTCAAGACTTGATCATATGAACTCTGGTTAGCTAATATACGAGCCATTCCAGGACAAACCCATGGCATTAGTACAAACCAGGAGGCAACAACAAAAAATGTACCTGTAGGCACTCTAGGCGGCGGCCGTAAGGTCCTAGAAGCATTCCCAGCAACACCGTCGGTTCCCCTGAAGTTTTTGGAGACTTCATCTGTTACTTGGTGGTTGTCAACTGAAGTTGAAGACGGTATGTTATGAGACATTGACGCCGAATGAACTGTGGGCCTGAAACCAGAGGATCGAGACCAGTGTGAGGAGACCAACCAGAGGGTGTTGTGAGAGATTTGAAATCAACTCAGTAATTAGGCCATACCGAGGGAGAGAGGCATGCTTCCTCTCTAGAGGAATAACCGGTGCACTACGACCACTATTTTCTTCAAGGTATGCAAACTGCTTTCTGAAATGACCTATCGCACTGCATCACAACAACAAAGAGGTATTCAGCAAATGAAACAATCTTGTGAAATATAAATTAGAAATTCTACAAAGGAGGATTTCTCAAACCTAGGATAGAGGAAGTTCGTGCCTTCATTCCCACTCATGTAGTCTTTTAACAACTGCGGATGATACTCGAGTATCTCCCGATAAAGGAGCTCCCTGATGTCATCCTTCGTAACCCTTCTCCTTTCAAACTCGAACTCCAACTTTGAGATCGGCTGACAAGAGGGCTCCCTCTCTATTTTCGATAGGCCCCTAAAGTAAGGATCCGCAAGAGCCTATGTCAACAGAAAGACTGTTAATAATAAGAACACATTGATACCCAAACAAAACGAACACACTAGTACAGGCTTTAAACGCAAACCTCCTCTGCAGTTGGCCGATCATTTGGATCAAAAGCTAAGAGCCTTTGGAGAAGTCGTAGTGCCAAGGGATCTGCACTCGGGAACTTGTGCGCAAATGGCACAGGCTGTTTTTTCCTCATCTCAGTTAAATACTTCCTAGCTTTATCATTTCTCACCTGAAAAGTAATGTGTTGGTTTTACAACATCAATATCAAATAATTTTAGCCGGTGGCAGAGATGGTCAGGAGAAGTGAATGTTAGCATACCCCGGAAATGGTATCCTGTGCAGGAGTCCCAAGAAGATCGGTGATAATGTCTAATTGGTGGACGACACTTTTACCAGGGAACAAGGGCTTCCCTATCAACACCTCGGCAAATATGCAGCCGATGCTCCAAATATCAATTGCTGGCGTATACTGTATGCAAAATAATGGTTAAAGTTAGAAAATCTTGCGCAAGATAACAAATGTTGAGGCTGTCATCAGAACCACCCACGAAAAACATACATTAAACTGACACCATTTACCTGAAAACGACAAAAAAATTTAACTTTCGGGAGACATTTCATAGTCCTCCCTGAACAAGAGTTATTTTAATCTAAGGATTACTGTTTATTGCATGTAGAATACAAACATATAGACACAGGTAACAGTTTTGCGTCAATAGATATATTATTCATGTTAGACCACCAAATCACCCAAGGCGTGAAAGATGCCTCAGATATCTAGATCATCTTGCACATAGCAAGATTAAAATTAAGGAAAAAGTTTTCATGGCATCTGCCTCTGAAAATATCAGCTCATGATTAACATATATACTAAATGGCGAGAATAAGTGTTTTGACTGTCGAACCAGAGCTAGCTATGTGGTTTGACTGTCGAACTAGAGCTGAAAATGACAAATTGGAGATCAAAGGGTTTGATGGTCAAACAATGAGTTTCATAAAGAGATGACTTGTTTGCCAATGCTGACTTCAGTACTTGAATTTTCTAATGCGGTGCCCTTCTTGGATTCAATGTTTAAAAATTAAGCCTGGAATAAGCTAAATTGGCCTTATTCTTCTTATGACTGACCTCTGCAGAACAGTTCAACAGACAAAGAATTTGATGAACTAATCAAATCTGAATTAGCAAAATGAGGTCCATATGTCTCAGTCTTCTACAATAGAATCTTTCCACATTCATGACAATTGTAAGTTGTAAAGCATATGCATGTGATTATGGTGTAGAGCATATGCATGTGCTCATATGCTCCAGTAAGCTTTCATTGCTCGGCCTCTTTTATCAAGGAATCCCAAACCATAACCAACATGTGACGCAATTAAATACGTCCAGCAACTTCTAACAATAACCAAAGCAGGCAGCTTGATCGTCACATGCCACCGGTTAACTTGCATTTCAAGTTAAGAGAATTCCAGGAAAAAGGAAGGCCACTTTCTTTCAACTGTATCGTATTTCACCGCAAAATCACAAAAACGACCGCAAAATAACGAAAACCAACATAAAGACAAACATACAGTCTGAAAGGAACAAACCTTAGAAAAGAAAGACCCGCATAGCTCTGGAGCCCTATACCATCTCGTGGCCACATAGTCCTGCAACACGTAATTGAGAAACATTAGCATATGAACAAGCCACATCACAGAAAAATGAGAGCCCAATCTCAACACGCCCTCGTAAACAACTGAGCAGAAATCATTACCGTCCAGAAAACTGTCGTCGGTGTATCACTGAATGCAACTCTTGCTAACCCAAAATCGCAGATTTTGAGTTTGCAATTTGCATTTGCCAGTATATTCTTGGGTTTGAGATCTCTATGGTACACGTTCGCTGCAATGTGGATTCAAAACTATGAGACACCAGAATAATTATTCAAAATAAACCACATAAGAGAGATAAAACAAAGTGATTGCCAAGCACCTGAAACTTACCACCAGGCATTTGCTGAAAAGTTTCACTTAAAAGCAATGTAGGAAAGAGAGTTCGACAAAAGCCTGATTTTAAGAAAAAGAATCAGAGACACCATTACCTGTATGCATATACTTCAAAGCACGAAGCATTTGATAAAGAAAAAATTGGTGATGTTCCCTCGTCAAGTCATCATTAGCTTTGATAACTTGATGAAGATCAGACTCCATGAGCTCAAAAACGACAAAAATGTCTCTGAATTCCCGCTTGGAAGGAGGTAACATGATCCGCTTAATCTCAACAATGTCAGGGTGCCTTAGCAGCCTAAGCAACTTGACTTCTCTCAAAATTCGAATAGCATCAGAGATGTGCTCGAAAACATCGTGTATTTTTTTTATTGCCACTTTTTCGCCAGTATGAGTGTCTATTGCAGCACAAACAACTCCATAGCTTCCTTTTCCAATGACCTCCAAAACTTTATATCTATTGGCATCCCCATACTCCGTGAAAAATTCCATCTCTTTCAAATCCTGCAACAATAGAAATGTAAGTGAGACAGAAATAAATGGCGATCACCAATTGACATATATAACCAACAAGATATTATGACGGCCAAACCAACCCAAAGTGTGTCAAAACATAATGCACTTTTATATACTTCATCACAGTGCAACAGTGCCACATACAGAACAAATATAACACAAAAATGGACAACATGGACAAAGGAAATTGAACTCCTACAGTAGGGACTAGCCAATCCCAGTTCTAATGACAGCAGCAAGATCAAGATTGACATGCTCAGATATTCACAACAACATACAGAGACCGATTAAAAATGGACAGTTATCGGGCACAGAGAAATGCAGCCATAAACTTCAAAGGTTTTCGAAAACTATTTGATGTTAATGGTTCCTATGGGAACTAGAAAAGGGCAGAACAGGACAGAGTTTGAGTATAGAAGAAAACGAATGAAGGCATATTACACGACCATGGACCGAAAAAATGGCTCAGACCAAGTAATCCCATCAGTTCAAGCCAAATCCTCCCTCACAGTCACACACTAATCCAAACATCCTCTAAACTAGGTAACTTCATCCAATTCATCCTCACTCAGCTCCAAAGAAACCTAAACTGAAGAACACCCACTAAAGCAGATCATAATTCCATACTTTGCTACCAACCACCTGGTGAACTGAGCACGTCAAGTAGATCACTCTTATTTCCGGAAAGCTCTCTTAGTACCCTTCTTGCTTTTCCCTCGCCCATTTCTTATCTCCACTATGTAAAAACAATTTCTTTACTACATACTGGAAAGAATCCCTCGAAATCACCTTCTTTTCTCGTCGCTGAATCCAAGGTGTGAGCGATAAAACAAAGAGAGTAGGACAAATAGTAAAAACCAAGACCCAAATGCCAGATGAACCTCAGATCACAAATTTCTCCATGAACAAAAACACTAACACAAAATCGGCCCATGAGTAAAAAAGGGCTCTCACCTTCTTAGGGTAGTCTCGCTGCATCTTTTTTTTTTAATTTAAAAAAACTTATGTTCCTTTGGTAGAAACCCAAAACCCTTGCTGTGGGCGCCGGCAACAGAGAAGTTCCAATTCCGCTAAATGAGCAAAGATTTGAATCAAAGAAAGATTCAAATTACTCAATTCTTTCTTTCTTCCTCTCTTTCTTTATTTCTTCCTCTTCCGAAACTAATCGAAGTTGAACTGAGAAATTCCCCTCTCGCTCTCCTCAAAAATTCTCGCCCGAACAGCCGAAAATAGAATTCAAACCTCAATCGTTACAACTACTCCCCAACCCACGAACAAATTACGGCGCCGGAAGCCCTGGAATCCGGTGAAATCCGTGAAGAATCCGGATTGCGGAGATCTGAGAGACCAAGCGGCAGACGAACAGCAAACGATCAGGCGGATCTGAGAGGGACAGAGGGAGACTAACACCGACAGCACCCAGGAGAAGAAGCAGCAGAAGAGAAGGAAGAGAGAGAGAGAGAGAGAGCTGGTTGAGTTGTGGTGGAGGTTTAAATAAAACCGCAAAAAGAAAACTAATGCCATTATTTATATGATTCGTTTCTCCTTTTGCTTTCAAAATTTTGATTAAAAAAAAACTATTCAATTTCTCTATTTCCTAACGCGGTCAATTACAAACATATCACTGAACTTTGATGTACTGACAAATTATGCTCTCATCTCTTATCGTCTCATCAATTTAATAATGAACAATGCATTCATTACATCCATCGTAATAAGTTTTTGTTTTAAGTTAATGTAAATTGATAACTAGTTAGATAATTATTTCTATCGTCCTAGACTTTTTGTCCATTGCCTTGTTACTTCATTTTGTTTTAAAATGTCTATGAGTATCGAACTTAATCATATCCAGTCATCTAGGATTTCCACTATTACAAATATTATTGGAGACTAGGATTTCGAGATTTGTATTTCGATTGAACATAAGATACTTGCACGAATCCACAAAATGACATGTGATTATGCAAAACCCTACTCTCGTGTGACATTAATATCCACCACAAACCTGATGTATTATGATCTCTATAGTAACTATGTTTAACTTTTATATTCCAAATTTATGTTATAACGAAGTAGGAAATCAATAACGAAACAAAGCAAGCGTCATATGGACTTTGTGTGTAGTGACATGATGTGTGCTAGCTATCTAATTACCTAGTCCACAACAAGGGGACACATGTTCATTATTGTTTTAAGTGAATACAGAGTAATTAGGAGGTTTATGTAAAACCTTCCTCATTATCCAAAAAAAAAAAAGAGCTCGGAAAAGAAAACGAATTATGGTAACTCAAATAAAACGAGACTTCCTGCTGCAATTCGTAGACAAAATAAACATATTCATATTTAAGACATCTCGAACAATTTCATTGCCGATTGTGTTGAAAGATTAAAGTTCAGTCACCATTTATTTAGTAATCCACCCATAATTTCCTAACTCATTTTCTTGTATTTATTGGTGATAGTTGGTCTAAGTTCTAACAGATTGGTAAACTGATAGCCTAATTGAATTATCGAGGAGCAAATGCATACTTACACACAAATATAATACTAGATTACTAATGGAGTACTTATTGTTTTCCAATGATTAATTATCCAATTTTTATATTTTATACCTATTCTCCTTTCAATTATAACAATGACAATATCTGGATTTCGGTACATAATTCAAAATTATGTATTAATATATAATGTCATTTATCATAATGGTACAAAATCTTACACTATGACACGCGATATTGTTATTATAAGAGTTCTAGACATTATTTTTTATTATTGTTTATTGCTAAATTTTGTTTATCATTGAGATACAGAAAGTTTATAAACAAAAATAAAAGTTAATAGTATGCCCTGACGTTTGCAATAAGGTATAATTCTATATACAAAGTTTTAAGAGAAGGAAGAGTTCACCATATTTATGGAAATCTTGATGATAGTGGATGATGAATCTATATCCCAATGTGTCGTCGGGTTAGGTCTAATTAATCAAGCTTTGTGTGGATGGAATTAAAATATCGTTAAGCGAATAATGATAAATTTGGATTAGCACTAACTACACATAGAATTTAATAAACCAGGATTAAGAATTGGATACTTGAAAAGTAAAATAAGATTTAATAAACTCATGGTCGTAGTTAGTTACGTACGTACATGTAAAGTGAAGAATGGGGTTAACAAAATGAAAAGAATTAATGTGAAGGGCCACAATTGGTTAATACTTCATAAAGAATGAATGTGAGAGACGCACAATATATAATTTCTGTGGCCGTGATGAATTGGCCAAAGAATAAAGATATATGAAAAAAAAAATTTATTCATTTTCTTATGTGATAACGAAATGTATTCAATTAGATTTGTCTAAAGTTGTTGAGAGAAAGAAGTAAACCCAAATAATTAAGAGTATGATTGTTTATCGCGAAAAAAGATAGAAATACTAATGCAAAGAATATAAAAATTTACAGGATTTCAATCGAGGTAATTGAAGTAATTGTGAAAACTTTATCAATTACTCTACTAATCAAATTTATTTTACATGTACGTTTAGTCTTTGACCGATATTTGCAAGTTGAGACCAACATGCATGGCTCCACTACGGGTCCAGATCGGGTCAGTAACTGATGGGTCAGTAACCCATCAGTAACCCCTTCTATGGTCCCCACGTGTCAAACACTTTTTTATTTAAATTAAATGTGAAAAGGGCAGTACAGTAAAATGACACTTTCTCATATTTATTGCTAAGGCTGACTTTTGACCGTATCACATCAGCGTCTTCTCTCTCCTCGCAAAATATTTAATTTTCCTTCTCTTAATCTTTAATGGACGATTTCTCACTCGTTTTAAGTCGAAATTTAATTTTTTTTGCACAGTTGGATCAGATTAATTGTGCTCTTCAAAATGATATCCACTTTGATATTTTTTGGACATAAAAAATTTGTCAATTATTACCAGTCTATACCATATGGTATTGACTGGTATTGACCATACCATATGGTATGAAAAAAATTTAACACATCAATATATATTACGTTACCACCCAATACCATATGGTATAGTGTGGTAATATCAATATATATTTCGTTACCACCCAATACCATATGGTATAATATGGTAATATCAATATATATTACGTTACCACCCACCCAATACCATATGGTATAGTGTGGTAATATCAATATATATTTCGTTACCACCTAATACCATATGGTATAATGTGGTAATATCAATATATATTTCGTTACCACCCAATACCATATGGTATAGTGTGGTAATATCACACAATACCATACAATATCATATGGTATAGTGTGGTAATATCAATATATAATTCGTTATCACACAATACCATACATTACCATATGGTATAGTGTGGTAATATCAATATATAGTTCGTTACCACACAATACCATACATTACCATATGGTATAGTGTGGTAATATTAATATATATTTCGTTACCACCGAATACCATATGGTATAGAGTTATAATATCAATATATATTATCTAAAAGAAAAAAAAAACAGAAGGAGGTAGGGAAAAAAGATCGTCTTGTGTCGCCTCTCATTTCCTCTTCCGCAATCAAGAACACCAAAATGCCGAAAAAATGAGAAAGATCGAAATTGAGGCCAATGAGATGATGAAGAGAAGAAATGCAATGAAAAAGAGTGGCTCCAATTTTTATTCGTCATGAAAAAAAAATAAAGAAGAAGAGAAGGGAGCAGATTTAGATCTAGAAATGAGATTGAGAGAGAAAAATGAAGAGAGAAAGAGAGAGGATCTGGAAAAGAGATTGTGAGAGAAAAAGGAAGATAGAAAGTTGCAGAGAAGTGATTTCTCTTTCCTTCCTTAAAATTGCAGCCATTAAATACGAAATAAAATAAAATAAAGAATTTAATGTATAAACGGACAAAAATACCCTTCTCCACTCAGCGTCCGGCCCAACCACACGATTGCCTACCTCTTAGATCTATGGTCTCTATTCATTACTGACATGTCAGTAACCAACTGACCCTATCTGCTGGCCTCCACTACTGATTGTTTATAACCTTTTCTTCCACCCAAGATTGAAGCTGAAGCAAAACCTCTCATAACTGAGATGCATACGGATTGTATGGCCGACTCATGTTGTCTTCTGCTTGCATGTTCTAACTTTTGATTTCAATCGATCTTACTCGTATATAGGATGATTTTGGCATTGCATTGATGGGATTGGTATCGTGACATCCATCCTCATGACGAACCCTCATGTATCAAGGTTGAAGTCATTTCTTGAACGAATTGGATTAGGGGTGGCCGTTCGGTTACCGGTTATCGGTTAACCGGCCGGTTAAACCAATAATCGGCCGGTTATCCACTAACCAGTAACCGAACTTTGGTCGGTTATCGGAGGCTAGACGAAATGGTTTTTGGTCTTAAAAGTGGGTCGGTTAACCGATAACCGAGAAACCGAAACCTATTTCGGGCGGTTTTCGGTAGGGAGAGTGGTTATTTCGGTTAACCGATAACCGGACGGCCGGTTATCGGTTATAACCGAAATAATTGCAAATTTTCTACTCTCTTGTCAGGTGTTAGTAACCTAATAATTTTAACAGGATTTTTTTTTTTTGACAAATAATTTTAACAGGATTCGTTTATGGGAATCTTGCATATCCCAAACCGAGAAAGCTTTTTAGCCTTTTACCAGCAACCAATCCTTTTGGAAAGTTGCATGCCAATCAATCAATCAAGCCTTTCGACCGATCTTTTGATTTTGTTTGCTTTGCGGCATTATTATTGCTTTGATTATAATTATTAGTTATCATAACTTTCTGTGAAGCCAATCGATTATATATTTCATTTTCATTGTACAGAAAATAATGTTGGGATTAGTTTCTAATGAAACCACACTTGACTTCACAATCAGACATCAGTCACGACTCACGACTTATTAATTAGCAATCACGCCCCCACATGATGATGATGTAATGATTTTAATTTGTTAATTATTTGTCACTCTAACTAGATTCATAAATATATTATTTTAAAAAGATGTTGTGGCTTAGATCATGCAATAAATATAAGTATGGCCGGCCAATGCCTCATCACTCAATGACTCAAGTAAACACCAATACATTGTAAGGAAGATACTTAAAATCAACCCTAACTATGGCCGGCCAATTCCAGATGTATCTATCTATAAGTAGCGCGTTGTGATTTTGCTTTTACACCATAAACTAACCGTAAAGATCTGAATTGCACAAATTCCATGATGCATTTGTACTAGAAATCGATCCACCGTACATTAGTGTTAAGCAAATGTATATAACACATTGACTTATTCCATATCTTATCTACCCATCAACTCCCATGGTAAGGAAGAAGGGGGGAACACGCACACTTGGAGAGCGCAGTACAACAGAGAGTTGTATGCTGCGTTCGGGAAGGATGAATCGCTCCCGAAAAGGAATGAAGGGAGGAATGAATGCGATTGGACTTATCACCAAGGGAAGAGAATAAGCAGAAGGATTCATTGGAAACCTCCAGATGGTAAAGAAGAAGGAAATTTAATAGATACAGGCTGGAGGAGGAAGAATGGCCGAGCTAGTAAATCTAACACAACTTTAACAATGGATTGACGATTGTGAATACAATACTATCAAGTCGCAATGTCGGCTCAAACTTTACATGATATATTCTATTAGTATATGATGGGGTTGGAGTACATACTTCCCCAATTTGTTTGTATAAAAAATGTCATTCTCAACCATTTATTTATTAATCCGTGGTGACTAATTGACATCCATTTATTTACGGAAACCTTTATACATGCTTGTTATTACTACTACAATTGTTGATGTGCGCAATAGAACACAACACAAGCACATGTTCTTGAGTGGTTAGTTTTGGCTTCCGTCCATCGACAAGCTGTTTAAGTTTTATATGTGGTATGGGCAACTTATCCCTATGGTATAGCTTGGCATGCACATTGTCGGCATTGATTTGATATTGTTATATGAAAGAAAAGGATAGACGAAATGAAATTGAATTAAATAGAACCAAAGAAAGAAATCAAAGTGAGGGTGAGAAAAGAAAACAAACGAGAGAGACCACAATGCTAGGGATTGATGCTCTCTGTGTAATTGATTGCTATTAGTTGGGCGGAAGAGTGTACTTTCTCCTAAATCGTCTCACTCGCCATCAGACTTGTTTCTATATTCATTACAATTTACATAACTATCGAGTAATTTTACAAGTAACAGTTAACCACGTTTTACACGTGAAGAAATTAAGTATATTAATCCATCCATCAGATTAAACCCTTTGGATTCTTTTTACCCACCCCAACCCCAACTCCCTTTTTGTTTGCAGAAACGAAGGATGGACGTTGGTCAGGTCCAAATCATTTTCTTGATTAGACAATGTGAGGTGAGGTATCCCAAATCCTTCATAATTGAATTACACATACACGTGATTTCTTGATCTCATCAGAAGATGCCAATTATTTAGCAAATGATTAATTGTTTGTCGGCAGTGCACCAAAAGTAGACCACGTAGAATTTTTTTGTTACGGGAAAGAGATAATGCAGAATCTATATAATATAATTGGATTTTAAAATATTAATAGGAGTGGGTTGGGGTTTGCAAGTATAGGGGTGTCTATAGATTTGGTAACGGAGAACCACAGTCCAATAGTAAGAGATATTTATGAACTAAATATTGGGTTAATAGTGCATTTGGTCTGCTTTGATCCTGTTTAAATGTCAATTCGTTTCATTTTTTTTCTTTAGTATTTATAAAATTCATGGGACCAATGATCCGACCATATTATACTCAGTTCAGTCCAAGTGCCAGTCTGGTCCGTTGTGGATCGAACCGTTGCACATTCCTAGACAAGTAGGAGAGGTTATAATTTCCTAGTTGGTGTTGTTGTTTATCTGTATAATTTCGATTGTTTTCTTATAAACAATGACATTCTTTAAAAAAAATCGTTAACTACAACCTATGTCTAGAGATATGTCGATCTTACCGAAGTAATTTTTATCTATTTTCTAAATTGTTTCACAAGGTAATGTTTGCTTGTAGTTTTTGAGACACTAAAATCTATAGGTGATTATCCTCAGCATGTTCAAAACGTTTGCCGGTGATCCATATGCTGCCTGAGACTAGAGGAGCTAGCATCTAGTCGTTCAGAATCAGAAGGTTTTGTGGTTTTCTAAATTGTTTCACAAGGTAATGTTTACTTAAGTTTGCTTTGAGTGCCCAGTCCCTTAAGTGTATAGACCAAGCAAAAAGTATTATTCATGCTTGCTCTACCTTTGAACTGGACGCCAGGCCCATGCAGCTGGGCTTTGGTCCACCAAATAATCTGGCTGACCAGCTCGATCGGCCCATTGTGTGTGTGGGAGTATGAATGCACAAACAAAGCATATGCATCCCTTTCTTCTCCATGCCAAGGCTGAACAGAACATCAAGAGACATCAGTAAGTCACGAGTAAGTAGATAGAGAGACGACCGATATGGCATAAAACCCAAATCCTTAATTGGGACGTAGGGTCGAGAAAGCGCAATGGAATTGAAAATGCTGCTTTGGTTAAGTAAAGTCTCACGAGTGATCTGTGAAAAAGTGGGACTTTAGTAAACAGAACAGCAGTGTTAGGCCAAGTTAGGTGGCAGACTGTTAGCTGCAGACAGAGAGAGAGAGACGCACAAATATGGAAACTTTGAAATTTCCTCACTTTCATATGTCCTTTATATTGATTTCTGAGGAAAAAAAGTTTTCAAATATGTCAACTCGTGACCCACGTACCCATCATTAATATTCACTATACCCACCGGCACCAAACTCCGCTACAAAGCTAGCTTCTTTCCTTTCATTCATTCTCCTTTCACATTCCTCCTCCATTACCTTGCTTGAAAAGAACTCAACTCCACGAGAGCTAGCTGAAGAAGGGAGATAGATCTTTAATGGGGGGAGCTCATCAGATCAACACCATTGCACTCTACATCACAATCTGCTCCATAGCTTTCATCATCTCCAAGATCACCATCGCAGTCCTCCTCTACAAAAGATGGAGAAACAAGCAGCACCAGCAGAACTCTGTTCATCAAGACCCCCATTTCTCAGGTTCTTTCCTTTCTTTGAATCTACTAATCTACAAGTAAATCTTATGTCATGGGGATTAGCTAGAGAAACAATTTTCTTGTGTGTTATGTTTGTATTGTAGGTGGGAAGGTGGTAATGTTCAAGTCAGGGACATTAATGCAGTCCCCAGAGGTAACCCCACAAGTGGTCCTGAAAAAAACCATGAAGCTAACCAACAAGGACATGATCGGGTCCGGTGGCTATGGAACCGTGTACAAGCTGTCCATAACCGAGTCCATTTCCTTCGCGGTCAAGCGGCTCAGCAGAGGGAGCCCCGACAGGGACCGAACCTTCGAGAGGGAACTCGAGGCAATGGGAGATATCAAGCACAGAAACATTGTCACCCTCCATGGCTACTACTCTGCCTCTCACTACAACTTGCTCATCTACGAGCTCATGCCCAATGGGAGCCTGGATGGACTCCTGCACCACCCAAAGGAGGGGGGAGAAGGAGATGAGACGAAGAGGGTTGTGCTGGATTGGGATTCCAGGTACAGGATTGCAGTTGGTGCAGCGAGAGGGATATCGTATCTACACCATGATTGCATCCCTCACATAATTCACAGGGACATCAAGTCTAGTAACATACTTCTGGACCAGAATATGGAAGCCCGGGTCTCGGATTTCGGGTTGGCTACTTTGATGGAGCCTGACAAAACCCATGTCTCCACTTTTGTTGCAGGAACTTTTGGCTACTTGCCTCCAGGTATCCAAATCTGTTGCGCCAAGCTTAGTGCTGCTGTTAATGTGTTTGATGGGTATATATGCTTCTTTCTCATTGCACTTTCTTTCTTCATGGTGTATAGAATACTTCGACACAGGCAAGGCAACTGCAAAGGGGGATGTATACAGCTTTGGGGTTGTTCTGCTTGAACTTGTAACAGGAAGGAAGCCAACAGATGAAGCCTTCTATGAGGAAGGCACCAGGCTAGTGACTTGGGTACGTAATTCAACATTCATATTTCCATTGATGCATGTGATGTTGTTTGTAGGCATTGAGAGTCACCCTCATCGGTTTGAATGAAAACAGGTGAAGGGAGTGGTTGAAGACAAGAGAGGAGAGTATGTAATTGACAGTAGCTTGAAGTGCAGCTCCTGTCATAATATGGATGAGATCAATGGCGTGTTTGAAGTTGCATTCGCATGCCTGGAACCTGACCCTTCCGATAGACCAACAATGGCCGAGGTGGTTAAAATGCTAGAGCTACTAAGATGCGGTTGAGCAGCACAGCTGTTGAAGTAGAAGAAACAGAGAACTCTGTCAAAATTTGTTATGATAGATCTTCCAGCACAAAGTTGACAGGCAATAATTTCAAATAACAACACTTACAGCTTCTGGAATGGAAACCACTTTCCTTTTTCTACATAACATAAATTTTTTGCTCACTTGCTCTACAAGTAACACTAAACTGGAAACTAGCCAAAAATGGTTGCATGATGTGTTGTTCACTTGTGACCCACTGCCAGCCCGGTAGCAACAGACATTTTCAGGGAGGGAGAAACAGGAGAGTCTCCGAAGAACACATCGAAAAGGGCTGCAGCCACATTCGTCGATTCTATCGTTGCATCTGCACCAGAAGATGTGTCGCCATCCACGCAAACCTGGAAACCAGCAAATGTCAATCAAGATCATGAAAACTGGGAGAAGTAAAATAATGTTCTGCATAAATGTGTTGTGACAAACACTCACATGCATTTTAGAGGGACCCGACCATGTCAAGAACAAGACAGTTCCTTTGCTAAGAGGCCGGTTCTCAAACGTGGCTCGGAGCTTGGCTAGAGCAGGCTCATCAGCTTCGGTGGGTGCTTTGATCCTGGGTGAAATAGCTTCATCCAATGCGTCCCAGAATGTTTTTCCGTCAACATCTCTTACTAGAACAATCCTCAGTGCTTTCTCCGAGGGAGCTGGATAAATGAATACGCTCACGCTGTAAAATTTACTGTAATATTCTTTTTAGAGCTGGTTAATGACATGCATTACCAAGGAAAATGGAGCTGAACAATGATGAATTCGCTTCGATCTCAGCAGCTGACAGATCTTTCCAAGCAGTCAATATAGTAAAGATAGATTGATCAACATACAGTCCCGCAGCATAGACTTTGACCCCAATGATTGCAAAAACCTTCTCTCTGTATCCTGGAAAAGAACGACATATTGTTATAGAGCTGTCAGTTTTTTCAGAAACTAAGTTCTAAAATTCAGTTCTGCAGAGAGCTCATCATGCATTTATCGAGCTTTAACTAAATTAAGCAGCAGCGCAAAGAGTGCTTCTAACTAGCTTGGGGAGTTTCCAATATATGATGAAGAGGCAATTGATCGATTCTTGCCACGACGGACAAATGGAAAATAAAATTTCTAGAACAGATAACAATAACTCTAATTGTACTGACCAGTTCCGAGCAAGGATAGCGAGCTTGATGTGCAACCTGGCACTTTCAAGGACTTCGGGAATTTCACATTGGTTGCAGGTTCTTCCAAGTATTCTGTAGTTCCAGCTGTGAGGCAGTCCCAAAAGAAAAACAGATCAGACTGGGGGATACAATAGGAGAGTAGCCAGGGCTTTAAACAGCCATCTCTAGTAAAATCCACGAAAGAAGAGCATGCAATGTTGTGATCCAAGAATCACCACAAAATTTTATGTATCTGGCGTCCGGCCTACATGATGCTCTTGCTTGACACACATTGCCAAATTCATGCATGCATACACGAAAAGATTCAAGCTTTTGAGCAAAAATCCCCCCAAAACAAAAAAAAAAAACTGATCACTTATTCTCTAGAATCCCAAGAAAACAACGAAAGGAAATGGAGAATCCGGCCATGCATGAACATCAAAATGAAGAATTGGGGAAATAATCTTGAACACAATTACCTGCAGATGAAGAAGCTTTCAGATAATGGGAATGTCTGGGACTGAGTCTGAGATTGTTGATCGGGCGAGCCGCGGAATGCTGCAGATGGAAGAATGCTGTTGTGGATAAGGGAGATGAGGAGTTGGAGACGGCGATGGTTCTGCAGCGAAATGGGACACCCGGGTCGGGTCGGATACAAGCTGCTAAAGCCGAATTCCAAGGTCCGACGGAGATCGGAGTGGAAATCATTGAACCCACCATTTTTGTTTGGTCTGTCAGTGTTCTTCAGTTTTCCCTCTTGCTCTGCTTCAATGAATAGTCTGTAAGTAGGAGATTGGGGTTTATACCGAGGGAGAAAGTAAAAACCCCGCGGCCATTTAGGATCGAAGGTCGTTATTAAGCTCTTATGAGATTTTTTTACTCTCTTATTTTTGTGTTTGTTTGTATTTTTTATTTTGACTAATTAATCCCTTGTTTGTTGGATCTATAAGACTATTACCACTATTCTCTTGGGGGAAATGTTGCTATAGACTGTGTTTTAGATGAGTAAGATTATGCGTGTGGACAAATTATGTTATGGGTTTAATATTAGACAGGTTAATTGTAAGTTTGGTCACTAGAATTATTTAAAAACTTCATGTTTGTCGCTAAAATTAATTTATTCCATCCATAGTCACTCAAATTGATTTATTAGTTCAAGTTTGGTCACTCTCCGTTAGTCTCCATTAACATGATATTGAGTTTTGTATAACTCCATATGATAGTTCAGTACGAGATTAAACACAATTCTTATTGTTTCATTGATGTCAAGCGATGGAGAAAGTTCTTAAAACAAATCAAGAGCAAAACGTCATTGGTGGTGAGATGGAGAAAGTTTAAACAACCGGCCACCAAAGCCACATGAAAAGGCTAACCCAAGAAAGTAAAAGAGGGTTATTGTGACCAGCAAGAAATCCTGGTTTAAAGGCCACATTATTAAACAAGGGGATTGCTATTCGTCGCCCTAAAAATCCTTATTCGTCGCCCTAATTAAATTAATTTTACTTTAATGTCCTAGCTTTTTTTTTAAATACTTGTTCATTATTTTAAACATTTAAACCCAAAACATTGTTATGAATTACCGAAAACAAAAAAAAAAAAAAAAAAATTATAACTGGAACCGGCCCATTGCTGCTCCTTGCGTCACTGATAAGTTCCTAGAAAGTAGAAACCACCAATCACGTTACCCAGATGGTATGTTTATTGAAATGAGACCATTAAATCTCCAGAAGTGAAAAAAATATCAATAAGCTTATCACATATGACAATTTCCCTATCAAATCCCACCTTCAAAACTCTCGCATTAAGCTTCTGGCAATCCGCTAACATCCCAGAGGCCAGAAGTAAGACAAAAGTCCAGTTTAACAGCGACGACAACGGTAGCGTCCGGCTTGCTTCTTCCTCCTTTCTCCGACGGTCGAGTAGCAGCAGCGGGAATAGATGGCGGGAGCTGTGTAGGCGGAGCAGGGGTTCTGGGTTTATGCGGCGAATATGAGTTGGGGGTGAGGGAAGGGATTGTTTGGTGAGAGTTAGAATTGAAATTAGGTTAAGGGTAAATATGTAAATCAATTGCATTTTAGGGCGATAAAATTTGAATTTTAGGGCGACGAATAGCGATTCAGTTAAACAATGAGGAGATTAATCAGAAGGAGAATGGCATCACGTGTGACGTGTCAATTGGGTTTGGAATCAGTTCCAATTGTTCGTCCCCAAAAGTCTCCACCCACCACCGTTAGCTCGCTCCCTCTCTTAACGGCTATTGAGAATTTGAGATTACGCAACAACACGAATTTCAATTATAGCCGTTCGGAAGCTGCCACCAGAAATTTGGCTCCTCCTCTGACGGTGGCTATATAAACCAACACGTACACTCCGTTTCTTTGCTGCAAAAGAATTATAAATAGACACTTCTCCTTCTTCTTCTTCTTCTTGCAGCTGCTTACAGTCACACACTACCTACTTCAGTTCAACAGAGTCTTACTGTTGTGTGCGGCAGAGCAATTAGTGATCCATTTCCATGGCCCGCTTTCCTTTTCTCCTTGCAATGTGCTTTGCTCTTTGTAAGTAAACTTCTCTTTCTCAATTGGTATTAGGACGTCTTAACAATGCAATTTACAGTCGTTAAATACACACCATGGTGACAATCTTACACCGTGATTCGGTGTGGTGGGGGATATTTGATTGATGCCATTAACTAAAGAGACATGCATGTTGTAATTGCAATTGCAGGTGCAAGTTTCGTCATAGGAAATGACCAGGTATGTACTTTCATGTCACTCATCTTTAACAAAAAGGGCTGATCCCCTTGTTAGCTTAGCTTAATTTTAATTGGCATATATATGGACGATGTAATTGTGTGCAGGCGGGAAGTAGTAGTTGTTGGTGTGTAGCAAAGCCATCGTCGGACCAAGCAACGTTGTTGGCAAACTTAAATTATGCGTGTTCTAAGGTTGACTGTCAGATTCTGCAAAAGGGGTGTCCCTGTTTCTACCCCGAAACCCTCATCAATCGCGCCTCCGTCGCCATGAATCTTTACTACCAATCTCGAGGAAGAAATGCATGGAGCTGTGATTTCAGAGGCTCTGGTCTTGTTGTTCTGACTAATCCAAGTAAATATTGTTTGTTAATTTGTATCATTTAAATTTAATTTCCAACCTTTTTGTTCCTTTTTTTCATTTCAATATCTTGATTATTTTGATGTGTAAAATGTGTTCCTTTTAATCTGATGATTGCAGGTTATGGCAATTGCATTTACGCTTGAAGACGGTAGCCAACAAATCAGGAACTTGATGGGTGTCCTATAATCAAACATGATGATTGTTATCTTATAATTGTTTTTAGTTGCTTGTTGTCTATCAATGTAATTGATACAAGTTACTCTTCCTCTCAAATGCAGACCAACTGTCAAGTCAATAATGTATTAATCATCCTTTGGATTTGATCATGACATACTGATGGATAATAGTTGATTAGAAAATGAACCAAGAAGGGATTAATGTAGCATTGATGGACGATCGTTGAATGAGAGCGAAATTGAAAGTGTTAGAGAACAAAATTAAAAGGAAATTGAATATGAGTTGGGAAAGAACTCAAATAAAATGGAGAGAATTTGAAAAGATTCGATAAATAATTAAAAGGAAATTGAATATGAGTTGGGAAAGAACTCAAATAAAATGGAGAGAATTTGAAAAGATTCGATAAATAATTAAAAGAATATCTTACAATTTCATTATCCAATAATACCGACAAAATTGACAATGTTTATAGATGAACACATAGAATAATCCTAAAACAATGGTCTTCCACCTTACATGCAACAAATGTGTTCAAACTACAAGCATAAACAAAATGTGGCAAATAGGGCCATTGCCAAAAAAAAAAATGAACTAAATTTGGAATTAGAGCATAATAACAAGTACAGGGGAACAAGAAAAATAAGAAAAATCTAAACCAATGAACTCTCTGCATCCGTTCAGTACTTCGATTTTGATCTTGATTTTATTCTGGCCCTTAGGACCGCTGTTTTTGTTTGGTGATACACTGATACTGATACCATATTCTCCATCTCGTTATCATTACAAAGGTCTAAATTTCTTTTGGGAACGGATTATCACAATAATTGTCCTGAAAAATTTCACTGGCCTCACAAACTTGATGAAATAACCAAGGCCGTAGAGATCCCAAATCCTCTTATGTGGGCTTCTCCGATCCACTCAATTTCAACTCCACTCCCTCCTCTTATAACAACCGGAAACAAGATGCTACTGTTCAGCTTGCCTTCCTTCTTCTTTTTCTTATGTTTTTCCACTCTCCCCCTCTCCTCCCACTCCAGATTTCCAGGTCGCCCGTTTCGCTTCTGTAGTTTATCTTCACAATTGAATCCAATTTGCTATCTGGGACTTCGATTTGGCAGCCAAAGCTTCGAGCTTTTTGGGTTTCCCCCTTCTGGGTACTTCAGAAATGGCGTCATTGACAATGGTTGACTTAGTGGGTTGCGCATCCACTTCTTCTAATGCGTCATTAGATAGGTACTTGTGGCGGAAAACAATGCACAGCTCAGTTTCCAAAAGGCTTCATGGAGTCCGCGGTGCTGGAAGATTGGTAACTTGCCGTTGCCGTCTAGATTCTGCTCGGTGCAGAAGCATTTCCATAAAGAGCGCCGACACTCGGCCTAATGGTACTATATGTTATGCTTTGCTTTGCTTTTGCTGTGGCAAGAGGGAGGAAAAAGTTGTCTTCTTTGACCTTTTTGATTTTCTGTTTGACTTGGATAACTGTTTTCTTGCTACTTGTGCCTTCTCATAGGACTTTGCTAACGTTTGAGGTTTCCTGTAAACTTTAGTTCTTTGTTCTACTGGTTAGTTACTGTGCCTTTTTCTAGTAAGTAGGCAATCCAGCCGTAACCATTTCCCAGAAAGGAAGGGAGTAGTAATATGTGTAGTATCCAGCCATGTTGGGCTGAACTTCACTGCTTGCTTTTCTCAATTGAGAAGTGTTTCCTTCCGCTTAACTTGAGTTTCAATTGCTCTCGATGTCCAAGAGTATTGAAATTTTGTTTGCTCCAGGAACTTCAGAAGTCATGTTGAATGTAAAAAGAGGTCAAATTTCACTGGCGAAGGTGTTCGAAGTGGTAGCTGATGACCTACTGATCCTTAACCAAAATCTAAAATCAGTGAGTACTTCAACTTTCTAAGAACTGGTTTGTATTTCTATAGTGTATGAGCGATGTTTTTAATGCCTTGGAGTATGTTGTTCTTAGCTGTGCTATCTATTCTGCGCGGCACTTTGCTTGTTATGCAGTGAGGATGTGCGGTTGATAGAAAGAATTTGATTATATGCATTCAGGAGCTTTGTTGCCCTTGATTGTCTATGATGGTTGCTGTGCATGGCAAGGTGCTGAGTTGAAATGAGATTAAACGCTGTAATTTTTCATGATGCAGTTGATTTCATAGAAATTACTAGCATTATTGCTAGTAAAATGTTTGTGTTACAAAATTAGAGCTGGCAGCTGACTTTTACAAACTGTTGAAGTTTATGATCGAAGAACTAGATAGCCGATCACCTAGAGGAAGAGAGGGTTTCTGATTCTGACAGTACACAGCTTCAGTATTTTACATAGAGTTACTTAAAGGTGTAAAAAGAAGAGATTTCATTCTTAGTTTTGCGTATGATTGACTCTGTTACAATAGCTCTATTGTTCCCTGGGAGACCTTGTACTGTTTATCATGGATATACTTTTTCTGGTCAGTAAGCTATGAGAGGCTGTTCATTGTTGAATTGTTGTAATTTCGGTAGCCACTAGATTGAGCCTGTGGTTGAGCTAGAATTTGGTTAATAGATGATGTCCTAGGCAAAGTTCCTTCTATTCAAAACCATCTCTAAGTGCCTACCTAGTTGATACAATGTCAAGTAGAAAAGACGAGTATACTGTGACAACTTTACCTATCTCCTACTTGGTACATTGAGTTGCATTTATGCTGACTACTCACATGATGAAGATCTTTGTGCTAGATTGTTGGAGCAGAGAACCCGGTATTAATGTCAGCAGCTGAGCAGATATTTGGTGCTGGTGGGAAGAGAATGCGACCAGCTCTAGTTTTCCTGGTGTCAAGGGCTACAGCTCAGATGTCCGGTTTAAAGTTAGTTCGACAGAGCATTCTCTGCGGTTCGAATTTTGAACTTCCAATTAGATTGTACAACAAATATAATGCAGTATTTCTTTCACAGGGAACTTACTACGAATCATCGACGTCTGGCAGAGATCATCGAGATGATCCATACAGCAAGCCTAATACATGATGATGTGTTGGATGAAAGCGACTTAAGAAGGGGTATGTGACATATGTCTGGTTAAACTCTTGAAATATCCCTTTACGCCATTTTATTAAATTTAAGCCGTTTTATTCAAGTTATTTTCCAATTTCTTGATTGTGTTGTTATCTGACACTGTGCTTTGCAGGGAAGGAAACAGTTCATCAACTGTATGGTACAAGGGTAGCAGTACTTGCTGGGGATTTCATGTTTGCACAGTCGTCATGGTACTTAGCAAATCTTGAAAACCTTGAAGTCATCAAACTGATCAGCCAGGTATAGTCTGGTAGACCTCCGTTTCTCGACTAATGGCAGCTATGTGTTTATACAGACAAGACTAAACTGGAAATTTTAATGTTGCAGGTGATCAAAGATTTTGCTAGTGGCGAAATAAAGCAAGCATCGAGCCTGTTCGACTGTGACGTCAAGCTTGAAGAATACCTGATCAAGAGCTACTACAAGACGGCGTCTTTAGTCGCAGCTAGCTCCAAAGGATCCGCCATTTTCAGCGGAGTAGACAGCAGTGTGTCCGAGAGCATGTTCGAGTACGGTAAAAACCTTGGCCTGTCGTTCCAGGTTGTTGATGACATACTCGATTTCACCCAGTCAGCAGAGCAGCTAGGGAAGCCAGCTGGGAGTGACCTGGCAAAGGGGAACTTGACTGCACCGGTCATATTCGCTCTGGAGAAAGAGCCTAAACTTAGGGATATCATCGAGTCTGAATTCGTCGAGGAAGGCTCTCTCCAGCATGCCATCGACTTAGTCCAGAGATGTGGAGGAATCCAGAGAGCACAGGAACTGGCCAAGGAGCAAGCTGTTACTGCGATCCAGAACCTCCAGTGCCTTCCTCAAGGATCCTTTCGTTCTGCACTCGAGGAGATGGTTCTGTACAATCTCGAGAGGATTGAGTAAACGAATGCACGTGGAGTATATTACTGCAAGTGTGATATTAGGATGAACCGATTCTTGATGATTACTTGCAGCGTAAGCTACTTACTGCATAACACGATGGTATACACAATAAAATGGGCAGAATGTAGAACAAGCCCCAGATAGCTGGCAGATCAGCAGATCACGACGATGCGTTTACTGCTGCTGGCTGGCCAATTGGAAGATTCTTGTGGCTGCTTTGTACATTCATAGCTTCAGATTCTTCTGCTGGAAATGTAATATTCAATGAGGTTAACTATACACAGATACTCATATTTTCCCACTATTTTTCACGCGTTATTTTTGTTTCTGCAGGAAATGGTTCTTTTTTTTTAATCTTAAATTTAGCTGTAGATTTCCGAGCACCAATATTGTTTGTATCAATTTGTCGTCAAATTTATCCTGTTTCGATTTTGATTTTGAGAGTATGAAACGTTTCGTGTTGTATGATGCTGTCCCACGTTTTGCCTTTAATAATGTCTTTTCAGCCCGCTTTGCAGGTTAGGCATTACGGGCTACTGAATAAATGGGCCCGTCCTAACAGGGCAGATCCAACTAGGCCTGTGAAAGATTTGGATTTTGGACGATTCAAGGGATGAGTTCGTCCAAAACAAAAACTCAGTGTACACTTCCCTAGCTACCTCAAAATTTAGTGTCCGTTTCTGTAATTTACCTCAGAGGTTTATTGTAATTTTTCCTTCTTCAACCCAAGTCAGGCGCCGGCGGCTACCCCAATATCTCAGCCGCCCGCCCGCCCGCATCCCCTACGCCCGATTATGAAACTTCTGAGCTATATCAAGCAATGGAAATCCGCTGCTCGAGAAACTATAGCTCGAGCTTCAATCGCCGCCCAATTCCTTTCCTTAATTCACATCACCGACGCCTACATCTGTTCCACAACTCTCGTTCAAGGGCCTAGCATGCTCCCGACCTTGAATTACTCAGGCGACGTGGTCTTGATCGAACACTTATCCCATCGTTTGGGGAAGCTCGAACCTGGCGACATTGTGGTGGTTCGTTCTCCCGTTGATCCTAAAAAGATTGTGGCTAAACGGATTGTTGGAATGGAGGGCGATCGAGTTACTTACCTCACGGAGCCTTCGTACAGCGAGAGCTCCCGCACTGTCCTAGTAGGGAAAACTAGGGTTCCTTATTCAATGTTTCATTCTTGTGGGCTGTTGTTGCTTCGTGGGTAGAGAGGCTGACTCAGTGAATTTTGGTTACAGGTTCCAAAAGGCCATGTTTGGATTCAAGGAGACAATGTCTATGCTTCTGCTGATTCCAGATATTTTGGTGCTGTTCCTTATGGTTTGATTCAAGGAAGAGCATTTCTAAGGGTGAGCATCTCTTTCTATCTTGTTACCATCATTTCACTTGGTTTCTGCTTCTGAGCTGAACTTGCATCTGAAATCTGAATGTGATTGAAATTAGAGAAATACTCCATGGTCATGGTTATGTCTCATCTGGAACTGGAACTTACAAATTGGTCCGAGTTTCTGGCTATGAGATTATGGTAGGGTTTATTCTGAGTGGCTTAGTTTGAAAGGAAGTTTTTTGAATAGGAAAAACATGTAGGAGAGGTAGAAGTTTTCAGGATCTATCTATAGAAGCTGCATGCAAAGCATTACATCTTAGAGATAGAGTTGAGTGTTGATATTGCAGTGCTCGGTTATTCTATAAATTTACTGTCTTTGGATTGCTTTTGGCAGATTGGTATTTGACTATTTTCGACGTGTTTAGATTCTGTTACTTCTCGAGTCTTGAGTCTTCTATCGATTACAAATAGGTTATACCAAAAGCTCTTTACATCTTTCTCATGGCAGAACAGCTCCTCTTTCTGCTCGCTAGAGTTAGTCCTAATCTTCTTGTTTTCTAGAATTGAACTGGGGGAATCCTTTTATTTCACATTTTGTAGAGGCAGGACTTCCAAAGCTGCATATTTTTGTGACAGAGTTGAGTAAATCTTCCTACTGATCTGTTGTTATGACGATTTCAAAAGTTGTTGAGAATTCTAGGCTTAATACTATATTTCCATGAGCACTTGGTTCAGGTCTCTTCAGCTTCAGTTAGAATATTATTTAGGAAAAGTCTGTCAGCTGTTACAAGCCAGAACGTTAGTGGCTATCTATAAACTAGCCTCTCCATTTACCACTAGAGTTATTGGCCTTTGGTTTCAATTAGGAAATATTTTTGGATTCTCGGTGAACGCCATTTTGATTGAACATTGACTAACTAAAGATATAGGTTAAACCTAGTCCATCCATGAAACTCTTATGGGATTTTGAGCCCCTTGAAGATAATGAAATTATACTGCTTCAAAGACCTTTCCCTATAGGCATGAGAACAAGAACAACTTTGACTCATCATTTTTTCTAATATATGATTCAGAGCATAACACATTATTATATTGATGTAATTCGCCTGAAGAAACAAAATTCATCCTTGTCGTTTTCTCACCAGGTTTGGCCAATTCGAGACTTCGGCTTTTTGGGATGAATTTGCTTGAAAGGTATGCAGTTGCCTGGGTTCGTAATCCTTTGTTCAAGGTTCCCTATGATTCACTCTTACTTGGTCGACAACAAGTTTGCAGAATTCGATGGAATTACATCTCTTGATTTGTATGGAACCTTGCTGTTACTTTCTTGGTAGATTTCAGATGTTGAAAACCTGAAATAACAGATCGAAATGTGAGCATTTGATATTGGTAAGGGTGTGTATGTAAGGAATGCCCAAATGTGAACATTATCAGTTCTGTATAGTTCCCTGCATTTGAAACTCAGGAACTATGAAGCTGAAGTGTACAGAGGTATTTACATGCAATTTGCTCCAACACTTCCATATCTTTACAACCCATGATTTGCAGAGTTGATCTAGAGTCCATTTCCCTTGCTTCATGTAATGAATTGCCCTACGCAGTTCATATCCACAAAACAATTCAAGTTAAAGTGTTAGACTGAATGCATTAGGATGATGTTTTGATCTTCAGTAGGTTAAGATTAGATTCATCCTGCTATGTTTGTTGGATAGTCTACATATTACATGCTGATGCTAGCCGTTAGGTTTTTGCGGTTTGAGTTAGCTAAGAGGTTATTCGATGGTAACATGTTGGAATAATTAAGAACGATTTTTCTAATATATCATTTCTGGATTGTGTATGTTACAAAACTAATTAATGATTAATTAAACCTAAGTTTGGTAATAGCACTACTTATTATTGGGCTGGCTAGCCCAACCCAAGTGCACGCACAAATTTGGGCCTACCTTTGCACATTAGAAATTTATCTGGGCTTGTAAGCATCGATCCATCATGCTAGGAGGAGGTGTAAAAGTAAAACTGAAGCATTCGGCATGGCGTAAATGGGAAGCCTGTGCTTTGAAAGAAGCAAAGCAAGAATTATTCATTTCCAAGCCATTTGGCGTTCATCAACAAACATTGTCTTGTCGGCCATTCATTATTCGCCGCATGCTGACAATAATATTAATATAGGGTTCCCAGCCATGCCCGGTTTGGCAGCTTCCGTCTGTTTTACGCTTACCTAACCTACCCCAGTCAGTCAGTCAGTCAGTCGGACTCAGTCCTCACCTTTTTAACGCAGAGCTCACTGGTCAGTATTCATATTGGACTGGAGGACCTATTCCTATTCATTCTGCCATCTTCTGCTTCTTTGTAGAAAACTGTTGGGCATCTTTCCAATTTCCCTTTCTCTTTTCTGTCTGTTTTCTTTTGCTCCCGAATCTTCCTAATATCGATTGGTTGATGGGTTTAGGTGTGAGCACTTGCTAATTAACGGTTCTTCAACGGTTTGTTTAGGATATTCAAATGCCATTATGCTATGCTAACGAGGACTAGGTAAATGATAACTACTCTCAACTACTCAATTTATTGAGATCAATGAATTTTTGACATAATATTAAAGCCTTTTACTATCAAAAGATATTTTGTTACTTTTGTGTCGCTATTTATTTACTCTTTGCCTTTCCTTTTGTTTTGCTCATTAGAGGTATTTTCATGCTTGAGATTGAGTTCTCCAGATACCATATTCAGTCTACACAATATATATAATAGTAGGAAGAGGAAAACTGTTGCTACATTTCAAATTTTTTGCATGTGAAAGTAGGAAGGACATATTTGGTCTTCACAATTACTTTTTTTTATTTATTCATTAAAAAGACAAGTATTAGGATTCAAACCATAACCACTTTAAAGAAAAGCAAAGATCATAACCAATCACACTTAGTACATTTTTCTATATTTTTAAATTAAAAACATATAATAGCAGGTAGGAAAAAAACTCTTCCGTCATTTCAAATTCCCTTCTCCAGGAGCGTTTGTAGGAAGTGTATAATAGGGAGTGTCAATTTTTTCTCTTTCCTCTATGGAACGAGCCAACTTATCGTACACATACGGATTTAAACGAGCTCAGGAGTATCAATTTTTTTCTTTATTGCCTTTTATTTCTCGGTGTTGGTAAAATATATATGAAAGAGCAAAAACAATACTCTTTCTATTGATAAAAAGAAAAAGACAATAAACTAATGCATGGATTCTATGAGCTAACCGCTGATATAAAATAAAAGAGATGAACGGGCCTCACTTACACTTGGGTTTGTCATTCTAAAACAAACTATTTTCTCTAGCATAATATATATTATGCTATTATTTTATATCTTAGTGGCTAAAATATAATGTATTTTAAAGTTATTAAATGGTTCAACCTCGACCAACCCAATTAGTCCAATTTTATCATTTCAAATATACATTATGTAATTATTTGATATCATAATGATTAAATTATAGTGTATTTTATAGGGAATTGTTTGGTATTTGTTAGTAAAAAACTAAACAGAAAGATCTATTGGTTATTTTTAACATTAAAACGATCCTAAACATTTTCAGTTTCCTTTCGAATTTCTATGGTTTTATTCTCGAATCAGTGATGTGCAAATGGCGAATTGCAGTAATCTCTTTTCTTTCGCTATTTTTTATTTTCAAATCGAAAGTTTAAAAGTAAAGAATAATTAGAGTTTGCCATGGGTCAGTCAAACATGTTGAATTTCAAGTTTTGGCCCGTTTTGATCAAGTCTAATTTATAATCACATGGTTTCCTGATACCCGATAAAAATCTCAATCCAAACCAGTTCGGCAGGTGAGGCCGTGTTTACCACCATTTTCTAGGGATATAGGAACGGCGGTTCCTATCCCAAATCGTGTTGTTCGTTCTTGATTTCTTTAGATTATATCATGGCCTGGAAAAAACCAGAAAGCACAATGACGACAAGATGAAAGTTTTACAAAGCAAATTAATAGGCCAATGGGTCAAGTAAAAGCTAGCAACGATTGTGAGTTGCTCATTTCCCGAAAATCGGAGGGATAGACGATTTTTTATTCGATTTTCTGGAATTCGGTTTTTATAAAACTTACTCCACCTCATCATATTAGTAGAAACAATATTGTTTCACAAGGTAACAGGTACTTGATTTTGGTTTATAAGGCTGATTTTTGATTCGTTGCATCATCCATATGTCTTTTTCCTTCTAAAATTCACTATATTTATCACGTGTTTCCAAAAAAAAACTATACAACAATAAGCTATACACCCTATTACATTATAAAATTTCATACCTCACCTTCCTCTGACCAACTGATCGAGGTCACCGGGGTCCTCAGTACCATCTTTCACAGAAAGTAGAAAAAGAAAAAGTATACTTGGAGCCATTTTTACTTTATATATATTTTTTTAGGATTGAGCCTTTTTGACTCGATTGATAATAGTATTGCTGTTTTATATTCGTATAAAATGGCACTCCACACCTTAAATTATTATTCGAGAATTATGAGGGGTATTATTTGAGGAACTAAAATTGATGTTGGCCACGAGTCCACGACTACTAAATGCTTGATGAAGAAAACATAATAGCTTTATTTTCGTTCTTATTCTTAATATATATATCCTCACAACATAACTATGTGATATTTTTACATTAGCCAGTACAATATGCAGATTGTCTATATCCTTATTTTTAGAAAAATAAGAGGGAGAAACGTAACTATGGATCCACCACCACCACCGTGCATCATGATTGCTATTCTTTTCCCTTTACTTATCTTAAAGCTTCGTTTTTCAAAATAAAGGTTAGTTTAGTTGGGAACAAAATTGTCATTTGAGTTCACTTTATACCACTACTGATTGCGCGCTTAGTCGTCGGGCCAAAAATCAACAATGAACCCACTGTGATAGAATAGAATGCCCACCTACCCCACCCACCGATACCTTCTAAATTCCACGTGAATGTGCACACATATCAATGTTGTCGACCGGTTTTAGCCCATTGGTCCGGTCAAGCAAGTGAATTGTGAATTGCGAATTGCTTAGTGAGCCAATCATTTTAGCTTCGGTTGAGTACGGATATATGGAAAAAATTTATTATATTGTTTATGCATTTGTAAACTATTTCAAATTTTATTTACATACAGATAATAAAATATAATATTACACCCAAAAAAAGTTCATACTTGAATCGAACAAATAATGATAAATTGAAACACACTTAGAATTTTAAAAAGAGAGTTACACAAAAGAGAAAACCCGAAAAGAAGCATATTTTACAAAAAAAAAAAAAAACAACATCAATTGACCTCCAGTTCGAGTAGTTTTCTGCGGGTCGACCCACGAGTCTATGATGCATGTTTCCCCATCAGACTCGAACCGGTTGACAACCTTCATATAAATACATAGATAATGTGTGTACTTGGGAGATAGCCACTCATCACTCCCAAAAAAAAAAAAAAAAACAGAGGAGAGGAGACAACACAACACACCTTATCCCCCACCACCATCGATCTCCAACGTCCTCGCCGGAAAATGGCGAAGCATCTGATCCCGACCCGATCCGTCGTCGTTTCGGCCGTCCTTCTCTTCCTCTGCCAGTTCATCTCTTGCCAGGAAGAAGACTACGTGAGAAGCCTGAACCCGAAGCGGCACCTGGGCGGCATGATGAAGAAGCAGAAGCTGAGCCACTTCAAGTTCTACTGGCACGACACCTACAGCGCCCCCAACGCCACCGCCGTCCCCATCATCCAGCCGGCGTCCCCCTCCCCGACCGGGTTCGGGTCCGTGTCCATGATCGACGACCCAATCACCGTGGGCCCGGACCTCAAGACCTCGAAGCTCGTGGGCCGGGCCCAGGGCCTGTACGGCATCGCGTCCCAGCACGAGGTGGCCCTGCTGATGGCGATGAACTTCTGGTTCGTGGAAGGGAAATACAACGGCAGCTCCATCACCGTCATGGGCCGGAACCAGGTGTTCAATAAAGTCAGGGAGATGCCCATCATCGGCGGGAGCGGCTTGTTCCGCTTCGCCACCGGCTACGCCCACGCTTCCACCCATACGTTCAATCTCACCAACGGGGATGCGGTGGTGGAGTACAATCTCTATGTCCTGCATTATTGATCGATCCATCGTTTCGTCGCCGCCGGACTAATTATTCTGTGTTTGTTGTTGTTGTTTTACTTTCGTGTTTTGAGTTTTTTCATTTTTGGCGTGTGCTGTGCTAGAGAGGAATCCAATGTGTTTTTTTTTTCTTCCTTTTGTCTTCTTCAATTCCCCTTTTTACGAATTATTAGTATGTACAACTACTAAAATGGGGGAACTATATGCCATATGGTGTTGGTTCCGTATTTGACAATATGAAAGCATGATTGACGGTGGTTGTTTACGGATCGATGGTGCAATTAATTAGCTGTTCCCCTATCATAATTAAGCCGCTTTGGTAGCTTAAGCTACATTTAATTGGAGCCCATTCCTTGTTATAACATGGTATGTGAATTACTTGCAAATAATATTCTATGTTAAAAATTGGTTAGTCTCGATCAATATAATCAATAACTAGGGAGAGCCATTAAACCCAAACCAACGGGCACCCACCATTCCTTGTTAAGCAGGTTAAAATTCAGTGTTGAAGGATTTTGGGTCGTGTGATAGTCTTTTATCCGCTTTTGAAATTGGCGGGTGGGATGATCAGGTTTGGATTTTGCCGAAACTAAGCTCGCTTTCCACCCCACCCAAAACAAAATTAAATGAGTCATTGGCAAATGTTATTAGTCTTTAAATATAAACCTATTAGCATGGATAATCTATGGATGTTAGTCATATTTAGGAGATATATTTATGTGAACGGCTATTTGCCGCCAATCAAATTGCTATTTTCCGCCAACTAAAAAAAAAAAAGAATTCAAAATTTGAATTTTCTATTCCTTCCCAGTGCCTCCGTCGCCGGTAAAAAAAAAAAAATTTTAATTTTGAATTTTCCCTTCCTTCCCAGTGCCTCCGTCGCCGGCACCGTTCTTCCGTCGTCGGCTAACCTCCCGTCGCCCTCAATCGTCGGAAAACAAGTAAGTTTACTTTTTCCGGCCAGTTTTCCAGTTTTCCGGCGAAAAACACGGCGGGCCGAAAAAAAATTGCGGCCCGAACGTCGCCGAGCCGAAAAAAATTTGTGGCCGGGACGACGGCCGGCCGAAAAATTCTTTCGGCCCGGCGACGCCACGGCCGCAAATTTTTTTCGGCCGGTCGCCGAACACGCCGGCCAAAAATTTTCCGGCGGCGTGTTCGTCGGCCGGCCGAAAAAATTTTGCGGCCGGAGCGACGTCGGCCGAAAGAATTTTTTTTCGGCCGGTCGCCGAACACGCCGGCCAAAAATTTTCCGGCGGCGTGTTCGTCGGCCGGCCGAAAAAAATTTGCGGCCGTGGCGTCGCCGGGCCGAAAGAATTTTTCGGCCGGCCGTCGTCCCGGCCACAAATTTTTTTCGGCTCGGCGACGTTCGGGCCGCAATTTTTTTTCGGCCCGCCGTGTTTTTCGCCGGAAAACTGGAAAACTTACCGGAAAACTGGAAAACTGGCCGGAAAAAGTAAACTTACTTGTTTTCCGACGATTGAGGGCGACGGGAGGTTAGCCGACGACGGAAGAACGGTGCCGGCGACCGACGATTGACTTGCCTCGCGCCCGATCTTCGTCCAATCGACCCCGAACTCGCTAGAAATCCATAATGAAATTCATAAGTTCATAATGACACTAGGGTCATTAAAAATACAACTAGAAAAACAACAACATATAAATAGAACATTGCAACACGACACACGATTTACGTAGTTCACTAACACGAAGTATTTATAGTACTTCTCCATGTGGGTCTAAACCTAATCCAATATGACAAAGGAAACGGTTACAGACCAGGCCCAGAACCCGAACCCAAATAACAGCGAGACCCCCGATTACCAGTCGTAGCGGCTGATAGTCCGATTCAAGTCACATCAACAAAGGGTTTAGGGTTCAGGGTTCACTTAGGGTTTAGGGTTTGAAACACATGGTTCGTGTAGCACTTTGCCCACATTGTCTGATGGTTAGTGATGATTCATGGATGCGTGTACGCATTATATGTCGAGGATAGGCTTTCCCGATGATTTTCGGACGACTTTTCCGGCGAGCGTTGAATTTTTCTGATTCAATACATTCTCTGAAAGTTGGATATGTTGTAGATTGTGAAACTCCTTAACCAAAGATGTATATATATACATTTTTTTTCATCGATGATTTTCCGGCGACTTTTCCGGCGAGCGTTGAATTTTTCTGATTAAATACGTTCTCTGAAAGTTGGATATGTTGTAGATTGTGAAACTCCTTAACCAAAGATGCATATATATACTTTTTTTTTTTTTTGGTTGGCGGCAAATAGCAATTTGGTTGGCGGCAAATAGCAAGCCCCATATTTATAAGAAAATTTTAAAAAACGTTATGATGTGGGTTGTTGAAGAAATGTATGATTATTTTTTGAACCCATGGGTATCCAAGCACCTGTGGATACTGGTTGGGTTGAGTTTCATTTTCACTTCTAAAACCCAATGACTATTTTACCGGATTTTTAATGGGTGCACCAATTTTGTTTAGTTTGTATTTAGAGAAACCTGATCCAACCCGACCCATTGTCATTCCTAGGTGTTACACTGGTAATAATTAAATCTTATATCATTCACAAATTCACTAACATGTACACTTCGTCAAAGGAAACAATAATTATGAGCTTTAAGCTAATGTTAATGTTGGGATTGTGGGGATACAAGATCTCTTTCTTATACAAACTCTAAGGCCACAAGAACCAATAAGTCTCAATAACTTGAATTATTAAAAGTTTGAAACTAAATTATTTTTGGCTACATTCGAATTTCCTCAGTACAATAATATGCAAATTCAATACATCTAACATATTTCTAAACATTGTAACCAACACACATCTGTTAATTAACTACCACATCCATACAAACCTTAAGTGGTTGACATTCTCACTAAGGCCATTTTCTCTGCACAGGGTTGGGAATTGGGAGTGGGACGCTAAAAGGCAAGCTTGACGTTAGCGTTATGGAAACATATACCCCAGCTGCAAACAAAGGTGCATTACCTAATGAAAACAACACAATAAGTGGTGCCATAAATATCGAACGAATAATACAGCTAGCTGAACCAATTGATAAAGGCACTGAAACTATAAAGCTCAAAAGTTTTTTCAGTACAGTCTAGCTAAAGCAACCTAAATAGGTAGATCGTGTTATCTGGACAACCACGACGTTTATTTATTCAAAGCAATATATATAGCTCAACTGGGTTTCTTTCAGAGCTTATGAAGGATGAGTCGAGCACCGAATTGTGGCTGAAGTATGGGAGCCTCCGTGGAAGGAGCATGGGCATAAGATGGTGCAAGCTCAAAGGAAAACCTCTTCAGAATGATTGCCAAAGCCATTTTAGCCTCCATTAGAGCAAAATTCTGTCCGATGCAAATTCGAGGACCCCATCCAAAGGGGAAGTAAGCACCCTGTTGATTAGGGTTCTTTGTCGCCTTAGAAATTCCGTCGACAAATCTCTCAGGGTTGAACTCCCCCGCATCGCTCCCCCATATCTCGGGGTCCTTGTGGACGAGGATTGTCGGTAGAGCCACCTGAATCCCTGTCGGCAGGACAAAGTCACCCATCTTCGTCTCTCTCTCGATAGCTCGAGTCAGTTGCATGATAGGAGGGTACAACCTCATAACCTCGTGCAAGATCATGGTCATGGTCTTTAGCTGGCTGAGGCCACTGGAATCGAGGGGGGTGGCACTGACGATGTCAGTGCCAAAGACGTGCAAGACCTCCTGTCTTGCACGCTCTTGCCACACGGGGTACTTGCTGAGAAGGATCATTGTCCATACCAACACGGTGGAGGTAGTCTCCTGGCCGGCAAAGTAGAACAACTTGCATTCCTCGATAACATCCTCCAGTGTCATATTTCCGTTTTTGCCACTGCTGTTGTTTGATTCCATCAATAGGCCGAGCAAGTCGTTGTTGGAGACTACCTCACCCATTCTCATCGCCTTCTCTCTCTTGTTGATGATCTCTTGTGTCGCTTCTTGGATTTCCTTGTGCGCTTGTTTCATCCTGGTGTTTAGCTTGGTCGGTACAAACCTGGTTGGAGAAAGAAAAAGAAACACAAATGAGAAACGAATGTTGTCATGTTCGAGTGTGTTTCATATGTTTAATTACCTCCATCCTGGTATATAAACTTGTCGGGCGATCTGCATGACGAGAAAAGTCATTTCTCTTAGCAGTTCGAAAATTCTTGTCCCTTCTTTGTAACTGCTTCCAAATGCCGTTCGAGAAATTACATCACAGGTCATGCTCTGTAGACAAGGCCACACATCCAACTCACAGGAGTCTGTTTCGTTAGACTTCACCGCCCTCTCCCACTCGTCAACAATTTCTTTGCAGCTTCCATAAAACACTGGCACCATCAACTAAAAAAGAAGGCACAATTAAATGAGTGAGTCCTATTACAAGTTTATATTTATGGACAATCCATTTTAAGTATTTATAAACAATCTAAAAGATTCTCATTATTGGGTCCAATTCTAACTCATATTATCTGAAACCACCCTAATCCATTCCTCTCCATAGTTTCCAAACAACAGGTCCAATAATATATAAACTTGATGGAGTTTGGATGAAAGTTACTGTTTTTTTGTTAAAGTAGACCGTATTCTCTACAAATACGAACATGTCAAATATAAAACTACACAATCACCGATTCGTTAGTAAACCGAAACTTCAGTGACCATTTATGTACACAGTTACCTTCAACTTCTCCTGGTGGAATGCAGGGTTAAGGATTCTTCTGTGACGTGCCCATTTCTCGCCGTTGTAGCTTGCAATTCCGGTTGCCAACAACCTCAACAGTGGGTTGGGCCTCGACTTTGGGTAATCGTCAATTTTGGTGAGCACTTCTTTTATATGCTCAGGGTTCATGATGTTCACCCTTGGCACTGGCCCAAACCATGTGAACGATTTCTTCCCTGCAATTTGGAGATATAATTTATTGGTCATTAATTGCTATAAATAAACAGACTTAATTATCAATTTCCGACCAAAATACCAATTAAGTTATTAATATTAAAAAGTGGGGAAATCTGCACAAGAAAAATAAGGTACTTGACCTTAGGATGCTCCATCGTGAGTCCAGCCAAAAAGGACCTAAGATAAGAGATGGTATAAATCTACTAGGACGCCAACCAAACTTATTGATGTGGCAATTATATTATGGTTACTAAACTTTTGGGTCATCGACGAAGCAGTCACTAAACTTTCATTTCCTTAACAAATTCATCCCTAATGTTAAACCATTTATCTGTTTGAGGTGAATTTCCCACATAAACCCTTATCAACACCCATATATATAACCCTATAAATTAGTGCTTGTGTGAGAGATCGAGGGAAGCCGCAACATAACAAGCCACTTCGACCCTTTTCCTGCTGCTTAATTGATCAGAGATTCTATATTGATTGGCTGAATAAGGTATGATCACCTTGGTATCGTCGTCTATATTGATAAGACTTACGATTAGATTGTTTATAAACAAAATTTAAAGTATAGTGACCGATTTCTCAACGGACCCAAGTTTAGTGACCGTCGAAGCAAAATACCCTACAAATCATAGATGAGAGAGAGAGAACCAAACCCCGACGGACGGACATACATTACAATTACATACCGTAGGTCTTGACGGTGTGGCGAGGGAAGGGGAAGACACGGAGGGCAGCGTCGTCGGAGATATCCAACTGCCTCGACTTGGCTTCTTTCAGCATCTCCAGAGCTTCCTTCATATCTCCCTTCAGAAACCGGTATGGCCGCCCGTCGAAGCCCTGGCTCCTCAGGTACCTCTCCAACCTCTTGGGCCTGACCCACAGCCAGTTCATGACCCGCCATAGCGACGCCGTCACCGCCACCGCAACCACCGCCGATATTATTGAATAGCTACCCGTTTCCATTGTATATATTTGAAGTGATAATTTTTGCCTAGTGGAGTGCTAGCCTTTAAATACTGAAAAATAGATCGAAGACAACAACGTGGTTCGGAGAAATTTATGGGGTCAGGTCAGGCCCAAATTAAAGCCCGGTGACAGATCCCCTTACGTCATTTAATTTAATTTCCTCGACCACAACCGGTAGATACCCTTAGAATTGGCGCCAATATACTTGTCCTGCTTCTTTCTCCGGGATCCTCATATTTTTCAAGGTTAATTACTTGGTTCCTTTCGAAGCTGGAAACAGGATTTTGCCGCGAAAACCACTTATATTAACTTCAATTATTTTTGTTGTTTTTTGTTTAATGTTTTTCTTCTTCTTTTTCCCCCACGTGGCAACGATCTTTACAATGTTATGAACATATGAATGCCCGACTGAATTACACGTATGATTACCAAACATTTTCCTCATGTTGAACGTTAATTCTTGATATTAACGTTACAAAGGCATTCGAGTCAAATCCTCAACATGAGCTTGGGGAAATCTCAACAAAAGACTTCACGACGTTGTAAGAAGTTCTATTGCTACTAGTATATATATTAGTGAACATTTGATAGTTGTCGTATTAGTTGAAAATTGTTTACTTTTGCTGATAATAAAATTGTATAGTTGAAAAAAATCCCTTCAAATATCTCAAAATTTAAACTAATTACAAAATAATATGCCTTTAGATAATAACTATAAACTTAATTTATTTTAAGAAAAGGATGGGTATGTATATGAGGCTATGAGCTGCCTAAGGAAAATTGGCCATATGTTTGTGGCAATATGGAGAGAGCCACGTGTTTGCTTTGTCGTAATTCGTAAGTGGGGAGCCGAGAGTCCATATTAAAGCTTCTCACTTTGCCTTCGCTCAGTCATTTTCCTCCAGAAGCGTATTATTAAATATTAATAAATCAAATAATCGTCACCACGTCCAAAATTGATTATGACGTATATTTATCTGTGCGATTAATGTTTTCCCAGACCAGATTAGATTATGTTCCAACGTCATCATGTTCGTAGTTTGATGGGTCGAGTTTAATTTAGACATATATAAATATAATGGTCTATGACTAATACCGATGGGGAATATGACCCACTGATGTAGCCTTTGCCTTACTATATCACTGCCAAAGTCTCCTTCAGCAATTAATATTCATGTATCACTCTTGTATTAATATCTCTAATTCATTCTATCAATCAAAGAAATCAACCAATCATTTCCACAACTATATGTATGTACATAGCTAGAAAATACTCTATTTAATATTGGTACATAATCAAGTTGTTAGAGATGACAGGTGGACATCAGTAAATTTGGTTCGGAACCAGATCGAATCAAGATAATATCAGCTGTAATTAAAGAAAAAAATGAGGACTCGGACAGAAGCAAGACATGTTTAGCTAGATTTGATGTGAATCAAATTTAATTTTGGTCCACTTTTTTCATATTCAAAATAGTATGTGATCAAAACCAAATCAATATATATTCGGTCCAAATATCGATTTTTTACAATTCAATTCGGTGTGAACCATATATTTGTTTACCCCTAATTGAGAGCAATTTATTTATTATCGACAATGCAACTAGTTTTCTTAAATAATAGGAAAAGATAACACAATTTTCAAGTTACTAACTATAGACTAGTTCTTTTAGTTAGTTTCAGCCCGTTCTTTGTTAATTACAGTTTCTTAAAGTTTGGCTTTGGCTCCATGGTTATAAACCGAGTCTCACAAATCCAAAGCAAAGTTTCAAATACAACAGAGAGCAAAGGAATGTTTTCACTTTTCACTCGTGACTCGTGAGCAGTTCTGTAATGAAGGTGAGAGATTCTTGATGTTTTATTTTCATAAGGGTGATACGGTTTGGTTTTTCGTTTTAATTGGATGCTACTAAAAATATTTGAACATGTGATCTCTAATAATTACCAAACTATTCTTCGTGGAATTCCAGGCAATATTGTGATCTCTAAAGGGAGAAGTTTATTTCATAGTAATGTATTGCTCACATGCATACAAAAGCAACTGATTCTACCCAAGGAATTAAATCCCGATCAACTAGTTTTTGTTCAAAGCTTATGAAGGATGAGTCGAGCACCAAACTGTGGCTGGAGCGTAAGGGCCTCTGTGGAAGGAGCATGGACATATGACGACGCAAGCTCGAAGGAAAACCTCTTCAGTATGATTGCCAAAGCCATCTTAGCCTCCATCATAGCAAAACTCTGGCCAATGCAAATCCGAGGACCCCATCCAAAGGGGAAGTAAGCACCCTGTTGATTGTGGTTCTTCGTCGCCTTGGAAATCCCGTCGGCAAATCTCTCTGGGTTGAACTCCCCCGCGTCGTCCCCCCAGATCTCGGGGTCCTTGTGGATGAGGATCGCCGGTAGGGCCATCTGAGTTCCCGCGGGCAGAACGAAATCACCCAGCTTTGTATCTCTCTCGACAACACGAATCAACTGTGTTGCCGGGGGATACAGTCGGAGGACCTCGTATATGATCATGGTCATGGTCTTAAGCTGGCTGAGACTGCTCGAGTCGAGGGCGGTGAAGTCAATGTTAAGATCGGTGCCTAAAACGTGCAAGACCTCCTGTCTTGCACGTTCTTGCCATGCGGGGTACTTGCTCAGAAGGATCATTGTCCAAGCCAGCAATGTGGAGGTAGTCTCTTGCCCGGCGAAATAGAACAACTTGCATTCCTCGATCACTTCCTCTATTGTCATATACCCGTCTTTGTTGTTTGATTCCAACAGCAGACCGAGCAAGTCGTTGTTGGAGACAGCGTCGTCGCCCATTCTCATTGCTTTCTGTCTCTTGTTGATGATCCCCTCCATTGATTCTTGAATCTCCTTGTGCACTAGTTTCATTCTAGTGTTTACCTTGGTTGGTACAAACCTGGAGATCATGAGTAATTAAGAAGAATATACAAAAAAGGAAAATTGTCAATTCTAATAACTCGAACTTTTATTCTTCAAATGATGGCATATGAGTGTTTATATATGTTTGGGCATAAATCAATGATTTTCTTATTACGAGTCAAGCGAAAGTCAAAGAGAAATTGTTTTATAGTTCAAGAATGTAGAAAAATTCAAATTTCTAAATCCTGAACAAATTGTTTTTATAGAAGATATGCTTCATATTTTTACGTACCTCCATCCTGGTATATAGATTTGTCGAGCAATCTGTACAATAAGAGTGCCCATTTCTCTAATCAATTCGAAAATTCTCGACCCTTCTTTATAACTGCTTCCAAATGCTGTTTTGGAAATTACATCACAAGTCATATTCTGTAAATAAGGCCACACATCCAATTCACAAGAGGTGATTCCTTCAGATTTCACCACCTTCTCCCACTCATCAACCATCTCTTTGCAGCTTCTATGGAATACTGGCACCATCAACTACAAACAAAAACAAAAGAAGAAATAAATGAGTCCATTAACATCGGTCAAACTTATCCAATACTAATAGCAGAACAAAGTCAAATGTTTGGTATCAATCTATTTAACAGATGTTGGTAGTTAATTTGCTTTCCTCGAGAATTAAAAAAAAAATGGAGTTGTGGGACTCATAATCAGGTGAATATGTAATCTAAAATCATCCAAATGAATCGCTTATTCATGCGGCTGGCCATTGGAATTTGGACATAATTCAAATACACTCCATAAATACTTAAAATCTAATAAGATGATAATTTAGCTAGGGTGCTCATGACATCACTATTTGTGATCGAGAACGTATTCACAACCATCGAATCACATGTTATACACTCTGCACTGCGTTGAGTGGTGGAAATTTTATAAATGGATGGAGACAATTAATTCAAAATAGATAATGTAGTAATTGTCAAAATTAAATAAATTAAAAGAAGTATTTTTTTTATATTAAACGTCAAAATCAAGTGACCTATTTGCTGATGAAAATCAACATGATTAAATAACAACAATAATTAAATAAAGAAAATGATCGATTTGCTGACCTTCAACTTCTCCTGATGAAACGCAGGGTTGAGAATCTTTCTGTGTTGTGCCCATTTATCGCCGTTGTAGCTTGCAACTCCCCTAGCTAACAGACTCGTCAATGGGTTGGGACCCCTCGCCTTTGGATACTCGTAAACTTTTGTGAGCACTTCTTTAATGTGTTCAGGGTTCATGAGGTGCACCCTTGGCACCGGTCCGAACCATGTGAACGATTTCTTTCCTATAAAACGACCACAGTACGTATAAGAATGAAATTTAAACCTCTGATCTCTCTAAACAATTTAAATTATCGGGCGATCGAGAAAGAGATTGATACCCATACCATAGTTGTTGATGGTGTGGTAAGGGAAAGGGAAGACACGAAGGGCAGCATCGTCGGTGATGTCCATCTGCCTCGATTTGGCTTCTTTCAGCATCTCAACTGCTTCCTTCATATCTCCCTTGAGAAACCGATACGGCCGGCCGTCGAAGCCTTGGTTTCTCAGGCGGTTCTCCAGCCGCTTGGGTTTGAACCAAAGCCAGTTCATCATCCGCCATAGCCATGTCGTCGCCGCCACCACCACCACAGCCACAACTACCGACGACTTACTAAAAGTTTCCATTTAAGAGCAGACCAGTGAGAGATAATAATAACGACACTTTGGGAGTTGGGGATGTTTATAAAGGCCCCGCCAAGCCTGCAGATGACATATACCCTGACGCCATACCATTCCTTGCCGCCTATTGTCCAAGTGTCGATCGGCTAATTCATCCAAAATTAATTAGTGGGACCTATACACAATTTTGTTGTAATTAATTATTGTACATTCTAGACAGTACTGTATTTTGATATTATACAAAATCTTGTAACCTAGATCATACTGTAGATATATGTTCATCAAACGACGAGGTTATTAGTTTCTGGCAGCTTGTTGGCGTAAGTATTGAAGCTTACCTTACCTGTCTCTCTTTCGGTCTCTACCATGTTCTCTGCTTGGCAGTTAGCTTTCTATCCTTTTCATCCACAACCACAAGCATATTTTTTTTTTCTTAATTAAGTAATATATAGTTGTCAACGTTTATGGCATATTTATTAATGCAATGTGTTGATTTCCACACCAAGCCGGCCAGCTTATGCTCGGACGGTTGCACCATCATATGCTTGTAGTCAGTAATTTGATGGGTCAGTTTTGGAGCATATATAAATGGCATGGGCTTTGACAAGCACCTTTGGGGACCACTTTTGACATCATATATGTATATTATTAAGCTTTCTTACAGGGAAAGGTTTGATTCATTTGGATCATCCTAAAATGTTTTCTCAGAATACATTATGGTAGAATTTGTGGATGTGGGAGGTAAGGGCCTATTTCATATGTACAGGAATTTGTTGATATGGTGGTAGAAATTTATGGATTAGAGTTCTCGTATTCACGTTTTAGTAATTCTCAAATTTATCAATTTTAGATACAATATTGTCAAAAATTAATTAATATAAAAAAAACTTGAATCGTGGAGAGATTTTCAATAATGGATCATTGTAACATTTACTAACAAATATTCGATGTAGTTTGAAACTTTTTTTCAAGCTATGAGAATACATCATAAGTTAATGTAAACATTAGTAAAATCAACGAGAATAATTGATGAGCTTGTACAACCTTAACCATATATATATTTTTTGTGTAATGATACATGTAAGGAGATGCTACGCCATTATTATCGTTGCTAAATCATTATCGATCAATTTATAAATCCAACAAATGATTTGTATTTTGTAGAGGTGTATCACGTTTGCAAGGAAGGAAACTGTATTGGGCCATAGTGCCAGCTGCTGCGGGCAGTTCGTGGACCCAGATCGGTCCACTTACTCACCTCTTTTACTTGTTTTAGCCCATTATTTGTTACTCATCTGTTTGCTTGCTACTATTGGGCTCCAGATCCAGATTATATATATCGAGTTCACAGATAACGCGGCCGTACGTTAACTACCAACCAAACCCAACTCGGTTTATAAAGATCCAGAACAAGGTTACTTACAGAGGAATAAAGTCTTGTACATTTGTACATGTTCATTTTTCATTCGTCAGTATAATACCAAAACTCGAACCCTTTCTAAGACCCAAAATGCAGCTAGTTTATAGCATGGTGGTCTAACCGATAAAACCAAGATATACCATGGACCAACCCTATTACATTTCATCAGTTCTATATCAAGGATATAACAAATTTTTCATATCAATGTCATATCATTGTCTAGTCACTAAATCACTCACTAATCTCGCTATTCGTTCTCAAATTAAGTAGTCAAATCGTGTTAATCACCACCAATTAATATCGAAATGGGGGAAGGAAGGAGCCAGCAGCCACAACAACCGCCACCGCCATCGCCACCACAGGCAGCTGTGCTTTCAGTCATGGTTGAACCATATGCTCCTTATCAACAACAACAACAACAACAACACCCCGCGCCTCATTGTTATGGCGATCATCATCACCAACAAATCAACATGCCAAATGCATTTGCTTATGGTGCACCTGCAACACCGTATCCTGGACATCCACGTCAAATGATGAACTCGTCTGTTACCGTCAATTATCCCGTTGTTGAAGCAGATCCTCCTTTGGTTGTCGACCGATTGCCTTGTTGTGGAATCGGTATTGGCTGGTTCTTGTAAGTCAACGTTCTTTTAACCTCTGTTTATCTTCTTCGTAATAAGGTCAATCTCTAGGGTTATTGAAAGTTAAACAATAACTAACAAATTAACCACTAGAACAAAAAACATACTTGTTGCGACCAGAAAAATGGTTGCAGAAAGTTCTCGCCGATACATCTGGTTGTGGCATGGGCAGTAATATTGCGTTGCCGATGTCTTAGTTTGCGGTGGCTTGGACGAGAAGTTTTGGCAAAAGCTAATTTTTTTTATAGCATTGATAATATATAGTGGTCTATGAATGGTTTTAGTGACCAGCAAAATAAGCCTTCTGTCACTATTGTGGCTTCCGAAAAAGGAGAAGTTTTGCGACTAATGTTGTGCATTGTTTTAGGCTAAACATTTAAGGTTGCTGATATTAGTGACCACGGTTTTTAATTGATAGAATATCTGGGTCGCTAAAAGGTTAGTTTTCAATTGACAGACAAACTAATTAATAACTTAGTCACATAGTTAAAAATGTACATTCATCACCAAGTTGAAGCCTAAAATCTGTACATATGTAAATACCAATTCATGTTATTTAAATTCAACTCATAACAATTTCATTAATAATAAAATAACTAGGTGAGTGAGTTATATAATATGATCATGGTAAACCCTTTCGCTGATAAGTTATTGACTTGACCGTCATAGGTGACAACTTGGTTGACCACCTAAAACATTTTTCTCATTATGCACGTTGGGATAATAAAGAGACAATGATAAAATTTGCTTGTAATAATTAAGGTCATTCTGTAAGAAATTTTGTAAAACTAATGCTGATTTAATGTGATTTGTGATATAAGGTTCATATTGGGATTCTTCTTTGTCTTTCCATGGTATATTGGAGTTGGGTTCTTATTATGTTCCAAGTACGACAACCGCGAGAAGCCCGGATACATTGCCTGCGTTGTTCTTGTATGTTTTCTTTTCCCTCTTGTTTCTACTGCAAAAAAAAAAAAAAAAAAGTTACTATGTACAAGTCATATATATTCTGCGTAGAAGTCTTTTTTTTGTTTTTGTTTATTATTTTCTAATTACAACACAAACTCTCTTGCAGGCTGTAATTTTCCTTATTTTGGCGGTTTTTGATGCAACAAGGCCGGTTCATTATGCACAGATGTAATTGATCGAAGTCCAGCCAAATCAATTACATGACACTAAGCGGAAGCTATTGTTCACCACTTCACCTTTTTTTTTTTTCTATATATGCACCACTTCACCTTTGGAATTGCTCAGTCATGTGTTAGTTGGGTAGCTAGGTATTGATTAATAATTGATGGTGTTCCATTCTGTAATTAGCCATTCGGTTATTTTGTAAAATGAGGGTTTGTGTGGCGTGTGTATAGCATATAGTTAACTGAATCGTTATTCGTCGCCCTAAAACTTAAATTTTATCGTCCTAAACTACACTGAAATGACACATATGCCCCTATTCCAAATCAAATCTAAACCCTAGAACCTTCTCTCGGCAACCGAAATCCGCCGCCTCTCATTCTTTGGCGAAACCCAGAACTGCTCTCTGCCGCTGTCGTGATGCTGATGTTGGGTGGAGGAGGACGAAGCCACTGCTTCCCGCTGACTGATGTGCCAACTGGAGGGGGTCTGATTGTAATCGTCCCATTCAGAGCTTTTTTTAGTACATTAGCATGAATTGTTGTCTTAATAATGATAGGAACGCCAAGCTTGCTGAATATATAATGCAGCAACATTGTATTCGTTGTTCCCAAGTTTGACAAATCAATTTCCATGTCCATACTTTCAGCATCTAGAGCCGAACAAAAGCAGCAATTGCAAGGGATCAAAAGACGGGCCAGCATGCACCATCACTATTGATAAGGGTTGAAAACTTTTCCCGGAATGTTTGGGATGGGTTGAAAACCTGTTCGATACCCACGAAAAAGGGTATTTGTGTAATTCAATAAGATTTAGGGCGACGAATAAACTATTTTAGAGAGACGAATAGCAATCCCTGTTAATCCTTATTCTTGAGTCGGGGTTAACTTTAAGTAATCTAGCCAAATAATGTAGACAATCGAGTACTCTCATATGAAAAAAAAATCTTTAAAAGATTAAATTCTGCTTCATTAATCTCTCATTTTTTTCATTATAATCTGGTAGAAATTAAAGGTGACCAGTTCTGTAATAACCAACAAAACGTGGGAATTCCTTGCTCACATGCATACAAAAGAAGCTAATTATACAAAAAGGATGATCCACTGTTTATTTTGTTTTGTTCAGAGCTTATGAAGGATGAGTCGAGCACCGAATTGTGGCCGGAGTGTAACGGCTGCGGAAGGAGCATGGACATATGACGGTGAAAGCTCAAAGGAAAACCTCTTAAGTATGATTGCCAAAGCCATCTTAGCTTCCATAAGAGCGAAACTCTGGCCAATGCAAATCCGAGGACCCCCTCCAAAGGGAAAAAAGTATGCACCCTGTTGATTGTGGTTCTTCGTCGCCTTAGAAACTCCATCGGAAAATCTCTCTGGATTGAACTCCCCCGCGTCTTTCCCCCAAATCTCGGGGTCCTTGTGGATGAGAATCGATGGTAGGGCCACCTGAGTTCCTGCATGCAGAATGAAATCGCCGAGCTCCGTATCTCTCTCGATAATCCGAATCAACTGCGTTACTGGAGGATACAGTCGGAGAACCTCGTTTAGGATCATGGTCATGGTCTTAAGCTGGCTGAGACTGCTCGAGTCGAGTGTGCTGGAGTCGATGTCATGTTTTGTGCCAAAGACGTGCAAGACCTCTTGTCTTGCACTTTCTTGCCACGCTGGGTACTTGCTGAGAAGGATCATTGTCCAAACAAGTAGTGAGGAGGTAGTCTCTTGCCCAGCCAAATAAAACAACTTACATTCCTCAATCACTTCCTCTACTGTCATATTTCCTTCTTTGTTGTTTGATTCCATCAGAACACCGAGCAAGTCGTTGTTGGTGACAACGTCCATGCCCATTCTCATTGCTTTCTCTCTCTTGTTGATGATCCCCTCCATTAGTTCTTGAATCTCCTTGTGCACTTGTTTCATCCTAGTGTTTGCTTTGGTTGGTACGAACCTGGAGATCGAGAGGAAAGAAACACAAACGGGGAAGGAAAATTGTTAATCCTAATAACTCAAGTGACGGTCTATCAATATTTCATTGTAAATCTTTCAACATTATAAAAAATACTTGGTTTTAAATCAAAACTCTTTTTATTATCAGCTACCGAAATTCAATTGAAGTTGTTTTAGTTCAATAAAGTTAAAAGCACAAAGTTTCAAACCCTGAACAAATCATTTCTTTGAGTAACTCGAAATATATATGTAAAAATGACTGTTTCATATTTTTATGTACCTCCATCCTGGTATATAAATTTGTTGGGCAATCTGTACAATAAGAGTACCCATTTCTCTTAACAATTCGAAAATTCTTGCCCCTTCTTTGTAACTGCTTCCAAATGCTGTTCTGGAAATTACATCACAAGTCATGTCCTGTAAATAAGGCCATACATCCAATTCACACGAGCTGATCATTCCCTCAGATTTCACCACCTTCTCCCACTCATCAACAATCTCTTTGCAACTTCTATAGAACGCTGGCACCATCAACTGTAAATAAAGAGGAGGGAGAAAAAAAAGAATGAATGTGTACATTATGAGCACTAACAAAGTCAAATGTTTGGTATCAATCCATTTAACAGCTATTGGTACTAATTTGTTTCTTCAAGAATAAAAATAGAATATGCATATGTGGGACCTATAATCTGATGAAATCTGGCAATTGGAACCAATAAACATAGAATATATGCTTATAATTTTTGCGTTATATAAAAAATGTTTCTAAAGCCATTCAAATGTATCTCTAATCCAAACAAATGCCAATTGGAACCAAATTCAATCCACAAATAAGTAAACTATAGTAAGATAATTTAGCTAAGGTGCTCACACTACCATCAATGAGAACGTATTTATAGCCCCAATGGGAGTGATGGAAATTTTATAAATATATGGACTGAGATAATTAATTAAATAATCATGGACAGATGGACCCATTACCATCTCCACCCAAATTAAAGTTTTAGGGTAAGTGTCATTGAATTTTGAAATATAAAAAACTTTTCAATATGGTTTGGATTAATCAACATAAACCCACTTTTTCCATCACCATGTATAAATAAAATATTCATCCAATTAAATTAGCACCATTAGCTTGCCAACGCACCTAGATTAAAAACAAAAAGAGCTGTATATATCTCATAATTAGGTGACCTATTCGTCTCCATAATCACATGTCATAGCTGATCAAAGTTAGGGTTGAAATAAATAAATAAATAATTAAATAAATTATGCATTAAATGTCCAGATCGAGTGACCTATTTGCTGACGAGAATCAATGAGATTAAATTACACTAATTAAAGAAAATGATTTCCTGACCTTCAACTTCTCCTGATGGAACGCAGGGTTGAGAATCCTTCTGTGATGTGTCCATTTCTCGCCGTTGTAGCTTGCAACTCCCCTGACTAACAGCCTCCTCAGTGGGTTGCTCCTCAGCTTTGGGTACTCGTAAACTTTTGCTAACACTTCTTTGATGTGTTCAGGGTTCATGATGTGCACTCTTGGCACTGGTCCGAACCATGTAAACGATTTCTTCCCTGCAAAAACAACGCTGCTATAAGATCGATATTTGAACCTCTCTTAACGAACCAACGAGACCGGATCGGATAGAGAGGGGTGTAAGATAGATAGATAGATACCGTATTTCTGGACGGTGTGGTAATGGAAGGGTAAGACACGGAGGGCAGCATCGTTGGAGACGTCCAACTGTCTCGACTTTGCTTCTTTCAGCATCTCGACGGCTTCCTTCAGATCGCCCTTCGGAAACCGATACGGCCGGCCGTCGAAGCCTTGGTTTCTCAGGCGATTCTCCAGCTGCTTGGGTTTGAACCAGAGCCAGTTCATCATCCGCCATAGCCATGCCGTCACCGCTACCACCACCACCGCCACAACTGCCGATGACTTGCTGAAAGTTTCCATTTAAGAGCAGTGAATTGAAGTGAGAGATAATAATAATAATAACGAGACTTTGGGAGTTGGAGATGTTTATAAAGGCCCCGCCGGCCAAGTCTGCAGATGACGTATATATAGCAGTGACATAAAACCCTTAATCAAAATGTGTGCTATTTAATTTAATATATACTAATCACAACAATGCTTATCAAACCGACGACGACTTATTAGTTTTTTCTACGGTTAGCAGTTCGCTTTCTATCCTTTTCCTCCACAAGCAAATTATTATTTTTAGTAAAGAGTCGTCAGCGCGTTTATGGCATGTTTATTTATGCAATGTGTTAATTTCCACACCCATATCATACCATACCAAGCCGGCCGGCCGGCTTATGCTTGAACGGGTGCACCATCATGCTCATAATTTGATGGGTCAGTTTTTTAGGGACATTTGGGGACTCAATTTTGACATCATATATATGTACGTCAACCTTTCCTATAGGGAACTTTGCATTCAGTCCTTGTAAAAAAATTAGACTCTTATATTTTCATAATACATAATGGTAAAATGTGGGAAGTAACGGGTTATTGGTTGTGTAAATTTCAATGTTGGACTTATCCTAACAACTACAGAGTTATTGGGATGAACTACTTGTTTGCTGATATTATCAGGGATGGAAGTCGGTATGATATCTGTATCCAGCATCAAATATCAAAATCTCGAATTTTTAATTACACCCTAAATCAATTCCAATCTCAATCTCAAAGTAAATTTAGTATTTCAATCCCAAAATATTTTAGTATCCCAATTGGTGTTATGGAATACAAAACTAATTACATTTGCAATTAATAATAAAATATATATAAATAAAAAAATAACACCCCTAATCCAGAGCATTTTATATAGTGTAGATTTTTAGGTTTACCTTCATGATTGAAAATTTTGATTATGAGAATTTGAAATTTTGAGATGCATGCAGCATTGAAGAGAATCGTTGAGCTCTATAAGGAAATAGTTTTGTCAACGAAGCTTTGAGTAGTTTTACTTTTATCAGAGTATCATCTTCTGGTTATTGCTACCAGTCTCTACTGTTGGTCTTGAAATGTATTGTTTTTGTAATTAACTACGTGAAGAACATATTTCATAATTGGATGACTGTTGAAATTATGAATAATAAGTACATGAAAACTGATATACTTTATAATTTGGATGATAAATATAATTTAAAATTGACTATCATCAAAGTTATAGGCAGTGTAGTTTGTCAAATGTATATATTACAGTCCATTTATAATTTTATATGCAAACTGAATTCAAAACATGCCGTCAATATATATGCAAAGTAAGAATTGATCCACGTTCGCGAGGAGATCTAAGAAAGCAACAAAGGAAATAAGACAACTTTGTTGGGTTGGGCCATAGTGTCGACTACTCTGGGTCGTCGTGGACCCAAATCGGTCCACTAACTAACCTCTTTTACTTGTTCAGCCCATTATTTGTATGGGAAAAGAATTAGCATACAACTCAAGTCTGAATTTGTTATTTGTTTCTCACCAATATGCAACACAGTTATATATAGCTTTTGTTTTATTCTTTTTATGACTAGCTAAGTGAAGTTTTGTTGTGGTGGTGTCATTATATTGGATTGGTGTCAATAAAATGGTGAAATTACACGTTGTAGAAGTAATGGAACAATAGAAAATGCTGTGAGCATCTGTATAAACCATAGTAAGAAGTAATTTCAAGGGGTCTGGAGTGTGGACAGTATATTATTATTTTAATTGGAGATTGATCATGATTAGCGTCAATGCTCTCCCTTAATTGCTTGTAATATCGCAACAACCGAAACAACAACCGCCTGCATGCACAATGAAATAATTAAGCAAGCATCAAATCAAAGCTCTCACTTAACGAGGTTGTTCTATGATATATATTTCAACGAGAAAATAACATAAGAAAAAGGATGTCCGAAACTATACATACAAATGTAGCGCATGCTAGGAGCCCTGCCCTTTCACGACGTTCGTACCGTCCAAATACGAGAATGAAGAATCCAACAAACCAAGGAATTCCACAAACTATCCATCCGATTACAAACCTTCATAGGCAGAATAGAAGAAGGAAAGATAGTTAACTAAGTGAAAATAGCAATATATAGGTTTTCTATCTACCTTAAATTAATTTGAATTCTTCTTCCAACACTTTTTTTCCGGTGGAACGAACATAGCATGGTGGTGAAAATTGCGATAGTATAGCTAGGAGGAAGACTCTACAAAATAATTTACTTACAGGAACCAGCCATAACCCATGCCACAACAAGTCCATCTTTCAACTGAAATTTAAGATGAATGGCCAGTGTTGTCAAATTAGATAATAACCTGGATATTCATGAACATAAAAAAAGAAGGAAAGACCGTACAAATGGCTACACTCCAGGATTTTGTCACAAACCCCTATTGCGACCAATTCGCAAAATCGTCACCATTGAATTGTTTTAGTGACGCACTCCAATTCTTGAGTTATATATCACTCCCTCTTTTGATCAAACTTTGAGGCCAATTTTATGTCCACGTGTAATAGATAATTAGTGGATATAGATATTCACCTATGATCACAGCAGTGGTAGTGTGGCCGGCGATCACCGGCGGTGGAGCTTCAGCTGTAGTGACAGCTGGCGGGTTGGTGATTTCAATGTGTACGTTGGTCGTAGTATGTTGCTCTTGAGTCGAATAGTACTGCTGACGACGCTGAGTCGTCGACCCGTGAGGATTCACAGGCGGCGGGGACGTTTGGGGATCATAAGGCGGTGCGGACGGCTCGCTACGGCCGCTGCCGGACTTCTGACTCTCGTGATCCATATATTAATATAATCCTCTTTTTTTTTTCTTCTCCCTCTCCGGCTTACCGGAGTATCTATTGCTGGCTATATATGATATGTCTTATATATTGGCGCGTTGTTTAACTTACAATGTGTGACAGCTAATTAGCGTGCGCCTGAATGTCATAGCAAAATAACTAACAACGTGCCGTCTAGGTACGTTCAAAAGTCAGAAAGAGACAAGACAGAAGTAGTTCATCTGACTCCGGCGACGGCGAGTTCGATGTCAAGAGTTTTGATATTCCCGGTTTAGGAGATTCGGGGAGGCCGGCCGTGCAGTTTCCAGGAAATTTGTTTCCATGTCTATTTTCTTTCCCCCAGTATAGAAATGGTTAAGCAAATACATAGGATCAAAATTGTGGCAAAAACATGCTTAAAATAATGCATTCAAGTTATGGGATGACAAAAATAATGGTCACATATAGGCCATATGTTGATGAAGAGCGTACTAATTTAGACAAAGGTTAAAACTTTGTTGTTTAAGCTATAGTGATGGAACGAGTTGATCTGATCACGCTGGAGGTGGAAAAGAAGTTGGAACCATCATCAGCAATGTCGAAATACTTCATGTATCATAGAGGCAACACAATTAAAATTAAGGAGAGTGACGCGTCATGAGAAATAATTGTTTTCCTTTCCATAAAGCAATCACAGTAACTCTCAATGCTAGATAGGTAACGAAATGGTAGCTAGGCTAGCTAACCAAGAACTAGCTGTCCTAACCACCCAACTGCTATTCCGTCCCCATTGTCCATTGAACCTGCTCGGAACAATATGTGAAGGGCGTTGCATAGTATCAAAAGACCGCCGATAGAGGATTATGGTGCAAGCCAACAATGATGATGATTATTATGTTGAGTTGAGTTGTGCATATGAAGCACATAAATAATACTGTCAAACTCTTGTAACCAACTCCATCTACAAATAATATATCGTATGAATATGATTTTGAAACTCTTACGGGTCGTTTGGATGCAGTATTTTGATGAGATAATTTAGTCGAAATAACTCAGAATGATGTATTTTAATCAAAATAACTCGTTTGGCAAAAATAAAGTAGAATGTGGTATTTTGTCCACGAGTCAATTGAAATAACTCATTGTGAGTTATTTGAAATACCTACCCACCCCCTAGTTATTTCAAATACCTCATCTCCCAACTTCTTTTTCCACTTCATCTCTTATTTAAGTGGTGAAATACCACAATATTTGAATGTTTTATCCAAACAAGACAATTACACCAATTACCACATTTCAAAATGAAATACCACATGAAATGGCACATAGCAAAATAATGCATCATTTGGATTCGAAATACCATAGAACCAAAATCATGCATCCAAACGACCCGTTAAAGATTGTGATAGTCACCAAGTTTTTTTTTTTTATCAAACGTGCTAGCTAGCAACTTAACCCTTTTTTCTTTGGTGTTCCATCGTTTGCTTGTTACTTAAGTGAGTAATAAGAGTTCATTTTTCGACGTTACTCGTTGAGTTATTATCAAATTACTTTTAGACCCCCATAAAACGATAATGATAATTCTTGATACATATCATTTCGGGAAATTAGAAGTTCTAATCTAACTAGAATTTTCTGGTGTACTACATTTTTACGGACAAAAATTTCACCTTTATTCTCTTTTCCTCTCTTTTAGTTTTCAATTTTTGAATACCACAATTCAAAAATATATCGAAGAAAAAAAAAATAAAGAGCTGCATTGCGATTGCCTCATTTATCCTCCTTTTTCTACTACTTATTATTCACAACAAATTATTTAAAAAAAAAAACAAAGGAAAAAATTAGATTGCACCACCACCATCTACATCGGATCGGAGGAAATAAACTGATAATTAATTAACACCCAACCTAGTTACAGAAATTTAATACATTCGTATACGTTTTTCTCATCGATCTAATTACCGTTACGAACACATTTATGGGAAGATTATTATATCCCGTAATTAGCTCATCCCATTTACCTTTTCAACCTGCACACATCCATTCAGTATAGGGAGATCTGGTGAAGATCGATCATAACCAACATTCATCTCAAACCCTCATTATCCTTTCTCCGATCCTCTCATATATATCTATTCTCTCTCTATAAAATTTCATAGCGTTAAGCTATCCAAAAAAAGTGGTAACAAGCTAGAATACAATACATTATTGCCGTTCGTCGATCACTTTCCGCAAAGAAGTTGGTGGTTTTTGATATGACGACTCCAGCCTCACAACCGGAGCTCTTTGAGCTCAGCAATGGCTCCATGAAGGTCAAGATCACCAATTTGGGTTGCACAATCACATCCTTGGAAGTTCCGGACAAAAATGGTACAACCACAATGGAAAGAAAAAAAATTGTTATGAGTTTTTGGATATCGATCGTTATTTTGATTTTCTGTCTTGTCTATTTTCTTGTATAGGAAATTTAGCTGATGTTGTTCTTGGGTTTGATTCCATCGAGCCATACCAGGTAATCACTAGTTGTGTGTGATTTGATGAAATTTCAAATATGTTCTATCACAGTGGTGAGCTGATGAACTGATCTCGAGCATTGGTGATGGTCGCCTTTTAATAGGTTTTTTGGTTTTATTCTTAGTATTGTAACAGAGCTGTCCACCTTGTGGCTTCTATAACTCTCTTATCGACAGATCGATTAGTATTGACTGCCACGTCTGGTTTGTTCGAGTCCTGTAATATCTATTACCATCCATGACAAAAAAAAAACATCTTATGAATCAATCAATCATCCAGTGTCACAACGTATATGCTTAATTTTGTGGATGTGCAGAAAGGTTTAGCACCATACTTTGGGTGCATAGTGGGACGAGTAGCAAATAGGATAAAGGACGGCAAATTTAGCTTGGAGGGAGTTGAATACACTCTGCCTCTCAACAGGCCTCCAAACAGCCTCCATGGTATAACTCTATATCCATCATCCTTAATTCATTTCTTAATTATGTGTGTAATTAACCATCAAATCAAGTAATGATGAACAAAATGTTTGTGTTAATTAGGTGGTAACAAGGGATTTGACAAGATGGTCTGGGAGGTTGCTCAACAAACTCAAGGCCAAACCCCATCCATAACCTTCAAGTACCACAGCCGTGATGGAGAGGAAGGTAATTAATACATCACATCACATATGAGCAATGTGCTAGCTAGCTATGAACATTACATACAATTGATACATGTTGTGCTTTTTGATTGAGGATGACACTTCGATTTGCAGGGTACCCTGGCGACCTTGCGGTGACCGCAACTTATTCACTGATATCGAACACTACACTGAAACTCGAAATGGAAGCCGTGCCGGACAAGAAAGCCACTCCGGTGAGCTTAGCGCAGCACACATACTGGAACCTCGCCGGACACAGCCACGGTACCATATTGGACCATTCTATCCAGATATGGGGATCCCACGTCACCCCGGTCGACCAGAACACGCTCCCCACGGGGGAGATCCTCTCGGTGAAAGGGACGCCTTTCGATTTCACGGCCGAGAAGAGGATCGGGGCCTCGATCCACGAGGTCGAGGGCCCGGGCTACGACCACAACTACGTGCTGCAGCAGGATGGCAATGGGGATCAGAAGTATTCGGGCCTGAGGCTCGCGGCGAAGCTCAGGGAACCTTCCAGCGGCAGAGCCATGGCTCTGTGGACCAATGCGCCAGGGATGCAGTTCTACACGGCGAACAATGTGAATGGGATTGCGGGGAAAGGTGGGGCGAACTACGGGAAGCACTCTGCGGTGTGTTTGGAGACTCAGGGTTTCCCCAATGCTGTCAATCAGCCGAATTTCCCTTCTGTGATTGTGCAGCCTGGGCACAAGTACCAGCATGCCATGGTGTTCGAGTTTTCAGCTGAATGAGGAACACAGTGTGTGTGTGTGGCCGTGTGGGGCTTTATTTGAATGGAGTTCATACATATACTGGTTCAGTATGTTATGATCATATGATGAACAGATCAATTGAGGAAGTTCTGGCCCTCTGTTTCTAATATAAACAGAGTGTACTGTTGCTTTAGTATAATGTTTTGATTAGTATCCTTTCACATAGATGATCAAGGAAAATTAATAAGAAGATATATATGGTTTGTTTTCTTATAAAGGAGAAGAGTGAGATTGATATATGTTTCATTCTCCCAGATTCTAGGTTGGTTCTAGAAAATCGTTACATTTTAACTTCGTTAGTTATTGTTCGGGATATTGATGGTTGTTTTATTATGACAAATGCATATACAATCTTCTACTTTTAATTTAGAAGAATCTTGCAAAAATATTTTTATAGTATCGGTGCTTTGATTTACAACAAAAAAAATTATATAATACAAATTGAGCTTGTACTCAATTATTTTGTAAAAACATGTATATTTTAAGAAATTTTATAAAAATTATTGTCTATGGAAAATTTTTTATGGAAAAAAATCCTGAAATATTAGAAGCATAGATTAATTTTTGTCCTCAGCCTATAGATCGGTATCGAGCTGCATTTTGAGTATAGATTCAGTTGTCAGTTACTCAACAACTCCAAAAGATCCCGAAATCCAAGTAGTATCCCCTCGATCTCCAGATCCTCAATTCATTTCCATGCCTCAAATCCCCTCATCCCGGGATCTCATCAAATCTGCAGATTCCCCATTCTTGCTACCCTCAGACTCCGACGACCCGACGACACCATTGATGGATCCCGCCGACGCGCCGCAGAAGAGCTACTGGCGATGGAGCAAACAGGACTTTTTCCCCGAACCCTCTTTCCAGAACTGCTCCGCTTACAGAGCAGCGCTCTCCCAGACCGGCCGCCGTTTCAAGGAGCGGCTCCTCTCGCGTTCCTCCGACGACAACGAGCTCGTCAATCTCCGCCGGGAGAGCCAGAACCCTATGTCCAAGTGCCTCACCTGGTGGGACCTCATGTGGATGAGCTTCGGCTCCGTCGTCGGCTCCGGAATCTTCGTCATTACCGGCCAGGAAGCTCGTAATCACGCCGGCCCTTCAATCGTCCTCTCCTACGCCGTCTCTGGGTTCTCTGCCTTACTCTCCGTGCTCTGCTACACGGAATTCGCCGTCGAGATTCCCGTCGCAGGTGGGTCTTTCTCCTTTCTCCGAATTGAATTGGGTGACTTCGTTGCTTTCCTCGCCGCTGGGAATATTCTTCTGGAAGGGATTGTTGGTGCTGCTGGGTTAGGAAGGTCTTGGTCATCTTATTTCGCCAGCATGTTCAATTCCAATAATCCTGATTTCTTGCGGATTAGAATTGAGGGGTTTGCTGAGGGTTTCAATCTATTAGATCCTTTGGCTTTTGTTGTCCTGTGGGTGGCAAATACAATTGCAATGACTGGCACAAAGAGGACATCTTTACTCAACTGGATTAGCTCCATTGTCAGTGCTCTTATGATCGTTTTCATTATAATTGTCGGGTTCATCCATGGCAAGACTTCGAATTTGACCCCATTTTTCCCCTATGGAGCTGAGGGAGTGTTCAATGCTGCAGCAGTAGTGTACTGGTCTTACACAGGGTTTGATATGGTAGCTACCATGGCAGAGGAGACCAAGAAACCTTCGAGGGATATCCCAATAGGATTAGTTGGATCAATGTCCATGATCACAGTGGTGTATTGCTTGATGGCTCTAGTACTCACCATGATGGTGAACTATACTAGAATCGATCCAGATGCTGCTTACTCAGTCGCATTTGCCCAAATCGGGATGAACTGGGGGAAGTACTTGGTGAGCATATGTGCATTGAAAGGGATGACCACTAGCTTGCTTGTTGGATCACTAGGACAGGGGAGGTACACCACTCAGATAGCTAGATCACACATGATCCCTCCGTGGTTTGCTCTGGTTCATCCAAAGACCGGAACCCCAATCTACGCCACTCTTCTAATCACCACTCTGAGCTCCATCGTCGCTCTCTTCTCCAGCTTGGATGTGTTATCATCTGTCTTCTCGTTCAGCACTCTCCTCATCTTCATGCTCATGGCTGTTGCTCTGCTGGTGCGGCGATACTACGTGAGTGGAGTTAGTACGAGGAGTAGTTTGGTCAAGTTTGTCACGTGCTTGTGCACCATTATTGGTTCTGCCATCGGAGTGACTGTGTTTTGGAGCACTAGTAAGGGGGGATATGTTGGTTATGTGGTGGGAGTGGTGGTTTGGTTCTTGGGGACTTTGGGGTTGGCTCTGCTGCCAAAGCAAAGAGCGGCGAAGGTGTGGGGAGTTCCAGTGGTGCCATGGTTGCCCGCTCTGTCAATAGGGATGAATGTGTTTCTGATTGGGTCTTTAGGGTATGTGGCGTTCCTAAGGTTCTTCATCTGCAGCGGCGTGATGGTGTTGTACTACTTGTTTGTTGGTGTTCATGCGACTCATGATATGGCTAATCAGAAACTAGGGGAAACGAATGTTGCTTTGGGTTGATCCAAATTGGATCAGATGCTTCTGAAAGCTAGTTTTCATTCTGCGAATATGAAAGTGTGGATATTTTAGAACATATAGGTTCAATTAGATATGTAAGAATGTAGAGGGGTCTGTTTTGTTGTTGCATTGTTTATATCTTAAGATATGTTCGATTCCTGATTGAAGATGATGAATTATAGCACTTCCGTGGATTATTCATATTATTCCTGTAGTTATTTTTCTTAGTGATTAGTATCTCATATAAGTCCGATCCCCGGAACTCCGATAGCCGACAGACTGAAGCGGAAGAGAGAGGCTGAGGAGATGGGCGATGCCATGAAGGCAGTGGAGGAGACTATGCTTTCCAAGCGGGATACGGATATTCATATTCTGGGTGTGCTTGATGAGCTGAAGACGGCGAGATTGAGACACACGGCGGCTCGGCCGCTGATAAGGTAATGGTTCTCTGAACTCAAATGCTGCTCTCTGTAATGGCTGTTGAATTGTGAGGGGTTTTGTATTGAGCAACTATGAACCGCCATGTTCAAGTGTGACTCTTTTTGGAAATGGGTTGTTTAGGATTAGCAAAGATGCTCGATTCAGGTTGGGGGAAGTCTGTACTTTACACGGATTATAAGAATGGCGGCAGACTTCAATCCCTCTGTGAAAATTAAATGATAGCGACGATGGAAGTGAATGATCAATGCATCCAATTCAGATTAAAAGGACTAATGGATCAACTCAAAAGGATGAAAAATGAACTTCAGAAGAAAAGCTACGAGTTTAGAAGATAATAAGCGACAAAGTAAAAGCAAAGGAGACTTGATTGTCTAATGCATAGTTCATTCATGCTTCTTCCTTTTCTTCAAGCTAGCATCTCATTGTACGGGAACTGGAATCACACGTAGAGCATATTTTCTTCCAACAGACGCGCCAAAACACTCTGTCATGTCGAGGCTCTCCGGTTTCAAATCGCCCGGGAGTTCCCAACGAAAATGATAGAGCAAATTTGCCAGAGTAAGCTTAACAACTTCCATTCCGAAATCGTATCCGGGACACATCCTTCTCCCTGCACCAAATGGGATGAAGTGAAAATCGTTCCCCTTGTAGTCAGTCGAGCTCCCGATGAACCTTTCAGGGTAAAATTCCTCTGCTTTATCCCAATAACGAGGATCCCGACCGATGGCCCAAGCATTCACGAACAGTTTGGTTTTTGCGGGAATCTCGTACCCACAAAGTTCCATCTTCTCGTCGTTCTCTCTGGGAAGAAGCAGAGGACCCGGAGGATGCAGTCTCAAAGTCTCCTTGATAACGCAATCCAAATACTTCAACTGATGCAGACTTGCTTCCTCGACGTTTCCTTTCTCACCGAACGCTTGTTTGACCTCATCTTGCACATTTTGCATCACTTTTGGGTGCTTAATCAATTCGGACATCGTCCATTCGACTATTTTGGACGATGTGTCATTGCCGCCGAGTAGCATTTCCTAATTGGCCACATTGAAGAGATAACAACAAAACAAGAATAGGTTAGTTAATTAATGACTGATGTGATGACTTTATATACGAGATTATATAGCTAGCTACCATGGTCAGTTGGTTACCAAAATGACTGCTTTGATGACTTTCATGGTCAAGGGGAATCTCAGCTGGCTGGGGTCAAAATTCAAGAGAACATCAATGAGGTAGTCTTTATGGTCGATTTGTCTCTGTGATTTCCTCTCATGGATAATGGCGTCCAGTATGGAATCTGCCTCTTGATGCATTTTTTCAAGTTTCCCTTTGAACCCAGTAAGAGCGGGAAGAAATGTAAGAGAAGGATATAAATCTGAGATTCTGAAACCCGCTACAACATCTGAAATAGTTTCAACGATGGTAAGCAACGCCTGGTTCAGGCCTCGAATGGTGCCGAAGGCTGCCCTGGCAGCCACGAAGCCCGTCATTTCCCCCACCATCCGACTCAGATCCACGCCCTCGTCACTATTATTATTATTATTATTTAGGAGATCTGCTGCAAGATTTATTTGTAAAACCATATCGAAGATTGTACAGAATAGGTTAGCAAAATAGTACGTTTAGTGATACAGTCATTAGCAAACCATTATCTTACTGCATGCCCTATAGAATCGAGATTCAAGGCCATAAATACTCTTCACCAAAATCCATTCATTTCTTCTTCTTCTTTTTTGTAGAAAAAATCTGTTTTTTTAAAGAAGGCGAGTATTTCTTTCATTAATATTGGCTAAGGCCAATTAAACCGACTACTTACACAAGTGGTGTAAAGCCAAATACAGCTACAGAAAAGGCTGTTAATCACACCGTCATATAAAAAACAAAAATAGGGAAGTGTTACTGAACAAAACTAGTTGTCTATTATTCACTTAAAACTAAAAGGGTAAGGTGTAATATGTTCATTGTTTTTGTCAAACACATTGCTCCATTATTTTTTTACATCAAATATTTCTTTCTAATTTGAAAAAATTAACAAACAAGCTTTTATGTTAAAATTTTCATAAAAAATCATTAACCACGGTTTGGCTGAAACAAATTAAAATATACCCTAATAATTTTACTTTAGTAGTTTTTTTGTTGTTTCTTTTGTATAGCTCAATACCTTCAATAATTTACCGTAGTTAGGACGTCTCAACCATGGTTTGACCATGGTTAGCAATTTTTGAATGAAAATTACAACAAAAGGATATTTTTTAAAATATTTTCAAAGTAAAAAAAAATATTGTTATACAAAAATAAAAAAATACATATTTAATAAAAAAATACATAATAAAAAAATAAAAAAGCACATTACACCTTAAACCCAACTTAAAAAAAAATTCAAACCCACAAATTACTTCAAAACTTAGAAAGCAATCTCTTGGAAAAAAACGCAATAAACAAAGCCTAATTAATTAATCTCACCGTATTTACTCCGACCCCCTAGCTCCACCGCAGCTTCCCGGAGGCGCACCACAAGTTTGGCGACCTCCTCCTCCCTTATCCAGCGAAACGACTGGACCCGCTTGGCGCTGAGAAGCTCGACGGTGCAGATCTTGCGGAGCTGGCGCCAGTGCTCGCCGTAGGGAGCGAAGGCGATGTCGTTGTAGCCGCCGCCGTAGAGGATGTAAGGCGCGAAGATGGCAGGCCTGGAGGCGAACGCCAGATCGTGGGTCTTCATCACCTGTCTCGCGGCCTCGGGCGTCGAAACGACGACGTGTGGGAGCTCTCCCAGCTGGAGGCTCATGACGTCAGCGGCACCGTACTGCCGCGCCAGCTCGCTGAGGCGGCGGTGGGGTTGGGAGTAGCCGCCGTTCATGGCCAGCTGGTGGAGGTTTCCTATGACGGGGAGCTTCCATGGCCCTGGCAGAGGAACGGTGGTCGGACGTTTCTTGGAATTACGGACGATAACGATGGTGATTAGGAAGGCGGTGAATATTGTTGCGGTGAAGGTGAGGAGGCCGATAGAAGGGTCGTTGAAGAAGATGGAGTTGATGGTGGCTGCCATTTTCGTTGGGAAAGGTCGAGATTTTTTCCGATGAGTTATTACTTATGCTCCGACTATTGGGAGCGGAAAATAAAATACCGTTCATAATTTTAGTAACCTTTCACTTACTATTGATGCATGGAATGCATCCAATTTTTGTTTTTTTTTCAAATGAATTTGATAGGCTATTTTTTATATTTAAACTTTTGGACTTGGCTACAGTGACATGTATGTCATGCACGTTTTGGTCGACCTCATATAGGATTAGGTCGACCTAATCTGTTGTTTCAGTGTAAAAATAGTTTCATGGTGCCTACTTTGGAGATTCATATCTTGCAATTGGCTAGATGGAAATTGGAGATCAATGGCTTGTTTTGAAACCGAAGTGTCCCTCTACACATTAAAGTACTTGGGAGCTCAATAAGAAGTCCAGAACACCATTTATGAACCTGATCAAAAGGCTATGCCAAAACTTGGAAACTGCCTGAAAATGGCCAAGTCCGGGAACGTGTTTGTGAAGCCTACTTTCGAACTCAATTATAGAAGCATGGATGCGAATCGAGTCCAGGGGCCTCTGCCACGTTAAATTAGGTATGTTTTTATACAAAGTCAAGACATTGGATGAAATATTGGATATCTGTAAGGCTTCAAACAAAAGGGTCGAAGTTGCTACGAAAGATGTTTTTCTGGTAGACTTTGAGCACAAGCAAGCTGCCAGAAAAACAGCCTTCGTAGCAATTTTGACCCTTTTGTTTGAAGCCTTACAGATATCCAATATTTGATCCAATTACTTGAATTTGTATAAAAACATACCTAATTTAACGTGGTAGAGGCCCCTGGACTCGACTCGCATCCATGCTTCTCGAATTGAGCTCCAAAGTAGGCTTCACAAACAGGTTCCCAAAATTAGCCATTTTCAGCCAGTTTTCCAGTTTTGGCATAGCCTTTTGATCAATTTCAAAAATGGTCTTCTGGACTTCCTATCGAGCTCCCAAGCACTTCAATGTGTAGAGGTACACTCCAGCTTCAAAACAAGCCATTAATCTTCAATTTCCATCGAGTCAATTGTAATATATGAATCTCCAAAGTAGGCACCATGAAACTGTTTTTACACTGAAACAACAGATTAGGTCGACCTAATCCTAAATGAGTTCGACATAATCCTACATGAATTGGGCCGAGAGTGAAATAAATGTGCTCATTTGATGGCTCATGCCTAGTGTAGATGGGAGGTAGAGAGTTTGTGGGTGGATAGACCCCTAATATTTATTGTATCTTTTCTAGAAGATGATGGTTCTACTTCTATTATCTAAATGAAATTAAAACAGAGTTATTATTCGGAGAGAATATAGTTATGTCCACTTTGATATATTATAAAATAAAAAAATTGAGATATTTATTATGGGTTCATATCCTGTGATTATGCTTGATAGTACATAAGATTATACCACGTGGTATAATCTTATCTACCATCAAATAGTACCATATAGTATGGAAATTAATAAAAGTCTCACTTTATTTTTTAAAATAAATTAAAATAGATATTATTTTGAATAGCACAATAAGTCTGTTTTTTTCATACAAACTTATTTTCATTTGGACTTAACACAAATGAGATATAGCCGTTACAATTTAAATAAAAAAGTTAAAAATCTTCTATAAGTAGTAAGTACAGTTTATGTAATTCTACCAAACAAAATAAACAGGTTATGCAATGGTATGTAGGGATGGCCATGGGTCGGGTTGGGTCAGGTTTTGCCAAACCTAAACCCATGAGTTTATCCGTGAAAAAAACCCGGGGTAAAACCCACTGGATTTGGAAAACTCAAACTCAACCCAACCCGTTGGGTTTCCGCGGGTTCATGGGTACCCATGGGTTTGTCGTAAAAAATTTACAATAACAAGTTTTTATCAATATAAAAGTCAAAAATCAATATCTCAATACAAATAATCCATATATAAAACACCATTCTAGAAAATTCAAGCAAATCACAAATTAACTATACAAATTGTTCAACACCAATCTAGAAAACTAGAGAAAATTGAAGCAAATAAAAAATTATACATAAACAACATGATTAATTGAAAGTTTCTTCCTCATCAATTAAGCTCCTTCACTCTACACTCAATATCAACTTCATTCTACACAATTAGAAAGAAAAAATTAGATATGTCTCCACAAACATAAAGAAGATTAATTGCTTATAATATTTAATATACCAGGAAAATTGATTATATGCGTGTGGGCGGGTACCCATGGGTCGGGTACACCCAAATCCAACCCAACCCGATGAATAGTGAACGGGTTTAAACCCAAACCCGGCCCGAAACCCGTCAACATGGGTTTTACCCGCGTTGACAGGGTTGGATCGGGTAGGTACCCGTGGGTCCGGGTTTTGTTGTCATCCCTAATGGTATGCAGTAGGGTTGGGCATGCCAGCGGATTACTTGCGGGTTTGGGTCGACCCACCCTCATTGATCTGAATTTCGTTATGTGGGTGGGTCTGTGAGTGGGTGACCGGTTGCGATGGGAGCCATCTGCCGGGTGGCGCAGGTGGATTGTGGGCAGGTGCACGGGTGATCCGCTCAACCCAACCGCAACAAGAACAAAGTCGTTAGCTCTGGAGAGAGGAGAGTGGAGACGTTAGACAGAAACTAGGTTGTTCCTAGAGATTGAACTTTAAAGTCAACCTTCCAAATAGCGATCCCTTTATTTTTTCATTTGATTCTTGTGCCTAGGTCACCTCTCTTTCCTCCGATAAATTATTTTCATTAGTTCGTTGCACTTGATAATCATCTCCATCAGTAGAAAACTCCTCCATAATATATTTTTTCTCTAATTTGACATTTCCCCCTGTTCCATCTTCTTGTTTCCGTCCGATAACTAACTCCACCAATTATCATGTCAAGTTTACTCCTTTATATTTTCAATCCGTTTAAGCAGGTGAGTGTGTTTTATAGTCAATAGAGGTGTGCAACGGTTCGGTTCGATCCGGACCGGACCAAACTCATGAGAACCGAGGTCCATTAGTGAAAGACATGTTAGGACCAAGGACCGGACCATTCTTGCATTTGGTCCGGTTCGGTCCGGTCCAAATATGAGCTCGGTCCACCATTTTTTCAGTAATTATAAAATTCATGAGGACCAAGGACCGGACCGCATTTTACTCGGTCTGGTCCGGTCTTAACAACGGTTTGGTCCGGTGTGGTCCGGTACGGACCGGACCATTGCACACCCCTAATAGTCAACACCCACCCCAACTATGCAGCGTATATATGGGTGGGCGTTCGGTCGGTTTGGTGGTATATCCTGATTTACCGAACCATAGCATCCCTCAACCGAATTCGAACCGAGCTATAATTTGGTTTTATATTACAAACCGAAAATGTATGCACTGCCCATTTTTGTGCTTTTGTTTTGTCTTCTGGTGGCAGGCTCGCAGAACGGCAGAAGAGTCAGTGGCGGCTGGGGAGACTCGGCGACGACAGGTGCCTGCCTGGGTGGGAGGGACTGTGCGAGGCGGCGATCTGGTCGTCGACGAGGTCGGGGTCGGGACGGGGAGACACCGAAAACGACACAGCCTCGCAGCCGCAGGTCGTGGCCGTCGGTGTTGGGCTCCGGCTGTCGGGCAGACGACAGAGGAGTGGAGGTCGGAGGAAGAGGAGTAATCGTCGGCTCGCCGCCTTCTTCCATTCCTTCCCAGCTTCCCTAGTTCCCTTTACCTTTGCGTCGCGATTCGGAAATCGTCTTTCTCTAGGGTTAGCTAGGTAGGCGATTTGGATGTAGGACGAAGAGGTAGAGGGCCTGAGGCCTGAGCAGTGAGCAGCAGCCAGCAAGCTGTGCGGGCTGAAAAAGAGGCCCAATCCAATTTGTGGGGCGGAGTGGGCTGGAAAATAAGGTTGGGCTGAGGCCCGCGAGGCTGGCATTGGGTTGGGTTGGGCAGTTCAGTATTTCGGAATTCGGTCGGTAGGTTTGATATTTCAGTTCAGTTCAAACGCGTCTGGTTCCCGAAATTCATCATATCCATTTCCAAATTTCGAACCGACTTGTGTATATTTCGGTTTCAGTCGGTTTTGTTCGGTTCGGTAAAACCGAACCTAATCCCCACCCTAAGCGTATACGCTATTTAGGGAATGCATTTGCCAACTAAAATCCAAAAACCCATTTGCACGTATATTAGATAAAGCTACAGATAATTGTAAAGAAATAAAAAGAAGAACAAAGAAGAAGATAACGCTACAGACAATGAGATTGGAATATAATGGCCCATTCCTTTGATTGAAGACCTCTCAGCTTGCTATTATCGATCGATGTGGTGTTTCATTTTTTTGTGGGGGGTGGGGGATGATTTTGCAATTTCATTCCATCACATCAACTTTAGGCTTATTTTTTGTTTATGTATTTCATTTGTGTCATTTTTAGTATTAAATGGCTCTATTTACAGCAACTATCAAGATGATTATAGCTCCAGCAAAAATCTTCAATAATTTATTATTTTAATACTTAAATAATTATTTTTTTCTCTATTACTATGCAATCATAATCTTGCCCTTTTTCATAAATTGTAAATTTTATCTTTTTGTCTTTGATAAACCTAGTTAATTTTTATTATTCAATTATTCTTCAATAATATTTTCTAATAATTTTTCATTAAAGTTTTTCTTACTGTTTTTGTTACTAATGGTTAACCATTAATTACTGAGGTTAATTTACTGTAACCACAAAAATCACGATTCGCTGTCAAATGTTTTTAAAACATTTTAGTAGATAATTGTTAATATTAATAGATCATATTATCAAATTTTAGTGACTTGTCTAAATTTTAGTATTTAGCACTTTTTTCGGTGAAATAGTAGTTAGCACTTTAGTAAGTCGTTTGTTATTTTGTTGAAATAATTGGTATTGTAGATTTATACTTTCTATTTTATGTTGAATTATTGACATCTAGCTGCATGAATAATGATGATGATAAATGGTTGCTAATGTTGCATTTTCTCTTAATAGTTTTTGTCTTTTCTTCTATTTTGGTCGTGATTTTCTCTATGGATTTTATTTTAACTATTTTATTTAGTATTTTCATATTCGTTGCCCTATTTTCTTCTTTTGTCGCTCTTTTATTTGATATATATTTCCTTCACAAGTGACAAATAGTTCTTATATTTTAAGCGATTGTATCTCTCCAATTTTCTTTTCATTTCTTTTGTCGATTTGTTTTTTACGACAATTATTCGATGATAAAGATGGAAGGTGTAGGGAATGATTGTCCAACTAAATTAGCTCGTCACCCATTTGCAATTGCCATGCGCCATTTGTACGTATAAGGCTGCAGAAGAATGCAAATAAGGAAAATTCTTAATTGGACGCAAAAGTTCTAACCAGCCACGTATCAGTTTTCTATTGGAGCTAAGAATTTTCCTGCGGATAATGAGATTGGGGAATATTGTGGCGGAATGGCCCATTGCATTGATTGAAGACCTCTCAGCTTGCCATAATTGACCAATTATTTTATCGACCAATTTGGAGCCGTTAACATTTGCAAATATATATATATATATATATTTGTAAAGGAAGATAAGATAAAATTATCATTCAAAAATATAAAGCAGTACTATATATAGCTCGTAGCGAAATAATATGTTATGTTAATTGTAAAATGATTTTATATTTTTCTTGTGGTTGGCTTTAGATTGAAAATTAGATAATGAAATATATTAAATTTCAAGACAAATTTATAATATTATACAAGTGTCTCAATTACGAATGACTCGTCTAAAATTTTTAAGCAAATCATTTACTTACAAAATTCTACATTGTCAAATATCTACATTCATACAAATGATTCGTTTTGGAAATACCCAAGCAAATAAAGCCTACAGACTGCATGCACAATTTTTGGCCATATTTTTGTGTAAAATGCAAATTAATTACCATTCGATACATATAATTGGCGTGCTTAAGCAAAGGCTGATAGAGTGAGATCCTCTAAGCTAGCACGCACCTGATCTATTTCGTGGGAAGTAGGTGTGCAATCAAGAAATAGAATAGAATATAATTATTGGTTAACCACTAACTACTGCTATATTATGGAGTGCCGACGCAGACAGGACAAGAGTTGGTATGCAGGTTTTTTTTTTTTTTGAACAGATTTGGTATGCGGGCTGCTGGTATTACTTAATGGAGTAGTTGAGGGAAGACTAATTATGTTTTGATTTAAGATAAAAATTGGTAAATCTTAATATAATTATCATTGTTGTAAGAATCAAATCAAATGATTGGGCCAATAAAATCGTCAAACCAATTAAAATAGCAGTGCGGTTCATTTATTTGAACGGCCAGTTATGAATTCGAACTATTGTTTTTAACAGTTGTACATGAAACTAGATGAAGGATTTCGATTTGATAGGTTCAACTTGCTACCACCTAGCTAGCTGTCAAGAACTAGTTGATCCCAATAACTCGAGTTGTTGGGAGAAGGTTCTGCACAGGCACCATACCATGTGCTTGAAAGACAACGGTTAATATTGGGGGTCGTGGAGATTCGAACACATGACCTTTTGGTTCGAGGCTCTGATACCATGTCAAGAACCAGTTGATCCCAATAACTCGAGTTGTTGGGAGAAGGTTCTGCTGAATCTTATACCACATTCTAACACTAGCTAGGTATGGAAAGCCTATCTATCTATATATATATATAGATGCACACGGTACAGTGGTACACTTAGCTTGCTATAACTAAATTCCCAGATCCAAAGTAAGTTTCTTTATATATACTTGTGATTCATATATAATTTGATAGAGCTCGGCCGCTTCCTATGGCCGCCGCCGGCACAGCAGCGACGACGTCAAGCGCACCCAAACGCCGAACGGCTGAGTTTCACGAGAGCGTTTGGGGGGACTTCTTCATTATTCACGTCCCCCAAACTGATGAGGTATATATATTAATATAATTATGACTGTTGTGGATTATACAATACAGGAAGTTGTGTTGTTTAGAAGGTTTTGTTTCGACCAAATATGGGATATATTCACCCGATTCAAAAGGATAAATTTGTCAAACTTACATGGAGAAAGAAATTCGAATTCGTGAGTGAGATCTATGTACTTGACGTTTACACTATGTTTCCGAAGGAAGGGAGAAAAGGGAGGGGAGGTGAAAGAAAATTAGGAGGGGAGGGGAGATTTGGAAGTGAAGGGAATTGGGAGGAAAATGTTGTTTTATGGAGGAAAGTGGGAAGGAAAGTGTGCATTGAGAAGTGTAAGGAATATTTTATTTTATTGATTATGTAATAGTAAAATAAAGTAGATGATTTGATTTTTTTTTGTGAATTTATTGCCAACTTATTTAATTAATTACATAAAAGGGTATTAAACCGCCATAAATTAGATGCAGATGATAGGACACAGGTAATGGGAGACTTTCTCTCCCTTTTCTCTCCGAAACCGAGGGTAGGGTTGCACAGTAATTTTTCTTTTCACTCTTCCCCTCCTAACAGTTTTCCTTCCTTCCCAAACAGAGGAAAGTTTATTGGTTCCCTCATTTTCTAGCCTAACTTTCCCTTTCCTCCCTTTCCTCTCCTTCTAGAACAGAGTGTTAGTTTACATGCATTTGGGAAATAACTCATCTCAAATTTATGGGACAAAAACAAGGATTTTAAGTTTTGGTGAATGTATGCTCAAATAAGGATTTAATAAAATGAATAAGATCTATTACGTAAGTTTAAAAACGAGATTTCTATGTCTTGTGAACAAGAAAGATAAGGGATAATGACCTGATTATTCCTATTTGGTTTGTTTTGAAATGGATAATACTTGACTTTTAACTGGGTGAGATTGGGTAATGGGTACTATCGTCAACTTGATATATCCTAACTGTCTCATTCTTTATTCGTTTTTTATATTATATTTATTTTTTCTTAAATTCATTGAGATTTGATATTTATTATACTATATTATAGTTGCGATAAAATTTCAAATAGTTGAGAACCTCAATTTTCGAATAATTTATATTGACATGGTTTGTTTATCAAATTTTTAAAATAAAAAGATAAACATTTTGCGTGTTTTTCCTTCAAAATACATACACATATGCGTCGACCTACCCCAACCTGTATGCCAAAACAAAATGCTCTATATAAACTCGACCTGTCCGGGACAAATATAGATATCGAAATAGTGCGACGTGTACATTCCCATTCCCAAGAAAGACGAAATCCTGATAACATACATGGTTGTTCTCGGTTACGGGGTCCACCATATATTAAGGGGTCGTTTGGAGAACAAGATTTGGATCGTGGATTTATTGAATCTATAGATTTAGCAAAATGTTATGTTTTTTTGCTACTTTTTGCATGGTGGATTGTAACTTCAGAGATTGTAAATCTATAAAATCTAGAGATATCAAATCTCTCATAATTAGAGAGATTCTACATCTTGATTTTGGAGATTTTCTCTCTCCTATTATATCTCTTGTTTTTTTTCATTTATCCCACTAAATACCCTTACCAATAAATTCTCAATATTTTTCGAGCCAATCTAATTATTTTGGTGAAGGATAAACATGTTATGTGATAAAAAAAGTAGAATTTCTTTTTTCATTGGATGTTAACAATCATAGTTACCAAACAATGAACATTTTCAAATCTTTTTTCAACAATCAAGAGAGTTAAAATCTTTGGATTGTCTAGAATCTAGAGATTTAGACTCCAATTCTCCAAACGAGCCCTAAAATGTGTTTGTTTCAATTGTGCATATATTTATGTTTCGGGATATAACATGTTTTGTTGTGGTATTATATATTTTCCCATCACAAGTTTGTTACCATATTTTATGTTAAAATTGTTTCTCTACTATAATACAACCTCAAATACACCCCATTAAAATCTCTCATCCAAAAATTGTTAAATTTGGTCAAAACATTATCCGGTCGATCAGAAAATACTATACTACCCCTAATTATCTATTCTGGCACATGTATATGCTTTGGCAAGGTGGTAAATAGCTGGAATGAACAAATTGAAGTATTGAAGTCCAATATAGCGGGTATGTTATCATCTCCGACTGACAACCAAACACTGAATCTCATTGATCTGATTGAGCGACTCGGCGTTGACTATCATTTTGAGGACGAAATCGAACGAATTCTCCGACAAGAGTATGTGAAAATTACCAGCGACGGTGACAATTACAATGATGATGACTTCTATACCGTTGCACTCCGTTTCAGACTGTTAAGGCAACATGGATGTAACGTCTCAAGTGGTACGAGTAATACATATCTCTCCTCGTCCTATGCGTTAATTAATTATCATCATATATATATGATTATGATCATCAATTGATGATTAATTTTACTGTGTTTGTATATTGGGTACCCTCTCTCTAATAGATATATTCAAGAGATTCAAGACTAGTGATCATGAAAGAGATGAGTTCAAGCAAGAAATGATCAGCGATGTCGAAGGCATGCTAAGCTTGTACGAGGCCGCATATCTCCGGACGCATGGGGAGAGTATATTAGATGAAGCCATCGCCTTCACAAAACCACACCTAACTGCTGCCGCCGGCGCCGAGGATCTCAAACTGGCGGACTCGACTCTCGCCGAGCGGATCGCACATGCTCTGAAATGGCCACACCGCAAAGGCATGAAGAGGGTGGAGCATCACTTCTTCATATCCATCTATGAACAAACGCAAGGGCACGATGAAGCACTCCTCAAGCTGGCCAAGCTGAGTTTCAATGTGGTGCAACACTTGTACCAAAAGGAGCTCAGAGTTCTCACCAAGTGGTGGATCGAGCTGGATCTGCCAAAAAGGACTTCGTATGCGCGGGACAAATTGGTGGAGGTTTACTTCTGGGCGATGGGATGCTTGTGGAAGCCCAAATATTCTCTGGCCCGATACTGTTTCACGAGGGTTACCACAGTCGGGTCGGTTTATGATGACACATACGATGCATACGGTACCATTGAAGAACTTGAGAAGTTCACGGCCGCCATCCACAGGTAATATATATATATATATATATGCTAATTAAGTTCGATCGATGCATATATGCAGTCCAACATGCTCAGTGACAGTGAATAACATTAATTAATTAATACTCGATTGAAATGACTGTAGGTGGGACACTAGCATGCAAGACGTAGAACCGAAAATGAAAATCATTTTCGAAGCGATCACTGATTCGTACGATACCATTCACGAAATGGCAAAGGAGGAATTCGGAAGATCGTATTGTTGGGACTACGGAAAGCCGGCGGTACGTACTGTAGTAATATACCTTGCTACAGCCATAACCAGCGCTAGCTGTTAGTAACTTTGATCTCTACCGATGATTCATTTTTTGCATGCATATGTATATATATATGCAGCTAAAGAATGCTGTAAGATTATACCTGGAAGAAGCGCGATGGCTGGACAAAAATTATGTCCCGACCTTAGAGGAATACAGGCGTGTTTCTTCGCTGAGCACTCTCTACCAATGGGTAGCATTTGCGGCATTCTGCGGGATGGGCGAATCGGCTTCCCAGGAAGTCTTCGATTGGCTATTCACAGAACCTAAATTGTTAGTAGCTTCCTCTGAACATTGCCGTCTAATGGATGACGTTGTAAGCCACGAGGTAATTATAGAATTGAAATCTTAGACCTATTTCCAATAACTCGATCTTTTTGAATGCATTGATCATTATTCTCAATGATGTTGTTTTTGTGTATGTATGTATATGCAGTTTGAGCAGGATAGAGGTCATTCTCCATCGTCTGTTGAGTGCTATATGAAGCAATATGGTGTGTCGAGAAAGGAGGCAATCGATGCCCTAACTGACTTGGTGGAGGAGAACTGGAAGATAATAAATGGAGAGTTGTTGAATCCGCCCGCTCATGTATCGAAAGAAATTCTTTTGATATTTCTTGGTTTTGCTCAGATTATGGAGGCGCTCTACGCAGATGGCGATGGCTACACCAATTCAGAGACCACCACCAAGGACATGCTTACTGCTCTGCTCGTCACTCCATTTCATGTTTGATCCATCATCTTAATTGGCATTTCCAGATTCGAGTTTGGTTGGCTCTTGGCTCATTTAATAATCACTAGTGTTTTCATTACATGCAATGGTTGGTTTGTTTGTTAGTAATTTCGAAATCTCTGAACCTCTGGATGGGGATAGTGATATATATTCCATCCGTCAGAAAGAGTTACTTGTTGTGTATGGGTTTGATTTAATGTGCAATCTATGTTCTTACATAAATTGTTTATTGTGTATTTTTTAAGTGTCGAACATATACCTAATTGTACTTTTTAGTTATTTCTTATGTATCAAATAAATATATTACGTGAATCTTCCATAATATAAATTCAAACGAATTTTTATTATTATTAACAAAACAGTTAATCATCTTATCCTATACATTACACAATAGTTCTGTAAGGTTGGTGATTTTTTTCCATAACTTATTGGTTAATTTATTGTTAACTAATAACTACAATATCCACCACCTCATCAATTTGCATTATGCAAAGGTTCCATTACATCAAAATACATCCAATAGTTCAGGAGTGGATCCGGCTCTTCTGTGAAATGGAAACCAAGCGACAGCCGATGTCCCACTGAGGCAAGATAATCTGCTACGTAGTTCGCTTCACGAAAGACATGTACTAGTCGAACTTGCCACTCCCTATCCAGAAGCCGACGAGCTGATTGCACCGCCAGGAAGTGGGGATGCCTTTCTTCCGCCCCTTCGATCAACGGGATAGCAGTTTGTGAGTCAGTTTGGATCACCACACGCCGGAAGCCCTCGTACATATTGCGTAACCTATTGTAATAATTAAGAAATTATGTAAACCTCACAAAAATAATTAACAAAATTATTAATTTCAATTAAATTACTAATTTCAATTAAATTATTAAATGAGTGAATAAAATGTAATATAATTCATTTCTCCCCGCCAAAGGCGAGAAAAAAAAATCTCTTTAATATAATTCAGGCTAGGTGCTCTGCTCAGTGTGCTGACACCACCGAAGCTAGTCATGAAACAGCAGCAGCCGCCCGCCCACTGCGCCTATTTATTTAATTAATAACATTATGGGAAAAATAGATGGGATCTGATTCCTGCCTAAAAAAGACCAGAATCCACCCGGCCGACAATTTGTGTCATAAGATGATGATGAAATTATAATATAAACAAACATTCCCCAATATTCAATCCCGATTGAGTAAAGGGAGACGATGATAAGCACTGCAAGCCAGCCAACATTCTTTTGTCCCCACCATTTTATTTGATCTGCTGCATATATGCATGTGATGCTAGTCTAATTACATGATCGATCCCCACTTAAACAATATGATAAATCGACTCAGAACGTGCTCGGCCTTGTGCTTAATTATGAGAATTCAATTAATTAAGCACAGGAGGCTAGCAAACACTGACTGCGACCAATTAGAGTGGGTTAGTTGGCTGATTGACTCAATTCGTTTGTCCACTTCCACTATTGGAACTTATTCAAAGTTTTTTATTAACAAAAAAATAATCATATTGATTAATAGATAAATCATAATTTACACTCTAGAACCAACTCATACAAGAGAGCCTCCTTTATCCTTTAAAATCAGCTCTCCTAGTGAATGTGAGTCAACACATATCGCACCATCCCATATACAGATAACAGCGAACGAATCTCCCACCTCTAGATTTTTCTGTAAAGGAAACTGATTCCGGGCCAACCTATCTTCCGACAGGTACACCCATTCATGGAGTTGCTGAAGATATTGGCGCATTAAATGAGGAATTCAAAACTGTTTGCCCTCAAATACAATCCCGTATCTAGACTTTAAACTTATTCAAACCCTTTATTTATTGAGGAATATCATTCATATGCCACTTTCGTTGTTCCAATGACCATTTCCGGTGGCAATCAATTAACAGCGTGTTTGGATATAATTTTATTAGAAAATCAATATCATTTCTTGTGAGAATCTGAATTCAAGTGGAAATTCATTTTCAGAGTTTATGTTTGGAACAAATTCTAAAGTTTTAGAAATGATTTCCTGTTTTTATGTTTGGAGGTAGATGGAAATGATTTCTTACAAGTGTTTTTACAATAATACTCATATATTGGCCAAAATTCTTATCATTATTAAGGACTTTCTTGTAAAGATGTGCCAAAATTTGAGTGGGGTCCATTAATTTCATTTCTCCTTCCAATAATTATGATCACTTTTGGTGGGAATTATAATTTTCAGCCTTTTGCCTCTTGGAATTTCATTTCCTATTTATTTTTTTATTTTTTGGTAATGGTGTAGTTCATTAATTAAAAAAGAAATAAATCAGCAGAACAAGTACAGAGAAAGCCAAAAGCCAAAACTGTAGGCAAGAGGCTGCAAAAGTAAGAATTGCCACCATCAGAGCAATGACAAATAAACAGCAGCTACAAAGGAGAGGTTGAAAAGCAAATTCAGCAACTACCAATCATCTTCTTCTCTCAAATCCTATTTATTTTTTACTTCCAAACTTGGGAATTATAAAGAGTTTGAGAAATTGAATTCCAATTCCTAAAATTTTAACCTATTCAAACAGGTTGTAACTAGATCATCCTTCCTTTTTTTGGTAGTACTAACACATCCTTTTTGTTGAACAGAATGTTGAATGAAAAACAAGGTTGGTCATCAGTAGCCTGGAGGCTCTGGTGCCATGAAAAAACTCCAAATCTAGCCGCCATTGTAGCTAGGATTTAAGAGAAGAAGATGACCTGATATATGGGAATTGGTCGATAGATCTTTTCTATGTGGGATTTTCATATGTAAATATACCCTCTGCAATTTACCGAGTTACTGTACAAGAAATGGTAAAATAAACTAACAAATTAAATGACTAATCTCTACACGCCAAAGTGCCAAACAAAAGTAAAAACAAAAGATCATTTAATCTCAACGGATTCGACGTTGTGTTGCTACTGTGGAGTTCTACCACTTATAACGACCCATGCCACTGGGTGAATCGCATCTAGTGACCAGACCAAGCGAAAGGAAGTTCGGCTGATCATTTTATTCCATCTGCGGCATATATGGGTCAAACTAGTGTACATATGGCTATACTATATTCCAAGTATACTTGATTATATATTTCTATTTAGATTATGAATTAAATCGAGTTTTGTGTATAATATTATATTTTTACTTTTAATGGATAAACTCAGATCTCAATTCTCTAAACCCAAACCAAAACTCAATTTAAATAAAACAATAATTTATCGTTGAATGAAGCTCATCAAACTCCTTAAATATACTAGTCTCAACATATTATGTAGACAGCGATATATGTACATAAGATGTAGATCTGACCACATATATATAGATAAATAGACAGCTAAGAACTAGCCAGCAGTACATGATCCTCTCTTAAACAATATGATAATCAAAAATTAATTCTTAATTAATTAGTTTATTGAGGAATATCATTCACATCATATGCCACTTGCGATGTTACCAATGGCCATTTCCAGTGGCAATCAATTAACTTATCCCGTTGTATAGCTAGTATAGTGGATCGTTGGCAGAAAAGGAACCTCAAAATGTGAGTTGGTGGCTTGGTGCATGAATCATGATACAGCCCATTTACCTACCACAGCCAGTTCCGAAGAGACGCAAATTAAACTTTTTTTTATAGGTAATGATGCCTCATTAAATTAATTAAAATTCAAAGAGAAAGAAATACAAATACAAGAAAAGGAAACAGTGCAGCAAGAAGAAGAAGAAACATGACACTATGACAGTATTAGGGGTGGGTATACGGTCCGGTCCGATTAAATTGGCTCAAATTGATCCGGTCCAGTCCGGTCTTTTTGAAAATATAAGGACCAAATATTGGATTGGATACAGTCCAGTCTTGATCCGGTCCGGTCCCAATTCAGTCTTGATTTTACATTGAGATTGTGGGATTTGAGTGGCCTAAGGCCTTAAAGGGTGAGGAGTTGGTTAAGTTTTGTACTAAGTGCAAAGGTTTGTGACCGTTTATGCAAATTACCCTTAAGTTTTGGGTGTTGAGCTCTCTTATCCGGTCTTTATCCGATTTTTTACCTCAAATCTAAGCCCAAAGATTGGATTGGATTGTTTACTATCCGGTCCCGATCTGGTCTCGGTCCGGGTTATACGGTCCGGTTTCCGGTTTTTAATTCGGTCCCGGTCCAAATAGCCACCCCTAGACAGTATGCAGGCAGCAACCCCAAATATAAGACTAGTAGTGATACCACTGAACTAGGTGTTGTTACGTGGGATTTGGGTGATGTATTTGACACTCAAATACAAAGTATTAAGTATTTTATATAAAAATATTGTTTGTTGAGGCATACAAATTCGTGAGGCTCACGAATTTGGACATTTTTTTAGCCCCGAATTCATGGACCCTACGTATTTGCAAATACCACATTCATTCGATATTTAGTCATTGAAGGCAAGGAGTTGAGATCCATGGTACAAAAATCTTTATACTCGTGATCAAAATCAACTAAACAAACAATGTTATCTTTCAAATACCAAATTAAACAAATCCATCGTAAATCCAAAGGTTTTCAAAACTAAAAAACTTCATTTTCAAATCCAAAAAACGAGCCCTAAGTTATGGTTTACTATCATCATTGAGATAAACTTTTGGAAGAAATAATTATTGGTGTTTAATATTGGGGTCGGGCAAAGAAGATAATTACGGGAAATAAATAAAATATACCATGTTGTTGCCAAAAATTTAATGTTTTGAGAAATTATTTTTGCAAACTCAAGATAAGATCGGTAAATATTTCTTAATTAATGTGATTATCCTTATTCATAGAAAGAAAAAACAACCGATCGAATCAATGGCTAGTAGAGTAGTACGGTCAGACCAGTTACAGCAGAGCGGTTCGATCCATTTGTTTAATTAGGATAGTTGGATATAACTCGGATGATTTTTTCTATGGTTAGATATGAAAGTGGGTGATGAACCACCTCGATCTGCCACCTAGGTGTGTGCGGTCTATATATACACATAAACATAATATCTGCACATTATATGGTACACTTAATTAATTAGCTAGTTCCCAGATCCAAAGCTAAGCTTCATTAATCATTATACTGATTCAGTTTCAGACAGAGCTCGCTCCCTATGGCCGCCGGCGCAGCAGCAGCGACGTCAAGCGCACCGAAACGCCCAACAGCGGAGTTTCACGCCAGCGTTTGGGGGGACTTCTTCATTACTCACGCCCCCCAAACTCACCAGGTACCTATTTCTATCTAGCTCATTGGATATCTTCACCCAATCTAAAAGGGTGAATTTGCCAGAAAATATCAAAAGAATCAAATTCATTAGATCCATGTCGATTGACATAAATTTGGAATTCATTATCACATTTATGCGACCAAAAACATTTTTGTTACTATATATGTTTCATGTTAAAATTGTCCATCAGCTATATATAGTAAATTTTCAAATGCACTCCTTCATAAAAATCCCCTTAAATCTGATCAAAACATTGGGTGGCCGACCTGAAATTACTACACTACCCCTAATCATCTACGACGTCTGCTAACGTCTCTGCCTCTGGCACATGTATATGCATCGGCAAAGGTGGTAAATAGCTGGAATGAACAAATTGAAGTATTGAAGTCCAATATAGCGGGTATGTTATCATTTCCGACCGACAACCAAACACTGAATCTCATTGATCTGATTGAGAGACTCGGCGTTGACTATCATTTTGAGGACGAAATCGAACGAATTCTCGGACAAGAGTATGTGAAAATTACCAGCGGCGCTGAAAATTACAATGATGATGACCTCTACAATGTTGCCCTCCGTTTCAGATTGTTAAGGCAACATGGATGTAACGTCTCAAGTGGTACGAGTAATACATATCTCTCCTCGATAGTCGGCATTAACTATAACTGGCTCTTGCATGTGCGTTAATTATATATGATCGATCATCAATTGATGATTCAATTTTACTGTGTTTGCATGTTGGATACGGCCTCTCTCTAATAGATATATTCAAGAGATTCAAGACAAGTGATCATGAAGGAGGTCAGTTCAAGCAAGAAATCATCAGTGACGTCGAAGGCTTGCTAAGCTTGTACGAGGCTGCATATCTCCGGACACATGGGGAGAATATATTAGATGAAGCTATCGCCTTCACAAAACCACACCTAGCTGCTGCAGCCGGCGCCGAGGACCTCAAATCGGCGGACCCGACTCTCGCCGAGCGGGTCGCCCATGCTCTGAAATGGCCCCACCGCAAAGGCATGAAGAGGGTCGAGCATCACTTCTTCATATCCATCTATGAACAGACGCAAGGCCACGATGAAGGACTCCTCAAGCTAGCCAAGTTGACTTTCAATGTGGTTCAACACTTGTACCAAAAGGAGCTCAGAGTTCTCACCAAGTATGTCAGTCAATCTAGTTTAGCCAGTTAGGGTTAGGGATATTTGTCAAACAAATTAGTAATCTCATCCGCGACCAGTTAGTCTGATTGTTTGTGCACGTGATTAATGATCAGGTGGTGGCTCGAGGAGGATTTGCCAAACAGGATGTCTTATGGACGAGATAGATTGGTAGAGGTTTACTTCTGGGCAATGGGATGCTTGTGGAAGCCCAAGTATTCTCTGGCCAGATACTGTTTCATGAAGGTTACTACACTTGGATCGGTTTTGGATGACACATATGATGCATACGGTACCATCGAAGAACTTGAGCAGTTCACGGACGCCATCTACAGGTAATATGCTAAGATAATTGATGCAGTCCAATAAGCTCTATATAAATTAATATATGCATGCATGTAAAACCAATTTTAACATTACTCCTGTTGTTGATATGACTTGAATCGGACTATCAGCTGCTACGACTGGTAATCGGGGGTCTCACGGTATATGTTCTCAATGTTATTTGGGTTCGGGTTCTGGGCCTGGTCTGTAACCGTTTCCTTTGCCAGATTGGATTAGGTTTAGACCCACATGGAGAAGTACTATAAATACTTTTCATACTCCTCTGTAATCTGTAATCTCCTTGATATAGTGAAACTGGCTCTCTCTCGCCCGTGGACGTAGCTAACACACATCGTGTTAGTGAACCACGTAAATCGTGTGTCTGTGTTTTCGATTCTCGCTTTCGTATTCTTGCTTTGTCGATTCCGGCTATTTCCCGATCCGTAGCAGTGCGTTTATAACAACTCCATTGAAATGACTGTAGGTGGGATACTAGCATGCAAGACATAGAACCAAAAATGAAAATCCTTTTCGAGGCAACCGTTGATGCGTACAATGACATGCACGAAATGGCAACTGAGGAATTTGGAAGATCTTACTGTTGGGACTATGCAAAACAGGCGGTACGTACGTAATATATATGCATGTTTGCGTGTATTTCACTTTATATTCTCCTGATTCATTTTTTGCATGCATATATTTATGCAGCTAAAGAATTCAGTAAGAAATTATCTGGAAGAAGCTCGATGGCTGGCCAAAGATTATGTGCCGACCATAGAGGAATACAGGCGTGTTTCTGGGATGAGCACTCTCTATGAATGGTTAGCATTTGCGGCATTCTGTGGGATGGGCGAATCGACTTCCAAGGAAGTTTTTGATTGGTTATTCACAGAACCTAAATTGTTAGTAGCTTCCTCGGAACATTGCCGTCTAATGGATGACGTTGTAACCCACGAGGTAACACAATCCAAATCTTAAATCTCTTTGCCAATAACTCAAGCTTTTGAACGCATTGATCATTATTTTCAACGATAATTACGATCTAGTTGTTGTTGTCATACATGACCGTATATGCAGTTTGAGCGGAAGAGGGGTCATGCTCCATCGTCGGTGGAATGTTATATGAAGCAACATGGTGTGTCAAAAAAGGAGGCGATCAATGTAATAAATAACTTGGTGGAGGATGATTGGAAGATAATAAATGAAGAGTTGTTGAATCCACCTGCCCATGTACCGAAAGAAATTCTTTTGATATTTCTTGGTTTTGCTCAGGTTATGGAGGTGCTCTACGCAGATGGTGATGGCTACACTCGTTCTGAGACAACCACTAAGGACATGCTTACTGCTTTGCTCGTCACTCCATTTCAAGTTTAATGCATCGTCGTAATTGTCATTTCCAAATTCAAGTTTGGTTGGCTCTCTACTCATTTAATAATTACTAGATTCGTAAGAGTGTTTGCATTACATGCATGCAAGGATTGGATTGTTTGTTACTGATTTCGAACTCTGAATCTTTGGATGTGGATAGTGATCTATCTTTCATCGATCAAAAAGAGAAATGTGTCGTGTGTGGGTTTGATTTAACATGCAAATCTTGCATTATTTCGGTTTTTGGGTATTTTTTAAGTGTTCAACGTACTCTAATTGTACTTTTTCTAAGAGATAACAAGAGAGAAGTTAAAAAAAATCCAAGAGCAAGACACTAGTGAAAGAAACTTACAAAATTAAAGGAAACTAATAGTAACTAACTCTAAAAGGGACAATAACAAGGCTAATGCGCCACTCTATGGGCCACCCTGATGTGGTGCAACACTTGTACCAAAAGGAGCTCAGAGTTCTCTCCAAGTATGTCAATCGTCATCACTTAGACGTAACTAGTTTAGCCGGTTAGGGATATTTGTCAAACAAATTAGTAATCTTGGTGACCAATTAATTTGGTTGTGCACCTGATTAATCAGGTGGTGGCTCGAAGTGGATTTGCCAAACAACAAAATGTCTTATGGACAAGATAGATTGGTCGAGATTTACTTCTGAGCGATATGATGCTTGTGGAAGCCCAAATATTCTCTGGCCAGATACTGTTTCATGAAGTAGGACACTCTTGGATCAGTTTATGATGACACAAACGATGCATACGGTACCAATGAAGAATTTGAGCAATTCACGGACGCCATCTACGAGTAAAATATGCTAAGTTTGATGTTCCAAGTAAGTACTACCCCTGTTCTTTTTTTTTTTTTTTACAAAAGATATATATTAATCAAAAAGAGAAGGTAGTTACATCCTGGAATTCAGCCAGGCCTGAAAATAAAAAACACGACAAGTAGCCGGGTACAACGAAAGGACTTTCCTAGCACCAAATGGGCTACCCTATTACTACGCCGACCTACAAATCGAATACTCAAACCAGGATGGAGGACAAATAATTGAACCACCTCACTAAGAACAGCCCCCATCCTACTATCCTTTGTCTCCAGTCGCCGGATTTTATCAATAATCACCTTGGCATCCCCCTCAAAGCGAACCTCACTCACCCCTAATCTAGACACCACTTCAAAGCCTCACGAAGCGCCAAGACCTCAGCAACCACCGGATCATCAATAGCTGGGAAATGCACCCCTTCTGCCCTCAGGACCCCACCCTCTGAGCTTAGCACCATGCCTCCCACAGCATGCGAGCCCGTTCTCCTCGCCCCATCACACCTACAAACAAACCCAGATTCCACCCGAGGAACCGGAAGGCTCTGCAGGGCACCCACAACCAATCCAGGAGAAGGGTCACCAGGCAGACGCATCCATTCATCCACTTGCTGCTGAAACTGGCGTACCAGGGCTAAGAAGGCAAATTGTTTTCCCTAAAAAACAACCCAATTCCGGGACTTCCAAATCCGCCAGAGGACCACAATCACAGCCATGAAAAGAGAAGGTTGATGAATGAGGGCCAATAAATGCTTAAGAAAGAGGGGGAAAGTCTGCCGAGGAAGTCCCTCACCCAGAAACTCTAGCCCAGAATAATCCCACATAGCTCGAGCAACAGGGCAATAAAGGAACAAATGCTCCAAGGATTCCAGGTCATCCCAGCAAACCGGGCAGCGATGGAGAACCGGCACCTTCTTCTCAACAAGGGCCTCCATAGTAGGGAGGATGCGATTAAATATCTGCCAAGCAAAAATCTTCAGTTTAGGCGGAATATTCGCGTCCCACAAGTGAATCCAACTACTTTTATCCATCCAGCTAACCATCTCCCTCCACTGTCCCGATCGTTTCTCAAGAGTGACCTCAAGGTGATAGGCAGACTTGACAGTGAAGATCCCGTCCGTGGTGCCATGCCAAATCAGTTTATCCTCCACCTCCTGCACCGGAAGTGAGATAGCTCGAATAGCCTTGCAAGTAGCCGGGTCAAACCATTGGCGCAAGCTATTCACACACCACCCCCCTCCTTCCGGACACATTACCTCTGCAACACGCGAAACCCCATTCCACCCTCATGCTCTTGTTGAATACTTCATATTCCTTATGTGTGGTTGTTTATTTTACTGACTGTACTTGTACGTAAATTTTGAAACCAAGAGAAATTATAAGAAGGATTGAAGATGATGAGGAGGATGATTTAGAAATGTTTGGCTTACCTTCCAAGGTAAGATACTTGCATGTTTGCAATTTGTTAGCTTTTTGTGCTGTTTAGGTGTGTGCTTTGTTCTACTGCCTGTCTTGGTGATGTTCTAACTTGGGGTATCTTTTGGCCTATTTAATTCCAGAAGCGACTAGTTGATGTGGAAAATCCAGGCCAACCTACAGATGCACTGTTAAATGCCCGTGCAGCAGATAGCTGCAGTGGAAAAAGGTAAAATCGATATCCTTAGCTTCATGTTGATATGCATAATATTGAATGATAACTAATAGGTCGAACAATGATTTAATAGCTGCCTTGTCATTTCAATCTCCCTTCATGGCAATGACATATAGGTTGCTTGCTGATTTTTTCTATGCTTCTATCACTCATGATCTAAACTATCTTTTACTCTTTTTTTTTTTTAACCAAGATAAGCCCCCAGGGCATGATCGAACAACAAATAAATATAACCGACAAAATTAAAGAATGGTAGCCCGTATGCAACCGGACTCCCGATGAAAGAGCCTTTTATGCCACGAGGTGGGCAGCTCTGAGAAAGCTCTGAGGAGTAAAAGGACACGAAACCGACACAGGGGACGAGAAGAGAGAAAATACACTTCCCTTATAGTGAGAAGACTTCCATGATGCTTCATCACCAATGCCGGTTGAGAACCACAAGCAAATGAGATAGTTTCATAACCTGGGAGGTCAACGAAATCAGATGCATATCCTTGAGCATTCTTTGTGGCTCAATCAAATCGAACGATTACATCTTCGCTACGGAAGATTATTTCATTGAGCCAACGTCGGAATTTCAAATACACAACAAAAATATGTATAAAACCAACATAATTGAAACATATAAACGAGTTATCGTACTAACAAATGAGACCTCTAGCTATAAAGGTAAAATATGGTTTTTCTTTTACTTAAAAAAAACTATAAAGGTAAAACAATTAAAAAGATTATTACTACATAAAAACTATTAAAATTATAAATAATACAACAACAAGCCACAAACCAAAAAAATAAATAAAGCATGAAATGATAGGTAACACGAAAATCAAAAATAGAAAACCAACAACAATTAGTGGGAAAAAATAACAATTACTAACCATAAAGCTCAAATAATGATAACACAACCCACTCAAAAAGACTGTTGCTGTTACAAGAGGGAATGGACTTAAAAAACTATAATAAAAACAAAAGGAAATTAAAACGTAAAAGGAGATGAGAGAACACGAAAAGAAAAACACTAAAACAATAAAGAATAATCGAAATACTGAAATAAAAAAAGACAAAAAGGAAACACAAAATTTTATTAAAGAATAACCAGGGTCTCAAATAAAATTCTAAGAACCTAAAACCCAAATCAATACGGAAAATAGTTGTCGATGGCTACCAATTAAAAAGGAAAGAGCTTAAACAGCCTTATTAATTTCCTATTTGACTCAAAATTAATGGAGAATGATGAATTGACCAAGAATAAATTAACCTATAATTGAGACTAAACTAACGATAGTTGAGTATATAAAACCAAGGAAAAACTTAATGAGCCTCATAAATCACAATTTTGAATCAAAATTAAATTCGATAGAAGAGGGAGGGATTAACGCAAATCAACATTTAACATTCACTAAAATTACGGAAAACAATTAATGCGGGAATGAACACCACTGAACCACTGAATCGCTGACAACCAAGCTCGGAAGGAGTTTGAGTTACCGGATCGCCGGAGAGGAAGAATCTGTGGAAGATCCCCACATATTTCTGCCATGAACAGCGTTGAAGAGGAAACAAATTCCACCAAATTGCAACATAACAAAAGATGTTCTCAAGGGCTCCAAAAGGAAGCCTATAACGATGACCCGCATCGTGGGATCGAGAATAAATCTAAAAAACGGTGGAGAATTCGTCACAAAGAAACGGCAGCCAGTACCGGAATGAATCTAACTGAACTCACAAAGAAAGTTATGTAAAGAACAGGAGATCCATCTGTTTTAAGGGACTCACATTTGAGCGTTGTCGCACCAATCCGACCAGGATGTTAATTGATCTCTCAATGCAATTGAAGCAAACGAAAGACATGGTAAGGGGTTTCGATCAGAACGGATTTATCTTGACGGCGGCTTTGACAGCGTCGCCGACTTCACCACGATGAAGTCGTGACCGACGGGGTGGCTTCTCCCTTGCTCTGTCCTCGTACTACCCGCTATCAGGCCGCCTTTCCGCCGACGAACCCGATTCCGACGGCAATTCCTCTGTTTTCATCGACTGCAACAGCGCCGGAGCCGCGTAGGGAATTTCGCCTCTGTCTGAGCTGAGCAAGTTTGAGTATATTTGCCGCGATGTACACCAGCAAAGGCGCACTCACTGAACGGTGGTGAGTAATCGCCAGTTTCGCTGGCTAGCCAGAGAGAATGAGCATCGATCGGAGAGAACCTCCAAACCCAGGATGAAAGGATAGGCCCAGGGAGAGCGACCCAGAAAAAGCCTGGTCGACTTCTAGAGAGAATTTATCTTTTACTCTTTGACCGATGATGATTTGTTAACTTGACCTCAATGCCCTAATTTTCCTAAGCACTACTAAATATTGACATCGTTGCTGGTTTTGATTCGCAGATAACTCGAATGACTCAGGGACGAGGAGTGATGCTAATTAGCCGAGCAGCAAAGCTCCAATTAATGGTGAGAATATTGGTGAAGAAGAAGCCAGTGTTAGTGTTGTGGTATATGATCCATGATTGAACATCTCACAACAACTCGAGTTATTGGGATCAATTGATTCTTGACATGGTATCAGAGCCTTCTGTGATCGAGAGGTCTTGTGTTCGATTCTCGGTGACCCCCATTTGTTAAGCACATGGTATTCTTGTCTTCGGACATGTGCAAACTTCAAGCCACTCGTCTCTACTGGGAACAAGCATCTAGAAAAAAACTACAAAGTGTAAGCCAGTGGGTTGATTGTTTATTGTATCCCCCAGCCTCTACCAACAGGGAAGATAGATCTGCGCACCTGTGCGAACCCTTTGCTCGAACACAAATGCATACAATATTCTGGAAGTCTTCAATGTCTGTGGGTATTCTTAATTCTTTGAAATCTTGCTTCTGTGATTACTTTTGTAATGAAAAGATCTTCGCATATACTAAGCTAATGAAACCTTCTTAACATATTATTTCTGTAAAGGATTTGTCCACACCAATGCAAACGTACCAGTAGATGGTGTCTTGACACCTTCCACTTTAGGTTCCGATGCAACCATCACGGAGATCTATAACTTCATAGAACAGGTAATTCATTTCGAATGCTAGCTCTTCTTCAAAAATCACATATATATATATATATATATTGATGATGCTAAATATATATGTATAAAATGACTAGCTAGTTTTGGGTAATTCATGTATAGGATGTGGAAACTAGGGCTTGGTGGCTGAGCCTGTTCATTATTGATGAGAAACAAGCCATTGGATACTGGCCAGCTGAGATATTCAACGTCATGGGATATACCATCATTCATCAACTGTTCTTCTCCATCAACAAACATTACTTGCATGGCGAGCAGCCATTTAACAAATACAACCATTCTTCTTCTGCATTAACTTTCAAACATGCTACTCATCATTATATTACATAGAAATACGGGACTCACGTTTCACTTCCCTGTCTTCCTTTTCCACAGGTCACCAAACATCTTAATCCCTGAAGAACCCTTTCTCTGCTTCCCGCCACTTCCATATCCTTCATCCATACTATCATCACCAAATCCAGGGGATCCCACGTAGCCAGCACCATACCCGCCCAAGTGCTTCTCCATGGAAGCACACCTCTGAATCTGATCAGAAACAACAAACCCGCCGGCTAGCACTGCAGCAGCTGCATCGGCCGCTTTCCTCCACTGCTCCGTCTGAACTCTCATCCTCTTCATCTCACATTCCAACACTTGCTTCCCTTCCTTCACTGCCTCCAGCTGGCACGCCAACTCCGCGGCATTGCCTCTGCTCGCCTCCACCTCTTCCTCCACTCGACTCAACCTCGAACGCAACTCCTCTTCCTTGGCCTTGCCACATTCAATCCTAGAAGCCGCCTCATCAAGCTGCTTTCTCAGCTCCTGATTCGATTCCAATAGCTCCTTCTCTCTCTCCTCCAGCTTCGCTCTAAGCTCCTTCATCTCCTCTTCCTGCTTCTTCAGGGCAATGTCTTCTCCAGGGGAGGTAGGATGATTTGGTGTGTCGCCCTTAATAATTTCCACCGCAGGAACTTCAAACACGTCGATTTCCTCTGCCAGCGGCGGAATTGCTCCTTCTTCTCCTCCTCCTGCTACCTCCTCTGGTTGTGGATTGGGCCGGGTTGATTTCTTACTGGACTTGTTCTCGAGCTCCTTCTGCGCTTCATTCTTGGCGGCCTCTGCGGTGGCCAGTTGCTGTTTCAGACCCTTGAGCTCTTGCTGAGCTTGTCCCAGTTGTGACTCGAGATCGGCGATTCGTGTGCCGAGCTTCCTCTGCTGCAATGGTGGCCCGCCACGGTGGTCGGAGACCTTCGGGCTTCGGTCGGTGGTGGCGCCCCCAGAGTCGGAGGTGGCTGATGTTCTTAATGGGTGCGGGCCTCGTGACGATTGCCTCTGAGGCATTTCTGAAGACCCCCTACTATTGACACAAACATGAAAGAAAGCATAAATCCGGCATTAGGCAAGACGGATCACTCTCCCAATATATAAACATCAAATTCGTTCTAATAAATCATCATTATCATTTTTTCCGGGTTTAACATTGTGATTCTACCAATATTACGATTTACTTGTTGGGACGAAATTGGTGATTTTGGTCGTGACGAGTTCACACCACTATCTCGATTACGAATCCAGGGGATAGAGGTTTGCTGACCTTGATCTTGGCATTGGCTCAATCTCTAAAGGAACAAAGATTGAAGGCTAAAAGTCCTCCAAACTGGCTGTGTTAAGTAGGAGATGACTGCACAACCTGGTGGAGATTATGTGTGAAACAGTATCAGAAAAGTGAAAGAAAGTAAACAATCAACACCTAGACAAAAGGATAATTTATCAAATTCAATCCTAATCAGCTAGCTCATTACCATCTAATAAACCATTTCTTTAAAACTGATTACTGATTTGGTTCCAGCTGCAACATGCTTTACTTTCTAATAATGTGGTTTTCATTTCTCATTTCCTGATCAAGGACTCAATCATTCAGAAGACAACAATAACTGCTCACTAACATGGATAATCACCTCCAAGGACCCCCAACCTACTTATTATATATGTCTACCTAACCATAGACCCACTTTGGCAGTCTGGCAATCACCTCTTTGCCATTGAATTTCCTCTATACCTGTACTCCAATAATGATAATAATATGGTGTTCATTCCCCTTTCATTTACTCCTTTGGATCTTCATGTTCTGTACACATTCCTTTTTTTCCCCCCTTTGGAATGACCATTCTGTTCTGTACTATGCTCTTTTTTCTTTGTAATGACCAATTCCATAGATAGCGCGTCCGAAGACAAGCATCGAAAGGGACAAAAACAATAAGGCAGGTTAGCTATTTAGTTTTTTGATCGATTGGAGGCAAAAGCCAAGAACAAAGAAAGAGTTACAGGGGGGTTTGGGGGAGATGGACAATGTTCCGAGGTAAAACCATACCTCGTTGATCATCCTGCAGAATGTGCATCAAAGGGGCTGGTGGGTCAACTAGTTCATACATACCATGGGGATAGACGAGACCGTGCTTCGAGTAAATGGAATAACAAGAATTCTAAGTAGCCATTTCGTTCAACTTCTCAATGTTTATAATCCTCAATTCAATCTCAGTTCTTTCACAACCTATAGTATATTCCTCCTCAACTATGTCGTAAACCCTCTCAATTTTGCTTGAATTCACCCTCTAGTTCTTCTCCTAGCATCAATTCGTTATCAGGAGATTACAACGAGCTTGATTCCCATATCGAAACTTTCCTAGTTATAAGGACAAATAGGGATATTCATTGAACTTAAATAGTTTATTATAAGTTTGACAATGGTGACTTGGGTACAAATTCTAAAATTAATTTAGGGAGGATCAAGAATCAAGATGAAGACAATTTTGGCTCCTCTAGTTTGAAAAACCCAAACAAGAATTTCAAATTCAAATTTTGTTTTTTACCTCCACCCACTTCCCAAAAACAGAAGACCCCGCTCTCTCCCCAATATGTATCGATTCGATGGTGGAGCTTCTAGTCTTTAAACATGTTGGTCCATGCCATGCCAAATGTTTTCTTGGGCAGTGAAAAAGAAACTCACTTTCAAAACAAAAAATCTTTTCTTTTCCGTTTCAAAGATATTCCTCCTTCTGTGCCCAAACAGTGCCCTTCTCAGAAAAAGTGGCGGTACTGTCTTATTCCCAGCGCAGTCCACTCCGACAGCTCTCTCGCGTAAGAAACTGCAACCTCACGCGCCGCCGGGAGACACTGACCACCATCTCTCCGCCGAGCTCAGTTTAAAAAAAAAAAATTCCCCGTTCGAAGAAATGCCCAAACAAGGTTCAAAAGCAGAGCTTGCCTCACGGTTCTGTTTTTAAGAACAACACAGTGGAAATGAAGGGAAACCCCTTTCAGATCATTGATTGACTCCCCGGAAAAGAAGACAAATTCCCTTGATTACCCTGAACAAAAGACAAAAGATGGGAGTCTTCCATATTCCTACCAGTGTTTAGACTTTAGAGACTCCACCTTTAAGCTCTGTTCTACTTCTACACAACCTCTGTTTATCAACCCCCATTTTTCGTGTTCATTCTTTATTTCCCGAATGCTGAGTAACAGAAAGGAATCAACAACAAACCGGTAAATGGGATCCAGACTTGAATTTCTTAAGACTCTTCAAAATCTTGCCTAGTTGAAAATCCATGCTTTAAAGAAAAAATCCATTACATTGTCAACAATTCACTTCCCAAGTTCACCACTTGCAATACATTTTCTCGACAAACCTACAGAGATCATTTAAGCATACAGGATCAAGAACAGATGAAAACATAAAGAAGGAAAGTTAATGAAATAACTGACCTGCGTTCGTTGTCCACAGAGCACCACCGAGAGAGAGAGAGAGAGAGAAGGGGGTAAATGGTTATACGGCTTTTGGAGAGGTCCAACTAGTGGGAAGAAGAAGAAGAAGTTAATGGGCTGGAGAAAGGCTAATATTTTACAGAGGTGGAACTTGGAAGACGACTTGGGTCTCTGGATGTTAATGAGGAGGGAAGGATGAAAGAAAAGAAAGAAGAGCTTGAATCGTTGAGGCGGTGGGGGAGCCGGGAGGTAATAATAAATACGAATTATTAATTATATAGTGGGGACTGGAGTGGGGACTAGTGTGACACGGGTGAACAATTAATTATTGCGAAATTACTTGCGCTCTCAAATCTATAAAGATTGGTATACCTTGGCTTGATTGAAATTGATTACTTCATTTCCAGGTTTCAAAGTGATATCATCCACGGCACGGCGGCGGAGAGATGGCGGCCATGTTTATCAGTGGCTCCCGTAGTTGAGTACTTGTAGAGCTGTGAAGCACTGGATTGACCCGTCATCAAGATTGAAGATACTACATGAAATTGCTTCATAGGTACAAAAACCATTACTCACGGCTGCCCAAACGAAGCCCCGACATGCAAAATTGTATACCTTGATTGACATTATTACGCTCCAGCTCCATCAATAAGGCAGTCACTAGTTATGTTAAAGAACGATGCACAATTAATAACCCCCTACAATGTCGAGTTATCGACGTCCGAGTTTCAGCAACGAGTTCAGGAAATAAAGAGCCAGCCAAAAACACCACAATGGAACTGAAGTAGAATGATTCCATTATCCTTCGGAATATTTACCTATCAGACACATTAGTTACACCCTACAGCAATATCAAATGACCGATAAATCTCTTCGACTGACCATCATGGGACTGGCAACTATTTTGTTGCTATACAAATGATACACTGTCTCGGACATTACCAACTCATTAACATGGAAGCTACGCATTCTGATTTCTACAAAGAATCAACACTCACAAACCCATCTTTCTTTCCTTTTTTTTTCCTTTGTTCAACATCGATGTCGCTGTCCCTATCGTGTTACTTCATAGCATATGTTTGGAGGAGAAGGACGTCTAACACTACACAAAAGGAAGGAATCTCAATCATTATGGGAAAAAACTATCCAAACATACCTTTCCATTCACTAGAGAAGAGAAACAAGCCCCCTTCTTCTCCCTAACTATATATGGTCACCATGTGATGCAAGCAAGATCTAGAAGAGACCCATCACTACCTCCCTTTTTCTCAGAGTTGTAATTGATGAGCCACAACATACAACCTCGGAAACACTGGGCCCGCCCTCTCTTGTGGGAGATCATTGCCACGTGCTTCCTGTCGTTACAGCTCGAGCCTCTGCAAGCGAAACGGCCATAGCCAGCATCATCTGCTCCTCAAAGCTTTCAGGAAGAATAGGTCCTCCCATCTCATTCAGCAGTGGTGGCGGTGGAGGCGGCAACGGGGATAAGGAAGAGCTTCCACACTCTTCCATTGTCGTATCAGAAGAGCCTGTCGAGTAACTCGTTCCTGTTTCAGCAGCAGCATCCGATCCACGATTACCGATCCATTCTGCATCGTCCCTCGTCACTACGATTTGGCAATCAGGTGACACGTTGCTGGAGCTCTCTGCTGGAGCATAACAATCTGCGTGCTGCTGGCTCATGGCGCTGTAGAAGCTATTGTTACAGCCTGGAAGTACATTATCTGCTGACACGACATTCCCAGGGACCATCTGCTGGCGTTCGGCAAGGGCAGCAATTGCACACGCAAGACCACCAGAAGGAGATGACGATGACGAAGATGATGACGCAACAACAGGTGGTGGAGCTGAAGCGGTTTGTGACATATAGCACTGAGCCCCATATTGCTCGGACGAAACATCATAGGACAAATTTCTTGGTCGGCCGTTTCCCTGCAATATTATGTTTCGCTAATAGAATTAGCACTTTCTCTCTTGAGAGCAATGGAAGCAATAATAATTTAGAAGTTGCAGAAACAGTTGTAAGTACATAAGTAAAGGTAAAGGGGGGAAAATATCAAAGAGAAGAAAAAGGGAGAATTTCAAGCATAGACATAAACTACTGCTCTAAAAGAAAATTAAGAAATCAAGACTTCTCAATTCATCAAACTGGAACAAATTACCACAGTAACATAGTAGGAACCGCCATTCCAAGCAACGCATCACTCAACCCCCACGGCCACTGCAGAATGAATTCATAGGGACCTAGACAGCTATGGGGGCATAAGAGATTGGCCAAGTGGTATAAGGAATAACAATCTTTTGGTACATCTTAGGTTCAAAGGCAACATTCACCAGGCACAAAGAGCTAAGGATAGATTGAACCTACAAACCCTTCTCTAGTTTTCCCTTTCCTCCTTTCCTTTCCTTCTCCCAACATCTCCCCAAAGATAAACACACACTATCACACCAATATTGTCAGCTAATTCGCTACTCAAGAAATATACGCATTTCCACCAACGACAAGCTAACAAAACCTTTGATGCTGAAAACATTGAGCTCACAACTAAAACTTCCCTCCTAAGTAGAGGCTACTATAAGTCCATAACTACTTGACGGGAGGTTACTACTTCAGCACATAAGATGCAGCAGTTCACACTTCACTGTTGCAAGACCATAAAAAAGGATGTAAGAACGCATGTAGGATTTTTCACTTCAAGACATTCTGGTGGCTGACAACTAAATGCGTGGAAAATACAAGCAGGCAAACATGTGGCTGGTGAAGCCATCACATTCTATAGTAGAGGGCAGAGTGACAACTGGCTAAGTCAAGGCAATTAGCAACAGATCGACCTAAATGCTTTTGCATGATAAACTACAGTAAAATGGTATTCACGTTTCAAGAACCAGTTTTCCAGTCAGCCTTTTGCACTCATTGTATGCAATCAAGGAATCTAAATCTACCTGAATAGAAAGCCAGATTGCCTCCATGACCATAATATCCTCGAGATCAAGGTCAAAGTCTTCATCCCTTCAATTAGAGAACATTCCAAATTTGAAACAGAATAAATTAGAATAGCTGCTAATACAATCTAAAAGGTATAACGAACATAAAATTCAAATGCCAGTATGTAAAGGACATGTATACCTATGATTCTTAAATAGATACAAGAAAGCACTACGCATTTAACCCCTCCACCAGTAAATAGAAGTTGGAAAAACTATCAGTAGAAACACTGCTAACTAAACCAATCCTTTCTACAAGAACCGTTCAAAAGCTTACGTTTACCATCATCTATAACAACTACTATATGAGTGGGGACACATGAACACATCTAACTCCTAACAGGTGATGTATCTGGTTCACGATGAGGTGGAAATTTCTCAAATAAGCAGCACACTCCAAATGTTCTACACGAGATATAGTAAAAGTAAACCAACTGTCTAGTTCCCATGCCAGAAGTATTTGAAGAACCTGATCAAGCCGGGGAATTTCATAAAAGTAAACCAGATATCTAGTTCAACCAGCCCTAAGAATGAGTATGGAAATTATGTAGACAACAGGACCAAGCTATTGAATATATTGGACAATTTGCTGTCTACTACCAAACAACATGCTTGAAAACCTACCGGCTAATTCGCCCAATAAACTGAGGCAGCATACCTGTTTGGTCTAGCCAACTAACTAAAGTTATTGACTATGTCCATTTTATAAGCTTGAGGAAGGAAATTCTCATTATGAATCACAACCCTATGGCCCAATCGATTTCGTGAATAAAGCCATAAACAGAAGGAGAAGTCCAACATACCTGTTTGGTCTAGCCAATGCAGGATCTCTGATAGATGGTCGAGAAGAAACAATTTCATCACTTTCGGCCGATGCATAGGATGGAACTTCAAAGGAGAAAACTTAAGGCATTCAGTACATGCTGAAAGAAACGGGCATCTAAGTAAAGACATCAATACAGAGTGATGATACCTGCTGCAGAGCCACAAACAACCTCCTCAGATGCAACGTGAGAACTGGAAGAACTTGATTCCAGCCGTTTTTGCATTCTGTCCTCTTCATCCTGAAGCTCTTGTTGTCGAATCCTAATTTTTGCTTCTATTACTCTTTGTTCTTCCTAGAAAATTACATACCTTAGTCACATGCTCGTACATAAATGCAATTGCGATGAAGATATTTAGATAAATATGGTAAAGTCTTACAATTTGCTCCAAGCCCTTCTCCTCTTTTGTTTTCACACCACGATATTCCACAGCATAATTTGATGTTTTACAGAACGGACATCTGCTAGAGTTAAGTACAGCAGGCATAGAAACTATGACTGAAAGATAGGAGAAAGATGTTGGAAGAACAGAAGAAAACAAATACTAGAATCATGCAGAGAAGGATACTGAGTAGGCCGAGTTGAATTAGGATTTTTCATCTGCAGAAAACATTCTGTTGCCAAAAAAGGAAAGGAAAAAATCACAACTACCATAATTGATCACTTGAAACGTTTATGCACTTATGGCAATGATCATTACCTGTACAGATCCCCTTTGTGCAACACCGCGACCGGTTGAGGCTTGGGTAGTACTGAAACAAAGCCAAGAACAGTATCACATACATGTCAAGGCTCTTTACAGTATACGTATTAAATAAGACCTCCCAATTCCAAAGCACATTTCTGCATTTCTCCTTAACACCCTAAAGAATAGTAATGAACACCGACCACAAACGGAAGAGCCATAGATGAGCCGAAGGAAGAAGAAAGTAAAAAAAAAAAAGAGAGAGAGAGAGAGAGAGAGGAACAAACCAAGAAGCAAATAGGGCATTCTTCATGGTCATTGCAGGACTCCTCATCACCAGGATAGCACGGTGCGAGCTTGGACTCGAGAATGAGCTTTCTGAGCTTCTTATGGTCTACGTCTTTGTGGACATATAAACCTTGTGGCTTTGTATACCTCTCATCCACCACTTGCCTCCTCCTTCCCAACTTATTACCCATTCAGCAACACCTATAGCTATCTGTGCTCTCCTTTTTCTTTCGCGATGAGAGCAAGATGAATGGAAGAATTGAAGAGCAAATTTAGAATAGAAGAATTCCACAAACGTATTATCTCTAAATCGCTAAACCATGGCGACGGCCTAACGAGCCAATACTACTATAACCACCAGAGCAGATGCTTCCTTTGAGACTGCCAAAGCAGGAATCCATAGTTTCTTACCAACGGTCCTGCAAGCAAAGAATCCAGCCGCAAGAAGAAATTTAAGAAACAATCCA